TGAGATGCCATGAAGTGTGAACTCTGATTGGCTAAGAAATCAATGAGTATAGCAAACCTAGTGCTATATCCCTCCCCTCTCTTTTCATTCTTTAAACTGTCTTCTTTACTCACCACTGGCTGGCTGTCACCTCGGGACCTGCACTTGCATTGCAGAGTCTTCCCCTGATGACTTACTACATATCCTCAAGATTTCTGCTTTAATGTCCCCAGGAGGCCCTCACTGAAACCGTGACTAGCTTAGCTCCCTGAGAAGTTAAATGCTTCCAGGAGACCCTGGACACCTCTAATGTGAGCCCCCTTATGTAATATGTTTTGTGAACATGGAAAATGAAGGACACTCTAATTATTAGCTTAATCTATGAATTAATTCTCCCTAATAGTCTGTTTTCTAGAAGGAAAAGGCTTGGGAGTTCCACATTTGGAATCTCAGCGAGTCTTTCTTTCCTTGTTGGCCGTTGTGATAGGTTGTAAAAGCCTTACACACCACAAATCTTGGATGTGTGTGTAAAACACTACTCTGGCTGTCCCCTCTGCTGTCACATTTGCCTGCTGCTGTGGCCCACTGCCTCACACACGTACTCAGGGTTAACCTCCCCTGGGGTTTGAGGAGTTGCTTTGCAGCCATGAAAGATTATGTTGGCAAGGAAGGCCACACACTGGCTACATCACAATCTTAATCTTTCCATGTGGTTTCAGGAATTACTTCCTCAGTCTTTGCAGGTCATTCAAGAATCATGTTTCATAGTTAATATTACAATTTAATATCTTTCAGTTGATCTGTCCCAGGGAGTATGCCTCAGGGTGTGTGTGTGTTTGTTCACAGAGGTTACCTTTCTCCTGCAGGCCCTGATCCACATATGTAACAACACAGCTTGCACTCCGTGTGCTTCTGTGATAACTGGCAAAGTCCCGACTTGGTTTCCACAGTACTGATTGATTCCACCAAGCCTTTTCATGCTTTTCAGTCCATTCCCCTTGTGACTTTTGGGAACTAGTTGTAGTTCTGATAACGGTTAGGTCTTTATCCAGATATCTCACAATGTCTTTATTGACATTTGAAGTTACAACTGCTCAGTATCAGGAGCAGCAGGTATTTCTCTTTTCCAGATAGGAGTCAGTGAAGTTAACGGACTTACCTGATTCTCTTACTTCCGGTAAGGAATCAGGTTTTCCTTCTTTTCTTGGTCTGTGCACTGAGCCATGTAACTTCTGACATTTGTGCAATCACACTTTTCCTGGATGTTTGTGATTTTCCAGTAAGGTTCTGCCTACTCTCCTGTTCAGACCTGGTTAGGGTGTAAGTTGGGTCCTAGGAGTGGAACCAGATGGAGTAAGACAGAAGGCCATTGTCTGTAATTGTGTTTTCTCTGTCATGATTTTGTGATGTTGCTTTCCTTTGTGGAATCTTAAAAGTTTCACATTTGTATCTGCTTCTTACTCCATCAGGAACAGAAAGTTTCTTCCCAGCGTTGGCAAACATAAAGCTACTGTGAGCTTTGGGCAAGGCTCCAGGCCTTTCCAGAAAGCCTCCCTCCTGGCATGCTGAGAGACACTTTGCCGATTAGGAGGCAGGGGTCTGCCTTGCCTTTTTTCACGCTGCTTGTCTTTCCCTTGTTTTGTTTCTTCGTCCTCCTCCTCCTGTGGCCCTCTTTTGTGTGACAAGTGCTTTTCCTGGCAAATTTAGTATGTGCGTTTGCAGTGCACTTTCAAAGCCTCCTTAGGCTAAGTCACCCTCGCAGAGGGTAGATTACCAGAGCTGGGTGAAAGTGTCAAACTCAGGAGGGAAGACGGGTGCCTGCAGGAGGATCAGATTGGGACCATAGTTTTTCCTCAGCACTCCCTCGGGCCTCTGAGGCTGCGGCTTTCTGTGGATGTGAATTCTACAAAATGTGCCCTGAAGAACAACTCACAGACAGACAGAGATGTAAACGTGGATACACTTTGTATAATTATAGTTGTGAGAACCTGAAAATTATTTAAATATCTGTCGGCTGGTAGATTAACTCAAGTTAGTTATGGCATGTCCATGCCATGAAACACTGTAGTCAAAAGAAACAGTAAGAGAGATCTAGAGGTAGTGAGTGGAGAGGTGTTTATAACATACTGCTTAGAGGAAAAAAATCAAACAAACATATTGATTTATATGCCTGTTATTTTTATGGTATTGGGGATTGAACCCAGGACTTCCTTACTGAGCTATGTCCTCAGCCCTTTTATACTTTATTTCTTGTCTTGCTAAATTTCTCTTGCTGGGTTTGAACCTGTTTTCTTCCTGCTTCAGCCTCTCAGAGTGTTGGGATTGCAGGTGTGTGCTACCATGCCTGGCTGTGTGTAACACTGTGTCTAATCCAGTATGTACCTAGAAAGGATACGCTCCCTGTCTAAACAGTCTGGAAGGATATACTCCAAACTATTAGTAACAGGTCAAGGAATGGGATCAGAATGAGGGTTTACATGTAAGATTTACTATTTTTGTAATAATGAGTTTTATAATTTCAAAATTAATAACCAAGAGCAAGTCAGGAGTAAATGATATATTATTATCACAGATTTTTATCTGTAATTTTGAATTTCAATGAGAACTCTTTTGTTATGAAATGCTGAAGAGTCATTAGGTTGTCTGTCTAGTTGTTAGACCAATGATCTTTTTGACTTTCATTGTATAATGTGAATTACTGCCTCCCCACATTTGTGTCTTCATTGGTATCACTGGGAGAGATCTTCTCTCTGATGTGCTTAGTGAGTCTGGGAATTAAATAAGTCAATTCATCCTTTTTTTATAAAAAGAGCTTTAACGGATATAACAGCAAGTGTGTTTAGGGGTGTTAAATAGCTGACTATATCAATGTTTTTGGATCATTGAACACAGCTGTTTGCAGTCTCCCTGTTTGAATGTCCACCTTGTATTCTTTGATACTGTGATTTGAGCAACTATTTTCAAGATGATAATATGTAATCTATTAACAGGTGATTTCTTACTGTTATGTTTTTTTTTTTTTTTTGTAGTTCTGTATTACGTGTACCCTTACACCGCTTTGTTTTGTTTTGTGTTTTTCTCTTTTTCCTCTTAAATAAAATAAAATAAAATAAAAAATTCATCCTTTTTTTGAGATGTGCGCATATGTTTTCATGGGAATCAGCCTGTTGTAAGCAAATGTCAGGTTCCCCTGTGTTCCGGTCACCATGCTCTGTTACCCATTCATGCAGCCATCATGGTTCTCAGCTCACTGCTGATCAGAAAGAAGGAAATTTATTCACAGGATACATCATAATGCTAATAAAGTGAAGTGTTAGAACAGCACTTAAATTCACAGTATTTGGTTTTGGTGAAGAAGAGAGAAATATGGAATACAATGTGAGGGAACTCCAAATAAGCCCAGTGATATAATTTTACTCATGTTTTCAATTCCTCTCAGATCCTGGATGATTTTCTTCGAGTTTTCTTGAAAGAAATATTTTTTAAGAATTTTATTTAATCTGGATAAAGATTTCAAGTATTGAATTATTTCTGTGACTTTTGTTTGAAGGTTTTTTGTCATCTACTTTTGATCTGATAATTGAATATTATTTTCCCAAATGGCTTCTAGTTCATATTAGAGAAAGAATTATGTACACAATAAGGAAGGCATTTAGCACATCAGTTTACTGTATATATTTTGATTCCAAAAGTTAAGTGTTGAAAATGGGCTTAAGTCATATTTATGCTCTGACTAGTCCAGCTTTTTGGTGTGAAAGTCATACACACTTACAAAAGCGCAGGCTATAAAAGCCCAGGCTGCAGTTTCACAAACATGCATTATAATAACTTTGAGTCCAATTATAGCTTATTAATTAAGTGGTTTCTAGTACAATTACATACTAGTGGTGATATTAAAAGCTGCAAAAATCTTTTGACTGAAACATTTTGGGCACTTAGGTCTGTAGCTAAGACAGGATTGTGTGTCTGTCAATCCTATGTGCGTGGATTAGTGTGCAGTCCCTGCCGTCACACTGAGCTGTCACCAGTGAGTTTGCTTCAACGTGCAGGGGGCAGTCTTTAGGAAGGCAGAATGTCTGTTCCTTTTGTGGGGCAGAAATATCAGCACATATAACCCATCATGGTCTTGCCTCTGAAATGTCTCCGAGTCTTTGAGTCTGAAGCCTAGGATGGCAGCGCCACCGTGTTATCCTTATGGTCTGTCTACCTGTTCCCTTGAGTGAGGGGCTGCCCTTTACTTGAAGACAGCGCCCCCGTGAATGGGAACTGTAGGGGGAGGCTGTGCACACACTCTGACCCTGTTTCTTGGTGTTTTGGAACCTTGTTTTCCTTAGAGTGGACCCTGCATGGAGCCTGTGACCTGTGGAGCCACCAGAGGAAACCACCCTCGCCATGGTTTTGCCTATCGAGTTTTTCTCTAGTAGCTTTCAAAAACCTAACTTCTCTTCCCTGTTTCTCCCATTTGAAACATTCTCTTCTTTGTAATTTGAGACACAAAAGGACAATTTTATGTGGACACTTTTGGTGCTCACTGTGGAGGTGTGGTGAGCTTTGTGAAATTAGATTTGTACATTTACCTTTTCTAAGCCTGGGTGACCTATTGGTGGTCAGCTATCTCCTGAAGTTCTTAGTGTATGATTTTATGGCCTTTGACTTGAGAGAATCCAGAATTGGAAGTGATATAATTCCATTATGTATAGGTTGCTTTGAACTCAGAACTCACTAAATCTTCTGCATGTGTTTTTGTGTCCTGGATACATTAGTCCAAAGTTTAGGTTCCATTTTTTTGTTTTGTTTTGTTTTATTTTTTTTTAATCTTATCGATCTCTACCATCCCTTCTCTTTAGCCACCACTGAAAATAATAGAGCTTGTTTTGAAATACTTTAAATTTATTGCCATGTCCAGGAGCTCGTAGGTGAGTGACCTGTTGACCACCAGCACACTCCCGGAAGAGGGCCCCGTGTGCAGGCCTGGCTTTGAGCCTGTAGACTGTCAGTGATTCTCTATTTCTCTTTCTCAGCGCCATCGCATCAATCCTGAGGGCCTGGCTTGACCAGTGTGCAGAAGACTTCCGAGAGCCACCTCACTTCCCTTGTTTACAGAAACTGTTGGATTATCTCAAAAGGATGATGCCAGGCTCTGATCCAGAAAGAAGGGCACAAAATCTTCTTGAGCAGTTTCAGAAGCAAGAAGTGGAAACTGACAGTGAGTACTTGGTCACAAGTAAAAAGCTAGATTCTGTTAAACATCACAGAGGCTCCCCTATACAGGGCTGAACAAGGAACCCTGGTACCTCAAGACAAGCCGCTAGAAATATAAAATTACTGAGGTGTTAATTTTACCCTTTTTGGGGGCTGGGGGGTAGGGTCTTACTATGTAGTTCTGGTTAGCTTTGAATTCACTGTGTAGCCCAGGCTGACCTTGAACTCACAGCAGTCCTCCTGCCTCAGCCTCCTAACTGCTGGGATTATAGGTGTGCACCACCATGCCCAGTGAAGTGCTAATTCAGAGCTTTCAAGTTTTAGAATAAAAATGTGGGATGGAAGGAGAGAGATTTTTAAGACCACTTACTCTGGCTTTTTCATTTTATACATGAAATTGAAATCCTAGGATTTCTTTTATTACCAAGAAGGAAGTTTCCTTTCTACTTCCCTTGTCAGGGTGTGCCATGCTGAACCTGAGTTTGCCTTTTATTGTCTGCCTAATAGTTCATCCTTCAGTCAAATATAACCCATCATAGACAGCACCTCTATCAGCAGGCTAGAAAGTAAAAGCACAATTTATGCATATATGGAAATGAATCTCATTGATCTGTGCAATTAAATATGTGTTAATAATTATAATAAGTAGTACATCTTGAAAAAAATTACCTGCCCCCATCCTTACAAAAGCATGGAAAGGTGTTTGTCTTTCATTGTAGAAACCACCCCTGTTATGTGTTCGCTGACATCACAGATTACCGTCAGGGTCTCTAAGGCCTCATCAAAGGAAGTTTGTGAGGCTGTTTGGAAGAACTGACCTCTATTTTCAAGGACAAAGGAAAGACCCCCACTGTAGGTCATGGGGTGCTCAGAACTATCAGGCTTTGTCAAAATTAAGAAAGAGCTTTGGTCAGGCTTAAAGCGTGATGTTTGATCCCTTCGCTGGGGTGCTAGGCAATGGTTGCCATGGTGGCTGACCCACTTGGAGCCTCTAACAGGCATTTCCCTGAAGCCATGCCTGGGTTCCTCAGTGAGAGAAAGGAAAGGAGTCCTCCATGCAGATAAGGGAAGCTGCCTCCGCTCCAACAAAAATACGGTAACCTTAAATTCACACACTACCTGTTGAATTTTTCTGCATGGGGGACCAGGAAACGGGGGAAGGGCGATTGCATCATTAGAAGCTGCCTGCCAAAGGCTTTGTATCTCTGATGACTTCATCTGCCTGGAATGCTGGATCCCAGGGGCACTCCTCCAGCTGGGACCTCAGTCCCCTCAAGGCCCTCCCTGGCTCTGTGCTGCGGTGGAAAATGCTGCGGAGCCCAGCTCTACCCACTGGGACTGCCCCTGGCTCCACGCCTAATTGGGGAACCAGTGGGACCAGTCATTCCTTGTCACCAACCCAGGGCCTGGAAGGCAGAGTGCCTTTGGCAGGCTGGGGCAGGGGAGACGGAGGCTGCCTGACTTCACAAAAACATTCAGGCAATGCCCAAGAATGAAACCTTTTCTACGTTTGGAAAATTTTAATCAAGAAAGCTCTAAACTCTGCTTAGTAAGTACAGGAGTCATCACTAAAAAGAAGTTTTAGGAGTTTGTCTCAGTTGGGCAAAAAACAAGCTTTTTCAAAAGTAAAACTATAAGTTTTATCAGTGGAAGTCAGTCAGAAGCTGAAACAGTGAAAACATGGGCTACACCCCAGAGAGAAATGATCATGCCATCTTCATGCATACCAGCATTCTAGATGCATATTGTACTACAAGTGTTTGTTGAATGAATAAGAAAATTAAATCTTAACACTTACACCTCTTGGCTAAAGTGGGCCAGCATTGCTTTAAATATATTAGAGTATATTTATATAGTAAATGTCAAGAAGGGTAAAAGGAACTTTTCTGAACCACTGTTTGGGACCTCAAGTTTCTTATTTCTCCACTGAATGAATGAGTTACGAGCGTTATATGGAGGCAAACTGATGGAGGCAGACTGCTTACATCTTCCGTGTTGTGGGGTTTTGCCTTTCTCTATTAACTGTTGCTTGCTTTGTATCTCAGACTCAAGAGATTCTCCATATTTTTCAATTATAACTCAACTCCTTCACATCAAGACCTCAACTCTGGGATCAGAGGGCAACCATTATGTCACATCCCTACCAGAGAATGGGCTGGGACCATGTGGAATCCCAACAGGGAGGGTGCAGGGACCATTCTCAGCTCCCCTGTTCCCTTAGAAAAAGCCATGCCAGTTTGATCCAAGATGTCTAAAAATGTCTTCCATTCTACAAAGAAGGAGAAAAAGTTGAAAACACTGACTGAAATTTCTGCCAGGATATAGCCAAGTACAACTAGATTTTCCCTGCTAACAGGTTTGGCAGGAAGCAGTGTGAGGAGCTCAGGGGGCATGAGGTTGGGGAATGACCCGGGAATTGGGGAAAGGTTGCAGGGCACAGAGGCTGGGGAGGACAGTCTGCCTTCATCCAATTCTTTGCGAGTTGAGGGTGGAGGGCCTGTTCCAGGTGCTGCACTCTCTGGTTTTTTATTCGAAGTGCTAGGAAGTAATTTCTCTCACTTTTGGGGGGCTTTGCGCTATGTAATTTGCTTATAGATGCTCTTATCCATAATAAGGTTCAGGTGAATCGAGTTTAAATCTATTCTACTTCATGTATACTTAGCCTCAAGTGAAAAGTAAAAGCAAGTCTGAATATTTTTGAGAAGGTTAAATATTTCTGAGGGCTTCATCAGCATTTCTGAGACTCCATGACCCATCCCACCTGCTCAACACACCCAGCGTCTGGTTCTGGGTGATCCAAAGCTAAGATTTGGTGGTCGGCATGCAGGAATTAGCAGGATCAGTGCTGGAGTTTGAGGGTGCCTAGCGTGAGCGCTCCTCCTGAATGCTGGCCCAGCTCTGTTTCTCCAGACTTTACTAACCTGGCTGAGAAATGGTTTATGGAGTGACCACAGCGCGAGGCCTAGGAAATTAATAAATTGAGAACGAGCAGAGGTTGGGCCTCCATTTCACTCAGATGGACTCTTTGTGTTTGCTCCCATCTTGGGCTTTTTCAGATGTGCTTCTGCTTACAACGTGGGCAGTGACAGCACGAGTGGCCCGGAAAGGGCAGTGGATTTCCTGCAGCATAAACCCTCTTGTTCTGACCTGAAAGGAATCCAATTTGACTCTGTAAGCAGAGCTGTATCTGGTAGACCCAGTTACTGATTTCTCTGCTCTGTTTGTGAACAGATGGGCTTCCCAGCACCATCTCCTTCAGCCTGGAAGAGGAAGAAGAAACGGAGGGTGGAGGGCCAGCAGAATTCACCTGCTTCTCGGAAGATCTTGTGGCAGAGCAGCTGACTTACATGGATGCAGTAAGTTTTATTTTTCACTAGTACCCACATGCGTTACATAATGATTGCCTTCCATGGGGGAAATTGGTCATGGGTATAACACATCTCAATTCTTTTTTAAAATTTCCTTTTCCTTCCCTTTCCCGTTTGATCCCCTTCCCATTTGGAAAAGATATTTGTCGTTACTTCTTATTATCTATCGTTTATTTTGCTCTTTATTTACATTTGAGCTCGTGCATCTGATTTATTTCATTTAATATTATGGTTTCAGGATGTGTGCATCTGCCTACAGATGCCTCCTGTTTATCTTTCTTTTTGGCAGAGTAGGACTCCATCATGTAGAAGCACCACGTTTTCTTTACACATTCTTCTGCTGATGGACATCTAAGTTGCTTTCAGGATTTAGCCATTATGATTTGTGCTGCTGTAAACATTGGTATGCATGTGTCACTGCAGTGTGATGTCTGTAACTCTTTCGGGAAGAGTTGCAGAGGGATACCTGGCCCAATTGGAATATCTGGTTTTAGTTATTTGAGGAATCTTTTGTCCATAGTTTTTGTTGTTGTTGTTGTTTCATTTTTTGTTTGTTTTGAGACAGAGTTTCCCTGTATAGTCCAAACTAGTCCTGAACTCACTCTGTAGCCCCAGCTGTCCTGGAACTTGTGATCTTCCTGCCTGAACCTCTCGAGTGCTGGGGTTACAGGAGTGTGCCCACATGCCTGGAAGCAGCTCCTCTTGGGCTTTTTCAGATATGCTTCTGCTTACGACGTGGGCAATGACAGCACGAGTGGCCCGGAAAGGGCAGTGGCGTAAAGTGATTAAAGTCTTTTCAAATCTTTGAGAGAGGCTGTGTCTGTAAATGCAGTGCTAAAATGTCACTCGAATCAATCCTCTGAATAATTCAGGCCTAAGCTCTTCTTGCAACTCTGGGTAAAGGTGCATTTTGCTTGGCGCTCAAGTCACAGAGGGAAATAAGAATTCTAATCCTAGTGAAACAAAATCTACCCTGTACCATGGGTATTTCTCTCTCTTTAGAGTCATAAATATTTCAAGAGCTGAACTGTTTATTTGGAGAATTGTAAAAGGGGTCAAAGTATAAGTTCAGATAAAATAAATTCATTGAATCCACATGTGACCATGCCTGGCTGCTCATTTCCATGTGTGCTTCCTATACTTTTGAAGTTTGAATATTGTTGTTAGCAGTACACATTTGATTATGTCAGTCACATTTCCTAGCTCAGTATTACCTGGTAAATATTGTTAAAGGGGAGTATTCGGCGGAATGATCACTTACTTTTCTTTTCTTTCTGTGGTACTGAAGATTAAATCTGAGATTCCCAAGCTGTATGTCCAATCCTCTTTAAAATTCTTATTGTTGTGAGACAGGGTCTCCTTAGGTTGCTTAGGCTGGCCTCGAACTTGCAATCCTCTTGCCCTTGCCTTTGCGGTATTGAATTACAGGCATGGGTCACTGTGCATGGCTGCATTAACTTACTTTTGAAAAACAGTATTGAAGATAGCAAAAAGTTTCCAACTAATAAACATGCAAATAAGTATCAGAAGCAAACCAATAGTGTATATAAGTTAGTTCAAGTGTTTTTCCTTCTTATAGCCCATATTAAATTGTTGTAGAAATGAAAATCTAATTTGGGGAACTTACTTTTTGGTTTTTGCTTGCACAGTTGATAGTTCATATAAGGAAAAAACAGAAAATTATAATTCTAAAGGAAGGTCCTGGGAATTAGGTTTCAAATCCGCCTTTGTTTTTTTTAAACTGTGAATTGTTGAGTGCCTTTTCTTTTCACATGCTTCTTTCATTCTTTATTTTAAGGAATGTTAAACACTGACACAGATGGGTACAGCACGTGCTATACTTTCTTGAGTCAGTTTTCACCTGGTCAGTGACATCCGTTTGCTCCCTAGACAGTTCAAGATCACAAGTACACAGGCCATCCCCGGGGTATGATTTAGAGGTTAAAATAACCTCAAGCACTTTTTTGATCAGGAGTATAGATCTTATTTGATTTTCCTTGCAAGACAGGTAGGTCAAAATGTTTTGGGTCATTTAAATTTTCTTTTGGTCATTGTGTTCTATTTGCTTAGTTGAGTAGAGTTAAAAAGATCCTGTAGGCTCTTCTGACCCACGGATGTATTAATTATTTACCATTGTCTGTTGAAATGAACACCACATGGCAAATTAAGTGGAAAAAGATTATTTCTCTATTTACAAAATGCTGATTTGTAGATGACCAGCTGCTGTGCTTTGCCATATGAAATGTGTGTGTTGTCATTCACACCAGTTCCTCTTTTGTTCCAGCAACTGTTTAAGAAGGTAGTGCCTCACCACTGCTTGGGCTGCATTTGGTCTCAAAGAGATAAGAAGGAAAACAAACATTTGGCTCCTACAATCCGTGCTACCATCTCGCAGTTCAACACCCTCACCAAATGTGTTGTCAGTACCATCCTGGGCAACAAAGAACTCAAGACCCAGCAGAGAGCCAAAATCATTGAGAAGTGGATTAACATTGCTCATGTAATTGTCTATTTAGAAATATTTTTTATGTTGAGTAGATATTGGAGACCATGTCATCACTCTGTTTAAATGGTTTAGCTGTTTGATTGAAAGACAGTCAGGAGACTATCTATGCAAGCCTGTTGGGTTCTGTTGTTTTCTAAAGTAAGAAAACAAGTTGTCTTCTTACTTTGGAAGCTTATATATTTTTCCTCTTTAAAAAAAAAAACATAAAACACAAAACTGGTCTCTTGTTCACTTCTTTCCACTCGTGGTCCTGAGCACTGCTGCTTCTCCAGGGAGAGACATTCCATCTGTTTTTTCCTTTCTCTTCACCGCTGACTGAATGTCTGCCCCATGTTTGGTAAATATAAATCTCTGATCTGTGTGTCCGGTAAGCTGATCTTCATTTCAGAGTGATCCCTTGTACACCTCAGTATACCTGAGCATTGCATATTCTGTAGGTTGCTTAATGGTCCCTCCTCACAATCCTAAATATCTTTTCTAATGGATTGAGATACCTCACAGATCTCACACTAATTTGGGACCCAGCTGCAGACCTCAAATCAGAAAGGAGTAGTGTATTCCTCGACCTGGGTTGCATTCTGCTGAGTGTCAGAGTCTAATGTTTTGGATTAACTCATACATGCCAAGTAACCCTTATTTGTCAGCATCATGTGTCATGACTGAGAAAATAACAGTATTCAGTTAATTGATCATATATTTTTTGCATAAACTAATATACATAAAATACAAGAGTGTACACATAACTATATGGAACACAACCAACTTGGAACCACTGGGGCCAACACTTAATGGAATTATCCCAGGCTGGCCAGTAAAGGAGTTGGTTATATTAAGTGCTACACAAGTGGAGAAGAAAGAAATCATTTCTGATTAGGGTGATCAAGAAAGGATGAGGTGATGTTTGAGGTTGTTTCTGAATAATAGGATTTTTGGGACTTATTTCTTGAAAAATAATTGTTATGTAAATATCCTGTTAGTTCATGTGCAGCCATCAACCAAAACACATTTTGCTTTATATCCTTTAGATATATTTTTCATTAAGCCTGTCTACCGGCTACAATGCCTAAGTTTTTCACATTCTCTTCTGTTGTTTTTTATTATTAAAGAGCAAAAACATAATTATGTGCCAAAGAATTTGCCTTGTTTTGAATTTTTAGGTGGCATATTATTACAGACTTTTTTATATATAAAAAAGTCTAAAAGAAAGAATATTAATTACATAAACAACTTATGCTTTTCCTGTTCTACATTGGGCTTATTTCCCAACAAGTAACTGCAAAGAAATTCAAGTGGAATGTGATAGTAGAATGAAATTTCTGTTTCTTTTTCAAGTAATAAGAGAACATTTTTTGCTACAAATGCCACAGCATTTACAGTGCCCTGTGTGTCTTGAAAACATACGGCTTAGATATCCCCAGTCCATTCAACTACATCTATGACATAGTGTGGCTCAAACAATGACATGATCCAAGTTAAATATAAATTGTACTTTTAGATAATAATGAGAAATGTACAAATTGGATCATTGGAAGTATATTCCAATTCTCAAAGTATATGCAACAAAGCCATGAATCCTACCCGCTGGTGATAATAATTTTCTAACATTAAGTATGTTATGTCTTGAAATTGTGCAGGGTAACTTAATAAAATAATGAAACTCTTAAGTGTCCCTGCCAAGATTTATTTTACTGTTCTTGCATTTGTCACGGTCAGTTTCTATTGAAAAGATGTTTGAAAAATGATAATAATTTTACATGAAGAAAATATTTCTGACCTAAAATGGGTATATTTTTTTGGACTGGTCATACTGCTGCATTTTCCTTTTGCATCACATCTTCTGGAAGCTACCTCCTTTTCTAGAAATGGGACCAGATGTCTTTTGTACTCCTTTAAACCCTTAATTTAAACCTCTTTCTGAATAATATGTTCCATATGTTTATTACGATTTACATGATATATCTGTGCTGGAGTCCCTTTACTTATTGCAAGTTTCCTGATCTTTAGAATGTATCTTTAGGTTCTGAACCTTTGGTGAGCTCTGTGTCTCTGTCTGTGTCTCTGTCTCTCTCCCCTCGTCCCTCTCTTTTCCTCTCCCCTTTCCTCCCTCTTTCCCTCCCCTCTTTTTTTCCTCTCGCCCTCTCTCTGTTTCTCTTTCTCCCTCCACCTCCTCTTCCTCTCCCTGTATCCCTCTCTTCCTCTCTCCTCTCCCTCCTTTTCTTCTTTCCTTCTAAATGGGAAGAACCTCAGGGCATTTTAAAAAAATGGACATGGCTTTTATAAAACACATTGGCGTTTACTCTAAAGAAAACATTTGAGGGATTGTTTGGCATAGTTTTTAGTAGCCAGATTTTAGCATGCTAAATTAGAGAATGCTGTTTCTCCTTCATAGTCCAGATGAGCATTACTTCATGAAATGATCCTTGAAGTGATTTGCATTTATGCCCAGCTACTCTGGGACATCGTGCCCCAGATGTTCTGCACTAAGCCAAGTGTGTACTCACACGATGTGCTTCATAGTAAACTGTGGGTGTGTTGCACTGCAACATGTCTGTGGGGGAAGCACCTCCTTTGACACAGGCAAGATCTGCTTGCTCACGTCACCCGTGCCAACCAAGAGTAGGACCCTTTCTCTCCCTGCCTATTGTTTTCCTTGCCATTCATGTGGCAGAACTTTAACTCCAGGGTCACTGACTGCTGATGCTGTAGCTTTGACTTCTAATGGTAGCTTAACTGTAAGCACAGAGCCTCTCTCCTTACCCGAAATGTTTCCTGTTCTCTTTCTATTTTGTTCTTAAACACTGCCAAGATGAATCTTACTTTAAAAGCCCAAGTTATTTTGGAAGCATTGAAGTACTAAGGTGTTTCCGAATGTTTATGAGTGCGGTACAAGCCAATTTGAAACCAAATGAACGTGTATAAAAATATTCCCCCTTGGCTGAAAGCATAAAAGCCAAAGTTCAACTTGTGGTGAACTTTTATTGCCAAGTTATATACACCTCTCAGGACAAGCAAGGGTTGGTCATGAGATGTTTGATACCATCTGAACTTGAAGTGGCCGCTGCCCAATTCCGTTGTGGGTCTAAGGATACAGTGATCTTTCATGTGCATTTTTAGGGCATGTGTGTGCTTTCTCCAGTCTCGCTCTTTAGCTTTACCTTCATTCATGTTTTTACTGGGAAAGCTGGAAACTATAAAACTGTAACAACAGCGCAAAAATATCTTACAGGGAGAAAAATAAACACACAGTGCCAAAATCTATAAAGTGTTTGGGTGACTGGGGTGGGAGGAAGGGGCCACTTTTTGATGTCCAGTATTTATTCAGCTGCCTATTTAGTGGTAGGAATTCATAGCAGCTGTGATACCTCTAAAACAGGAAACGACCAACTCACTGTAATATTGATATTTAAATGCCTTTTATGTCCTAATCACTCCCCACACAGGAATGTAGAATCTTGAAGAACTTTTCCTCCTTGAGGGCCATCGTTTCAGCACTGCAGTCTAATTCCATCTATCGCCTGAAAAAAACATGGGCTGCCGTCCCAAAGTAAGTTTGCAAGTGTCTGCTTTACTTTGTCCTGGATGATTCATTGCTACATCAGTGCTATGGGTCCTTACCTTCAAAGCTCACTTGATAGGATGAGAAGAGCATTTTCAAAGTCCTTTCAGTGTTCCAGGAGGTGTGCATCTTATACATACGAGTTTTGACCATGGCTACTGTGGATGTCAAACCCATTCTTAAAGTGCCAAACCGGGATTATTGGTGTTTTGGGATGATTTGAGGGATGCATTTATCACCTACGTGTGGAGGGGTAAGCCTGTGGGACGCAGTGATAACAGTTTGCCTGTGACTTCTTGGCTATTTTTCAGCCTGGTTCTAAAGCCTGAGGTTATTCTAGGCAACTGATAAGGAATTGTTCACTTGCCAGTTCTGGGCTATTTTTCTTTATGTTTCTTGGTGCAGCCTTTAGAACTATTGACAATTTAATGATTTCACTATTGCTATCTTCTACTTCTAGAACTTTGTAGACCAGAGACCTTTGTTCACGGGAAGGGAAGGCGGGAACAGGCTGAGTACCATGCAAAACAGATTCAGAGGTTGGGTTTTGTGTCATGGATACCTCCTAGTCTTCCTAGGTTTGAATTGTCAGATTCTGAGGCTGTATCAAGGGACAGTGGGTAAACTGTGCAGTATAGGCAGTGTCTGTCAAAAGGAAAGCCAACTTGCTTCCCAGCTGGGGTTGCTGGATGGAAATAGTTTGTCCTTAGAATTCCTTCAGAAATGATTAAGCCCTGAGGGACAGACACGCCTCATATTTGCAAGAGATCCATATTGGCAAACCTGAATTTTGTAAATATATGTTGGAAAATGAGTATTAGAGTATTCCAGCTTGTTGATGTATTCAAGAGCTAGTCTGTTTGAGAGAAGTTACATTATTACCAAATAATCATTTAAAAATAATTCTTTTAAAATAATTTAAATTTTAAATAATACATTCTTTTATTTATTAAAAGAATTTAAATAAATTCTTTTAAATAATTTAAAAAGAAAAGGAGTGGTTGATTTATTTTTTATTTTTTTGTACCAGGGGTTGAACTCACAACCTCATGCTTGTCAGGCAGGTGCTTATGCCACTGATCTAAACCCCCAGCCTTAGGGTGGGTGGATCTTAATGCTTCATGTTACAGAAATCAGAGTCACTTGGATTCCAAAGCTCACACTAGGTTTATGATACCATTATCTATGAGAAAAAATGTGACATACAGGCTTTTCAAACTCCAATGCAATTTTCTTCTTCTTCTTCTTCTTCTTCTTCTTCTTCTTCTTCTTCTTCTTCTTCTTCTTCTTCTTCTTCTTCTTCTCCTCCTCCTCCTCCTCCTCCTCCTCCTCCTCCTCCTCCTCCTCCTCCTCCTCTTCCTCCTCCTTCTCCTCCTTCTCCTCCTTCTCCTCCTCCTCCTCCTTCTTCTTCTTTCTTCTTTCTTCTTTTGGTAGCAGGGATCGAACTACTCTCGACCTCACGCTTGCCAGGCAGGTGCTTACACCACTGAACCCTGGCCCTATCACTTTTTTCTTGAATTCTTTCTCCTCTACATTACTTTCAACAATAAAGGTGACTCTGTGAAAGAAACTAGTTGGTGGTTTTCCTCTACGCGTTTATCTTATGAAAGATACGGATTGTATAACATCATGGGGTGATGCCCCTGGTGAAATGCAGTGCGACGGTCAGAAGCACCAGTGCTCTTATTCTTTGTGCGTCACATCACTGCTCCTTCCCATTCCTCTCCGCTCCCCACCAACAGTGGTATCAGAAACATGGAGATCATCAAGTGGTATAATTTCCACCTTCTTTGGCTGCAGTGACAAGTAATCTTCTCTTCCGTTGGTGGTTGGCTATTAGTCAGTTGATGTCTTCTTTGGGTAATCCCTAGCCAGCCTAAGATTTCTTTTCTTTTACAGCAAGTAAAGATAATAATAGAGAGATAATAGAGATAATAAAGATTATAATAGATCTTTTGCACATGGAAAGAGGACCAAGAGAAAGAGGGAGGGAAGGAGAAGGAGCTGTAAAATACTTAAATTGCATTATGTACCTATACCAGTTCCCCATTGATAAATATAATCTTTATGTACTGCAAACTAATGCAAACCTTAATAATAGTGAGCTTATATTTTAGACTCTGTGGTTGCCATATGAGAAGAATCACTCTTCCAACTGACTTTTTTAATTGGTTTCAAAAACTTCTGTTCAGCATGTCTGGTTTGATGCCTAACTGGTTGGTTGGTTGGTTTATATTTTAGCAAGGATGCTACTGTGTCCCAGTTCCTTAAAGAAGAGTCCTATCAGCTTTTTTCATTGCTAAACTCTAGCCGCAGGGTCAAGATATCTTATTTGGTTTTTATTTTCGTTTTACTCTTTTATATTTCAGCTTTTAGTAGACAGAGACCAGTAGAGCATAAATATTGTACACTGTTCACAGTGCACTTGGTGTGGAGAGGCAGGTTTTTTTTTAAATGTTTTTCCCTCTGTGTATGTGTGTGTGTGTGTGTGTGTGTGTGTGTGTGTGTGTGTGATGATGGGGATCAAACCCAGGGCCTTATGCCTGGGACACAAGAACTCTGCCACTCTACCACATCCCCAGCCCCAAGGCTGTGTTCCCTAATGATCCTTTGACTTCAGCATAATCCGCTCGGTAGCCATGGATGGATGAGTAGAGACCAGCAAGAGGCTTTTGGAGACACAGTGATTCAGGGCTTTGGTTAGGGGCAGGAGCATTAGGTGCTTTATATTTGTCCTTCTGCTTACCTACCCAGTAGTCCTCCAATGGGGTGATGGTGTTTCTGTTATGCAGATAAGAAAATTGAAGCTCAGGAAAGTTAAGCAACTTGTCCAAGGTCACTGAAAAAGTAACAGAGCTGGGCTTCCACCCTCACTCCTACCTTCCCCCTCATCCTCACTTGCAAATCCCATTCTGATTCCACCATTCTCCTCTGACTCATGGTGAGAAACTGGCCTGTGATCCCCAAAATGTAGATTCTATCTTGAGACGCTTAGAAGTTTTTGGTGAAAACTTGGGCAAACCCTTGGCTTTGGCAGCTTTCTGTGTAGAATTAAACGCCTGACCAAGAGTGCTTCTCAGGTTCCATTTGGCTCTGTATAGATTGCTAAGATAAGATAAAAAAGAAAGAAAAAAACAAACAAACAAAAAGAAAAACAGACAAAAACTCACTTAGAGGAACATGTTCCCATTGAAAAACTTGATGTCACAGTTAAATGATTTTTTTTTATGATTAGAACTTGCATTGTTAGAAAATGTATCTCTCTTTAAATAGGTAGCCATGTTCACCTTTAAAAAAAACATTAAAAAAAAGCCAATCCTAACATCAAAACATTTTTCTATTACTGTCGGAACTGAAAACAGCTAGTTTGCAGATGTCTGGATTTTACTGTCTCCTTGTTAATATTTACTTAATTCCTCTCCGTAGGGACCGAATGCTAATGTTCGAAGAACTTTCAGATATCTTCTCAGACCATAATAACCATCTGACCAGCCGGGAACTACTGATGAAGGTGAGGCCCAGAAGAGGGGCACTGTTGGTAGCTTTGGACTCTGTGAAGGGAGGAATAACTCAGGGCGTCTTAAGATTCTTCTGCTCTACAAGAAACCAGAATTTTTTTCTTTGATGCATAATGTAGGAAAGATGGAGCTGAGAACATTCAAAGTCCTTCTGAATTCTCTCCTTTGAACCTCTAGCTTCTGTGTTACATGGCCGTGTGGTGAACTTGAGTTCATATGTGTGCTCTCTTAGCATGCTACTTCACAGATACAAGATCTGGCAGTCAGGGGGGTGAGAGGCCCTGACATAATCTTTCTCAGCAAAATACAGAAGAAAAGGCCAGGCCTGCAATTCCACATCCTTTATTTAGACCAGATTGCACAATCTTGTATTCAGCAACATTTATGGGACACCAAATGACTGGTGATTTCTGTCCTGTATGCTAAGAAAAGGTATACAGATTGGCTCACTTTTTCAAAAACCGGTTGAATTTCTAGTATTTGTAAAGCATTGAACTTGCCTCTAGAAATAAGAAGATGACTAACAAAGATCCTACTTTCAAGCGTTCATCTGTAGCTGATGGATAGATACTAAACAATAAGTAGTATAAAAACCCTATGCAACAAATGACAGCCTGTGAACAGTCACCAGAAGGGAGCTGACACAGAACAGATGCTATCATCATAACCTTTCCATAAAGTGCATTTTATCATCCTTTTTTTCCCAATAACCCAGACTCAGAAGGAAATATTATATACCTGGTAGAGGGGAGAGCTAAAATGTAAATCTAGTTTGGTGAGGCTTTAAAACACCTATGGTTTTGTTACTTAGATATTAAACTATTTCTTTTGACACTTTGGGAGTAAAGGGGATGGTAGACCAGGTCCAACTGCATAAAGAAGCAAAACGGGTAAATTAATTTTGCATATATTGGTTGAGCACTCATTATGTGCTAGGTATTGAAAATGCAACTATATTGCTCTACAAGTCTCTGATATTAAGGGGATTACAGTCTTATGGGAAGGTAGGAAAGTAGGCAATTATAAAATAATATGACATGTCCTAGCAGAGGGAGAAACCCTGAACTGGTAATTTGAAGATTTGATCCTTGTCTCTAGTTCTATTTCTGTAGTTTGGATGAAATAATAGTAATGGGTCAGTTAACCTCATAGAATGGGTCTGAAGGTTGATTTCAGTAAAATATGTGAAAGTACTGTGCAAATGTAAGTGATTCTTAGTATTTGGTAAGCTATATACATGTAAAAGCAAAGTGTGCATAACAAATGAAAATGAGTAAACTATAAGCTGTGCATTTGAGCTTAGGGACATTTGGAGTAGGAATGAAAGTCAAGGGGAGGTAGGGTTACTAAGCAAAGGTATCCATTTGATAACTTGTCAAACTCTAGTGTCTAAAACTCATGGGTTAGTCCTGTAAAGGTGTCTGTTACAGTTTTCATGGCTGGAACATATTCTCCTGAGTTCTGCCCATCCTTTGTACCTTTGCGTGTTCTCCTGTTTTTCTGGAATCCTTTCTTAACACTCTCAGGTCTGCCTAAATGTCCTCCACTGTGGCCTAGGAGAAGCCCATCATTCCTTGGTCCTTGTCACGTGCTCTGTCGGAATTGCCTATGCACTTCACCTGTCTCCCTGCAGGCCTATAAATTTCTTGCAGCAGGGACTGAATATATCTTCTGTCATTTTTGTATGTCCGGTACCTACTCTGGTGCCTGGCATGTAGTGTGTGTTCAGAAACCGTTGTTTGACTGTGTGAATTGAGAGTCTAGCACTCACTCACATGATTTTAACAGTGCAGCTACTGTCCGTCTGTCTTGGAGTAAAATGATATGAGGGGCACAATTTATGCTGATGTTTGGCATTAGATTCGGGCAGCTGAGTAACTGCGCATTTAAAGATTGCTGAGATCATGTTATTCCCTGCTTCACATCCCTGTGGATTTGCAGACTTTATATGGAAACCCATCTGGCAGAAAGGAGACGGCTTAGTGGTCTTCCTATTTGTAATAGAAAGCTAGACTAACTGGAGCCACACGCTCAAATCCCAGGAGTCCTGAGTCATCCTTCCAAGGTAGATAAATTGAATACTGTGCAGCTCAATGCCTGGTGGCAGTCTTTTGGCTGAAACCTTAGAAACAAAGCTATATCTAGATATTAAAGATCCCATAAACCTTTTTTAAATGTAGGAATTTACCACAGTACTCTAAGTGAAATTTCTTAAAAGTGACTTAAATCCCAAAGAAATGAAAAACTTGGCTATGAATTCTTGTGGTCTGTGCATTATCATTAATGATAGTGGAATGCTTCGGGCAGTCCATGTGTGCATGCAAGTCCCTTTCCTGTCATCTTTGTTGATCACCCTTCATGTAAAGTATACAATTCTGAGTGTAAATTGAGAGCACAGTTGTGAAAAATTGAAATCAAAGGACAGGTTCTCAAAGGAACCACTGAAAGAAACCACTGGTCTCTGTTTCTAATACATTGCTCTGAGACTTATACTGGTTTATAGTTAGGTAACCTCAGCTTTAAGGGATCTGTTTTCTACTTCTGTGTAAACATGCTGCGTCACTAATATGCTGCTTCTATAATATGACGGCCCAGGCATTGTAATAATTATCAAAAATCTGTGATTTTCCTTTTTAACTGTTGGAAAAATACTTTTATTTCTTTTTGAAGATTATCTAAAATCTTTTATGTCCTTTTGATTTCTGAAACTTACCTAATTCTGAGCAGGTAAATCTTAGAGTTCACAGACTTCAAAACAATAAGGAAGAAAACTGTCATCAAATTTCCTTGGCTCTTGTGACTCTTGGTGAGAATTCTCCCTGGCTGAATTGATACGAAGAACTAGTAGAACACTTCTGTAGTGGCGATGTGTGTTTAGTGATGCTCTCGTTTGCAACGTCAAAGTTGGAGCAGGAGACCATTAGAACTGTGAAGAACTATCCAGTAAAACTTGCCAGTACCTTGTGAGCTATAATTTAAGCAGTATTTATTGAAATGGATCCAGTGCCTTGTAGACAAGGCCCTTCTATACCTATTAGCAGAGATCTTTCTGAAGCCCAGGAAAAAACATGAGTAAGGGCAGAAGATGTAGATAGAGAAAAGTGAGTCTCAGATGAGAACTTTGCACTATAGAGAAAGAAGCGGACAATCTACAGAGGACAGGAAAGGAGTGGGAGGCCAGTGGAGAAAGAGGGAGAGATAGGGAATTCGTCCAAACAGAGGTGATTGGATAGTTATTTCCAGTGACTTGAGTGTACTGAAAAGCAAGATGAGTTGGATAGAAAGCGGAGTCACTAAGAGAAGCTGAGTATGAGCAGCAAAAGAGGCAAAAGGAACGCGCTGTGAAAAATTTCAAGAAGGTTCAGGGGTGGGTGTTGTAAAACCGTACAGTGTAGTGGGTTTGGGGCAAGGGTGGGGACAAGTGAATCCACTGGATATGGCAAAGAAGTGAATTTTCAGTGGACACCTCATTTGAAAGAACTGACGCTAGAAGAGGAGGAGAAGGAGGAGGAGAAGAGGAGAGAACTGACATTAGTCAGTCTTTTTAGTGTACAGGCACAGAATCTCTTTCTCACCATGAAGTCATGAATCAACAAGTCTTTCAGCTCCTACCTCAGATCTTTCTCCTGCTAACAAGGAGGTGGTCCTTGGGGCTGTTTAAAATCTCTTCCACCATGTTGTTCTGGGGTTCTTAGGAGCTTTCTAAATTCTCAGAAATCCTCACTAAGAACTCTGGGTATGTGAAATAATTTCCATATGCTATTCCTTTACCGATGATTGAGAGCTTGGAAAAAAAGACTGGATGGACCTGCATCCTAGAAAGAGAGGACCTTCATAGTCATGTCAGACAGAATTGATCATTCACTCCAAGTAAATTCTTAGGAACAGGGAGGTCTTATAAGCTCCTAGCATAGGAAGTGGCACACTGTAGGGTGCTGCCATGCATCTCCAGGAGAAGCTAAGAGAGAGCATGTGTTGGTGGCTGTCTTTGCTGTCCTTTGTAAGAAGGAGAACTGAGATGAAGAGTCCTGGGGCAGGAAAGTTCTGTACCTGGGACATTGGTTAAGGTGGGTGATAATTAGGGTATATTTATGTTTTGTCACCATCAGCAAGGCCATGTCACTGAGAAGGAATTTTCTTGCATTATATGGTACTGAAAAGTCACATGCTAAGGCAATATAATAAACCCAGGGATCCCTGACTATGGAAAAACTAATATAGAGGTTACACGCGACTGAATTGTGAAATGTGCCTCCCATTCATACAGTTCCTGGAAAATGAGAACTTAACAAGACCTTGAAACCACAAAACCAAAACACGTTGTGTGCAGTCAGCAAACTCATGATTAATGATTATGTAGAAGAGTTTGTTTTTACAGTAGCCAGGAGGGAAGAAAGGGTAGCCATTTGTCCTCAGGTAACAGGAGGAAGGATAGATGTGTAATAATTTCAAATCAGGGAGGCAATTTAGGAGGATCGACAGGAGAGAAGGGAAGAAATGTGTAAAGGTCTGGTTTTCATGAAGTGATCACGTACCATGACACTGGACTTCCTCAGAAAACTTCTGGTCCAAAAGTTTCATTTGCCTAAGAAATACCACAGAATTAGTCTTTTTCTTTCACAGATTGCTAGCACACTCATTTCAGACCAGGACCAAGCGTCACAAACTGTTCAGAGGAAGAGATGTTCATTTCCAGGACATATGATCGCTGAGTGGAACTTGGAATGTGTTAAAATGTCTCCTCTTTGGGGAATTGCCTGCCTTGCAGTGACAATTGATTTTATAACCTGATCAGTCACCTTCCTTAAAGAGGAAAGGAAAGAGCTGGGGTAATCCAAGACACTTTGGGGCCTATATACACTCTGCTTGCAACCGGATTGCTAATAGAGTAACTGAGAGCCTGCTGGAGACCTCTTCATTTGCATTTAGAGACTTGGGCAGAGGTTGTAGTTGTATGTTAGAAAGGAGAGGCCCTTTCCCCCTTCCCAGAGTGCCATCCACCGTCACTTTCCTCTGGGTGTGCTCTGATCCTTAGGAAGGAACCTCCAAGTTTGCAAACCTGGACAGCAGTGTGAAGGAAAACCAGAAGCGAACCCAGAGGCGGCTGCAGCTCCAGAAGGATATGGTACGTCCAGCCCACAGTCCTCCCTGAGAGCTGTGCGAGACTGGCCCTGTGTCTGTCGTGCCCAGGCGGCGGGTCTGGTGGCATCAGCGTCTGCAGTCTGCACGGCCCCCGGCTTTTGAAAGGGCTCTCCCATGTTTTACTCCATCTTTAGCAGTGCTGGGAGGTCTTTCGGAATGATACTCGCTGCATTTAACCCAGTAGCAAGTGGACACCGAGAGTTTCAAATGATGTATTTAGGAGTTTTTTGGAATAGGTTTTATTTATTTTTGATAAAAAAGGAAAATGGACAGCAGATCCATCTCTGTCCCGCTCACTGGCTCCTGTCCTCCCTGCAGTACTAAGATGCTTTGACCATTTGGCCCAGAAGCCCCCCGGACTTCCAGTCTTCCCATGCTTCTGGCATTTGGTGATCAAGGAAAACGGGCTGCCAGCAGGATTTGGTCCTTGAATTCCGAGAGCATTTCATTTGTTCCCACACCCTCCTTACTCATACCCGGGATAACCAAATCCCTCTAGCTTTTCAGCACTCAAGGATTATCATTCCTCCTTTCTGAAGGCTGAAAGATAGTTATTGTTGATTGTTATCTTTCTTTCTTTCATTCCTTCCTTCCTTCCTTCTTTCTCTTGGTATTTTGAGACAGAATCTCATTACGTAATTCAGGCTGTCTTTGAATTCACTATGTAGTCCAAACTTATGGTGATTCTCCTGCCTCAGCCTCCTTGCACTAGCAAGATTACAGGCATGTGCCACCATGTCCAGCTCTTTAGCTGTATTTTAAACTCCTAATTTAGTATACATGGGAAGAAACCAGAAAGAAGAGATTAGAAACTGGCAAACAAAGTACTCATCCCTACCTGGAGAGAGGTTTTCTCTCTTGGAAAGCTGGATATAAATCAGAAATATTTTTGATGCTAAGACTCTTCTGAAACATGAAACCTATAAAACTCACAGTGTTTCAAACTTGTTTGAATATTCAAAGATGAGTTATAAATAGTTGTTTCCAATGGAGGGAAAGATTATTATAGTTCAGGGTGAGACTGTGTACACAGGCTAGGAGGGACGAGCTGCAAGGGACAGTGAGTTCCTGAAGGACAAAACCCTCCCTGGTGGGACCTGCCTTAGGGAGCTGCCAGCCTCACGCCTAGCAGCCTGGCTGAGAGTCTGTGTTCCTGGCAGGATTTCTGTGTGAACCTTAATACGTGCAGAAGAAGGAGTCTGTGGAAGCTGCTTTTCACTTTCTTTGCAAAACAGTTAGTACCTTGGTGGCCCTGTGGAGAACAGGGGTGACTTTAGAGGTGACTGGTGACATGAACCTAGAATATAGCTGCAGCTGTATAGTGGAGTACTTCCACATTCATTTCCAACGGGCAGTGAACAAAAAACCTGTTTATTTTGAAATAACTAGATTTATAGAAAAGTTGCGAAGTTGGTAACATAATTTTTTTTTTTGGTTCTGGGGATCAAACTCATGACCTTACACTTGTCAGGCAGGAGCTTATGCCACTGAGCTAAATCCCCAGTCCTAACGTAGAATATTGTAAACCCCCAAATTTCTGTATACCTCTTGCCAGTTTCCTCTGTTGTTAATATCTTCTATAACCATGGCACATCTATCAGTATCAGAAACCAACACTAGCATCATAGTATGAACTGGAAGGGTTCCCGATAATATCTTCTCTCTGTCCCAAGACCTAGTCCAGAATACCCATAGCGGGGGCTGGGGATTTAGCTCAGCGGCATAAGTGCCTGCCTTGCAAGCAGGCAGTCGTGAGTTTGATCCCCGGTACCGATAAAAAGGAAAAAGACAAAACAAAACAAAACAAAACAAAACAAAAACAGAATACCCATAGTGTTTGGTTGCTATGTCTTCCCAGTCTCTTCTGGCTCATGGCAGATTTTCAGTCTTTCCTTGGTTTTTATGAGCTTGGGATTACTTTTGTTATTCTAGTGATGAGACTGAGGTTGTAGGTTTTTGAAAACTATGCCATGGAGGTGAAGAACCCTTTTTGTCTTATCTAGGAGGCTGTGATATTAGCTTCTATTGTCTGTTGACGGAACTGCTAATGCTGTTGACTTTCATCACTTCACCAAAGTAGAGTTTGTCAGGCTTCCCTTTCCTTTTTTAGCAGTGCTGGGGATTGAACCTAAGACCTCATGCATGCTAGGCAAGTGCTATACCACTGAGCAACATCTCCAGTCCTCAGGTTCTCTGTTTTCTGTTCCTTGGAAGTGAGTCACTAAGCTGGCCCAAAGGATCATCTTAATAAAAACAACCCACACTCTTGTGGTGTGCAGTTCTCCATTGTGCAGTGGTGAGGCTGTTGCTGTCTGGAGGTGTTGCAGACCTCCAGAAGTGTTCACACACTCTGGGGGAGAACAAATGACCCACTGACCCGAGCCCAAGCAAAGTATAAACCCCCTGTGAACACTTCTGAACATATGTGTATGATCTACTAGGCTTTTGACTTGGCTTTCATGGCTTTGAAAGAAAACATTAGATTTTGAGTTCTTACCCTATTTGTCAGGGTTTTTGAAAAATCATAGTCATGGAGGTTAGTACTAATGGCTCCAACATCATCCTTGTAAGGGTCCATTTTTCCCAATGTGGAGGTTCCCGAAACCCTTAAAGATGGCTTTTCTCTGATTGCTCTTCAGGGTGTGATGCAGGGAACCGTACCCTACCTGGGCACCTTCCTGACCGATCTGACCATGCTGGACACTGCTCTTCAGGACTACATTGAGGTGAGCTGTGTGTGGGTAATATGTGGAATACTTCAGCCTGCTCACTGGATCTTCAGCAAAGAAATTCACTTCTATCAGTTTCAGTGGAGAGCTACTGTGCTGGATGCTAGGAAGAATACAGAGTGATACAAAAAGTAACACCACCAGTGGCTCAAAAGCCAATAGGAGGAATGTGACTTACAGAAATAGTAGCTATTCAAACGGAAATGCATGAGAGAATACAGTAGATCAACATTAGTTCCATAAGAGGGGATGCAATGAAAAGACCTCATGAAGCAATGGGTTTGAGCAAGACCTTGATGTTGAGTAGAACCCTGCAGGCGGAATTGAAGGAATAATGCAGAGTGGGTAAGGTGTGAGCCAAGTAAATTTCCAAGTCCTCCCCTTCCCCTTTGTATCCCTCCTTGTTCTGAGGCATGTACTCACGGTCTCTCTCTTGGGATGAGAAAAGTGGTGATACTTGTGAGTAGCAGTAATAAATTATTGAGTAGGAAAGAGATTTGATGTTTGAAGTGAGATTTGAATGTTACGTGTATATTTAAGTATATTCTACTTAGCTGCTTTTATTGTACACAACTGGAAAGAGCAGAAGTGACTTTGCTTTCACTACCACGACCTCCGGGTGGCCACGAGTGTCACAGATGTGTTCATTCACTTCACATTTCCTGAGCTCAGCCGCTCTTTCCGTCCTCTACTCCAGCTTATCTCAGGAAACACCCATCGGTGTTGGGGAATTTGAGGGAGGAATCTCAGATTTAGAGGTTACATCCAGCCTACAGAGGATAAGAGTGAGAGGGATGAAGAATTGAAACAACTTTTCATGGTGCTGTGTATGAGTGACTTCCCTTTTGATAAACCATTGACAATTTGGTTCCTGGTATGAGTCAGTGACCATCTGCTTTTGTTGCATTTGGTCAAGGGAAAAAGTAGAATGGAATAGTTTACTCAATCATTTTGTTTTTACTGGCTCTGCAAATAATTTTGGATTCTGACTTGTAATTATTTATCATTACTGTTTTAGTTATTTCAGACATTTTAAGAGAAGGCTGTCTGCCCTGCTCTACTATAAATAAAAAGAACGTTTTTGTTTATTTCTTTCAGGGAGGACTAATAAACTTTGAAAAAAGGAGAAGGGTAAGTAGAGCTCCTGGTTAAAGTTTTCCATTTTTCTTCATCTGGGCATGAAAAAATAAAAAAGTAGAAAATTAAGGCTTTATGTTGTTTGTTTGTTTGTTTGTTTTGTAGAAACAGGAAGAATTTTAAAAAATGCTTTTGAGCACTTACTCTGTGCTACTTTACGTTTGTGCCTACATTAGCCCCCAAGGGCCCATTTAAGGTCAGTTCAGCGGTGAGGAACTAGGACTGAAGAGGTTAAACAAGTGGACCAGAGTTACCTGATCCCAGAGCCAGCATTCAGATCTTATCAGACACTCTGAAGCCCATTAAGAAATTGTGTGATTTTTTCCCTTTTCTTCCTCTTTTTCACCCTATATGTAATAATCAATGTATTGTATATTTAGAAATTGCTATGAAAGTAGATGTGTTCTCCTCATAAATAAGTACTTTATGTGAAGTAATTTGTATGTTAGTTAAGTTGACTTAGCCATTCCACAATATATGCATGTTTTAAAACTTCGTGTTATATATACACTATGAACATACAGAATTTTTATTTTTCAGTTTTTCAATTTTTTTTTTTTGTTTTTGAGACAGGGTCTTGCTATGTAGTTCAGACTGGCTTTGAGCTCACTTTGTAGCCCAGGCTGGTCTTGAACTTGCAACAATCCCCTGCCTCAGCCTCCCAAGCGCTAGGATTACAGGGCGTGAGCTACCACACCTGACATTTTGTTTTTCAATTTTTGAAAAAAAGGTCATCCTATTCAGGAGAAAGGGTATGCTAAGAATAAATGACATAGAAGAATTAATAAAGCTGACTAACTGTTGCAGGCCTGTTTGGGGAAGGAGATAGTAAGTGGTCTTCACTGTTAGGTAGAGACAATTATTCTTTTTCCTTCTTGTCAGTATTAGAAGGGATGTTCAACATTAATTTGAGTTTTGTGTGGATAGAATAGTTCTGAGTTATGTTAAAAAAAAAAAGGTAAACCAAGTTTGAAAATTTGCTGTGGTTTTTGTGTCAGATGGTTTATTTAAGTAGATATTTAAATACTTCAGAGGAAAAGGAGTGAGCAAAATAACTTCACCCACAGTAATCACATTTTTTTTTTTTAGTAATTCATTTGTTCTTTCATCCCATAAATACTAATTGTATACCTAATGTGGGCATTCAGTCTGGGAATTGCAGCATAGAAAACCAGAACTCCTTGCCCTCATAAAATAATAATCTAGAAGGGCAATAGACAAACAAATAAGGGCTTAAGAGCACAAGTAGTAGATCTTAGAGAAGCATGTGGAAGGGGCATCTATCCCCAGTTTGTAGGATCAGGAAAATTTGCAAGAAGTGACATTGGAATTAAGACCAATGAGATACTGCAGGAGCTAAGCAGGCTGGGCTCATCAGTAATAGGACACTAACTCCAAACGTTAATTTTCTGTCTCTCATAGAGTATACTACCTTCTTTAGCATAATAAATATTCCTCCATCATACTGAGACCAAGGCCGGAGGTTCCTGGATGGAAATTTGAGACTCAGAGAATTTGCCAGTTCTTGAGTTTTTCTGTCATGTTCTGTAATGATATGCTTTGTAAACATTCAACTATGCCTCCACGGTAACCATCTTTGTTCTTTAACTATGGAATAAGCCTGGATGGTAATTTCTTCCCTTGTACGATGAAGATGTTAAACGTAAAGCTAAAGCTTATACCCATTACTGACTTTTTAAAAAAATCTGTTGAAGCATCTAAAGAGATATAAATAATTTTGAACATAATTATATACTTGCTTCTTTTGTGAGCTTTAGAAGATTTGGTTAAGTGATCTACTGGAGTAGTAAAAATCTAAGGATTCAGCAAATCTAAACATTGACCTTTATGAGCCTCTGAACTGTTTAGATAGTCAGGCCTTCCAAAACTTATTTATTGAGAGGGTAAGGGTTGAAGACATCGAGGATGGGGAACTTGGGAGCTTCTCGTCTTAAAGTATTTGTTTTGTTTATCTTCTAAGAAATAGAAATAGAAAAATTTCACATATTTTCTGAAGTACATACTTAAACCTTAAAAAAATAACTTCTAAAATGAAATTGGAAAGGAGGGAAAGGAAGCTGTTTATGACTCTCGGTAGTGACTGGTTTGGCTAACTTTGGTAACTTGTTTCATTTATATATGAATTTTCTCAAGGAGAAAAGAGGATTAAAAATGAAAATATATGAGGACTTTAGAGATTCAGAGTTTCAGAGTTAGGACCCCTCCACCCCTTTCCCCCGGGGCTGGGGTTTAAACCTAGGACTTTGAATACACTAAGCAAGCCCTTTACCACTGAGCTATAACCTCAGGGCTCACAGTTAGAATTTGGCAGAGTTCTCTAGCTATTTTATTTCTGCAGAAGGACTATTTCAAGGTTCTTGGATGGTTGTCTCTTTGTTTTATCCTAAGATGGTGTATTTTCATGTTGAAAAGTTCTATATTTGGTTGTCCATATTAGTCATTCATGCTTTCTTTTTGGTGTTCTGTTTACTTTAGGAATTCGAAGTGATTGCTCAGATAAAGCTCTTACAGTCTGCTTGCAACAGCTATTGCATGACCCCGGACCCCAGATTCATCCAGTGGTTCCAGCGGCAGCAGCTTCTCACAGAGGAGGAGAGGTAGGCCCCGCTGTGACTGTGAGGGAGGAGCTGGGGTGCAGTGAGAGGAACACAGGGCCGCAGGGCCGCTCACTCAGCAGCGCTTTGGTGGCAGCTACCTTGGTTTTCCAAGGAGTATGGTGTGGAGCTGATGCGATGACATCAGAAACACTTTCAGTATTGCTACGCATTTATCTTTGTAGCCCAGAACAAGCCCTTTGTTCTGCCTGTCTTTAGGATGCTCACCTGTGCGATGGTGTGAGGCTTAAGTAAACTCTGATTTGGGAAAGCATTGTTAGAATGCAAATGTTACTGTTCCTGGCACTCACACCACCCTGTTACCATGGTTGTCTCTTGTGTTAGCTGCAGGGAGCTTCCAGTCTAGGGACAGGGAAAGACTCATGAAGAATTGAAATACGATGGAAAAGTAAAGTGCTACAGAATCAACAGGCAAGAGGGGTTCATTTAGCCGAGGTTAGGAGAGGGAGCAGGGAAGATTTGTGGCCATTTCCACAGAGACTGGATTTTACTGGAGAAGAACATTCCAGACAGTGAACACAGGTAAAGGCCTGCTGGCCTGACAGACTTGGCGCTTGAAGAAACAGTTCTAACTGGTGTGGGTGGAACACAAGGCACAGGCTTGATGAGTATATAAAGGCACATTGACTCTAGTGCTTTGATTGGCCTAGTGGGGATTCAGGCCTTTCCTGTAGTCTGATGGATGGCAGAGTGGTCTGTGGGCCATTTGTAGTCCACTGGCTGTTTTTACATTTTTTAAAGGATTAGGGGAGGGGGCAGAAGGAGAACAATATGACGTGGGACAGTTATTTGAAATTAAAATTTCAGAATCCATAAATATAAATAAAGTTTTGTTGGAACACAGCCCATTCATTTACATCTTATCTACGGTTAGTTCATGCTGTAAAGCGAGAGTTGAGTGGCGGCAACAGAGCCCACATGGCCGGTAACCTAAAAACTTAGTATCCGCTCTTTCACACAAAATGCTTGCTATTCTCTGCAGGAGACTAGGGAGTTTCTTTGAAAGTTTGTCATAAGAGAGAGTGAAGTTGACAGCAAAGTAAGTATTTGTGGATGACAGGCTAGGTTTTAGAGGAACATTATGATTAGTTGGTGACAGTGTTTGGATTCCTACTCAGGTCCACCTGACCCTACAGTCTAAGCTCTCAAGGTGGTTGTGTAATGCTGGGCGCCCTTCCACCTCCCCTGTAACCATTGACATCTTCAGCCTGAACTAGAGTCTTTCAAAAAAGGCATGTTATCAGATATAAATCCTTCCTGTGCTTGTAGCAGTTGGATCTGCCTGGCCTACAGATGTCTGAATCTGAGTCTTTTGAATTTAGGATCTTTTGGCAATTGGGAATCATAGTTACAATCTTATTTATTTATTTATTTGGTTTGTTTTTGATACAGGATCTCACTGTGTAGTTCAGGCTGGTCTTGAACTCACTATGTAGCCCAAGCCTGCCTCGAACTTTCAGTAATCCTGTCTCAGCCTCCTGCGTGCTGGGATTATAGGTGTTCTCCACCATGCCCAGCCTACAATCATATTTATTTATTTTTACAAATAATATAATTATCTATGTGTAGTCACTGATGGTTAGATATTTTACAAAAATCTCCCTCATTTCTCTTAGATCAAAGTGAGGCGTGCACACACACACACACACACACACACACACACACACACACTTGTGTACACATAAAATAGTAGGAAAGAGAGTGTAGAGAAGAAATAGGATGGGGGACAGAGGGAGGAAGATTCTTACCCCAGCCTAGCCGTGGAGTGAGAATGGAATCTGCTTTTGCTGCGTGAAGTGCACATATGTATTTTGCATTGTATTTGCTGTGTAAGAAGTGTGCGGCCTCAGGCTGGGAGGGAAGGAGGGAAGAGGTGCACACTATACTTTATAAAATATGACCACCAAGTAAGTGTTCTCTCAGATACATGGTGGAACAATGTGGTCTGTGTCTTTCCTTTGACTAATCAGAGCCTTCCCCTAAAATGAAGCCAATAAGCAATGGGAATTTGAATCTGGTCCTCAGTTCTCAGACTCTGACCTCTTGAGTGCCCTCTCTCTCCCAGCTATGCATTCTCCTGTGAGATTGAAGCCGCAGCTGAAGCCAGCACCACCTCGCCCAAGCCTCGGAAGAGCATGGTGAAGAGACTCAGCCTGTGAGTGCCCCCGCCCCGGGTCTACAGAGTGGGGGAGAAGAAATGTACTCAGCAAGGCCCCCATGGGCCAAGCGAACATGAGCATTCACTTGAGCATCACGTAGGGAGTTTATCTTTGTGGAGAGCCTGAAACATTTGTTCAGTGCACTCGTTCTCCACCTCTCCTTCCTCTGGTGTGAGCCACTGTCATCCTAGACCACGACAGTAATGGCCTTGCTGTCTGTGTCCTGACCGTTCCTTGGTCCCAACAATTCATTCTCCACTGAAGAACCTAGGGATGTTTTCAATAACAGGTTGTGTCACTGCCTTTCTTAAAAACCTCTAATGGTTTTCTTTTACAACTTTAACTCGTAATCCTAGTTTTCTAGGCCCGCTTCCCTCCCTTATCATAGTCTTTGATCCCTAAGACCCACCACACAGCCTTCTGGTCCTTCATTGGGTACATGGGGCCTGCCCCTGCTTCAGGGCCTTTGGATCTGTTGTTCCTGTGGCCTAGTTTGCTCTTTTTTCTTGACTAGCTTCCTCAGATGGCAGCAAATGTTACCTCCTGAGAGAGAAACCTTGCTGAGGGTGCTGTCATTCTTGCTCCTGCTGGCTCTTCATGGCAGTGCATGCATGTGAGGACAGGAACTCATCTGCCCATTGTGCTCACACATAGCGGAGGAAAGGCCTTTCGCGGCCAACTTCATAAGCTTTGTCTCCCATTGAATAAAGTCCAAAGTCCTTAAGAATACAACAGTTATTTAACCATTCCGTTTTTATTTAAATCAACTATATTTTTCACTTAGAAGTGACTTTTTTTTCAAATTGTCTTCTCCTTCTTTTGTCAGAATGTCTTGCTCTGAAGTCCTATTTTTAATTTTTCTTGTATGTCTTTAACATTGTTAAACATACTTATTTTAATAGCATGGCTTATGGTAGACAAGCAAATATTTGTTCAGTGAATGAATAAATTACTAGTTTCTTTCTGAGAGTTCTCATACCCGAGGTTCTCAGGAACCTAAACCTGTTGTTATGCCTATTGACTCTGAGTGGAATGTTTTCTTGTGTGTACCGTGTAATGTCGTGTTGTAAGCTCATGTTTATCAGAGAATTCTCTGCAGCCTAGGTTGAAAGTATATTCCTCCAGAAAGATCCTTCCGTCCCTTACTGTCCTCCCTCCCTCCTCTTCATCTCTCTATTTCTTCTCCCCTGTGTGTCCTTGGCCTGAGATCCCCTAACTTCAAGACCATGTGGGTAGCAAATCAGAGTGACATGCCGGCCAAGCTCACATTTGATTTCAAGGGATGTATTTTTCTTCTGGCCAAGCAGGCCAGGACAGCTGTGTTTCCCTGATGTCTTCCTGTGTAACACATTTTTCTGGCCCTCTCTTTACTTAGAGGACAGCTCTTTGCCGCCCTGATCTTCTGTAAGAGATTTTGTTTCTCTGCCTTTTGTAAAGGAAGCACTTATCTTTGAGCCCTGTGTACACGTTAAAACCCATGATCAATGTGTGGCGTATGCATGTATGGAAATACCACACTGAACTACATAATCTTGGTATGTACAATTAAAACGTGAATAAAAACATTTTAATTCACTATTTTGCCAAGATTTGCCAATTCCCCAACAGAGCAGCTGCAGAATAGTTTTTGTGCTTCCAGTTTTCAGTTCCCCTTTCATTTATGGCCATAGGGATTTCCCTTCGTATCCTACGAGAACAGCTGAAAGGAGTGGTTATATTTCTTACACTAGCTGTCTTATAGAGGAGGGGGTTGAGCTGTTGTGGTTCACCAGATGATTGGAAGGAGAAGTCCTCCTCCTCAGCTTCTTAACAGCTTTGTGAAGTTTACTTTTCAGCCATGTGAGGTTCATTTTATGGTGGGAAGTTATAGGAGTGTGGTGGTGGTGGTGATATTTTGATCCTGTCAAAGTGCTCTGTAGACCATTAAGAGAGAAGAGCCTTCACCGAGAAAGACCCTGGATTTGGCAGCTAAACAATCATGCTCTCTGGAATAACCTTTGGGATAAGATATTTGCCACTGCGTGTTAGGAGCTTTATAGAAATGATTTTGTAAAATACTAATAGCAGTACTAAGTCATACAAGATCACCAAGGGCTTACTCAGCAAAAAGTGTTTGTTTAATCAGAGATTCCAGATTCATACCCATCCATGCGCTTGACATTTTGTTTTCTGCAGACTGTTTCTGGGGTCTGACATCATCACCAGCAGCACTCCCACCAAAGAGCAGCCCAAGTCTACAGCCAGCGGGAGCTCTGGGGAAAGCATGGACTCTGTCAGCGTGTCGTCCTGCGAGTCGAACCACTCTGAGGTGGAGGAGGGCTCCATGACCCCCATGGACACACCTGATGAGCCTCAGAAAAAGGTACACACACAACCCTCTTCATAATTCCTCATGCAGGCTTTTGACAAGGTTTTTGCCACCGAAGGAGAGTCTGCTTTCAAGGTCATTATGGTATGTTTTCAAAGGCAGGTTTTTAAGAGGTGGCAAATGCAGAACTCAATGTGGAACAGGTGGAAAAGCAGCAATCAGGTTGGTTTGTTCTTTGGCCTTTCAAATATTGTGGCACACTCTCACGTAAAGGAACTAAATGACTGACTCCTAACATAAGCCAAGCAGTACTTTAATCTGGAGAAGCAGCATTGCTTAGAAAGAATGAAAAGCCAGAATCAGAGATGTTGTATCAACTTCTTGGTTCCAGACTTCGTCTCAGCAAGGGTTTTGCCATTATAATATTGCACAGCAAATTGTTCCTAAGCCCAGTGACTTAGAACAGCAACCATTCATTCTCTCTCCTGCATTGAAGGGATTGGCTGCTTTGCCCTAGGCTAATTTTGTTTCTGATCTGCTCTACTTACCTCTCATTGTTTTTAGAGTAATAATTTTCCATAAGTACGCTGTTAGCATGTTAAGACAGATAAAGAAGAAGGCAAGCCCAACTCTGCAAGCATGTAGAAAGCCTTTACTTGCTTCATATCTACAGATAATCCATTGGCTAACACAGTCATGTGGTCAGATCCTACATAAATAGGTAAAGCAGGGCAGTATGCCCAATTTTTAGCAAAAGAACTGTGAAATAAATCACAGGGCAAACGACATGGACACAGAGAGGGCAAGGAATTGGTAATAGGGATATAATCTACCTTGTCTGAGATAAGTGGTAGTGGTAAGTGATAAAAAAATTCTTATAGGAAGTTTTCATTTATCATGGCTGCATAAATAAACAACAAGAAAACAAAATATCGGTCTTAATCTTGTATACACATCTACTTCAACCTACTGGTCAGGGAGCTTGGATCACAGAGGTCATCCTTGCTAGGACTAGAACTTACCTTGAGGGAGAATTTTGGCCACCATATGTGCTCAGTAGTGACTTCAGGCCTTAGCTTCCGCTTAGGTCAGTGAGGTTGGTAAGTGTTGGTAACAGTCCCATCACTTTGTGTCTGCTGCTCTGCAAGGGTACATGTGCATGGCTTTGTGTGGTGCTACTAGCAATACTGGTGATGTGAGAACCCTCCAGTGACCTTGTCACAAAGAAACGAATGCAGGAGTGGCTCCTATTCAGTGCCCGTCAGGCAGAGATGGCTCACATGCCCCCCCAGTTGGATTTCTCACTTTTCTGCTGAGAGGCCAGGGGATGCAACCTTTTATGCTCTGAACATGAAAGAAAAAGCTCTGCAAAACTGTATGGACTGGTTGTTCTCTCAGAAGACTCATTTCCTTAACCTGGAGTGCAGTCATTCTCCCATGTGTGACAGATAAATCTAGATTGGAGGGGCTGGGAATTTAGCTCAATGGCATAAGTTTCTGCCTGGCAAGCATGAGGTCATGAGTTCAATCCCCAGTACAAAAAAAAAATCTAGAATGGAGTCTTACGCACTTTGGAGCAGGTCGTTGTGCTTGGTAGACTCCGTAACTGACGGTGAATAGCGTGTGAAGGTGACCACGGAGCACTGCTCACTTCTTTTAGGAAGGAGATGGAATTGTGTTCCCATCTGGTGGCACAGAGGACATGTGCCTACGTTGAGATCCTCCCTTTAGGTCATGCAGATGCCCAGTGTGTGCTCTTTGCACACCCCTTGCTCTGTGTTGTTTGCCTCAACCTGGACCTACTGTTTAATTCTTGGGCAATTTATGACTTTTTGTTCTTTGGATTAATTTTAGTGTTGACTTTTGAGATTTAAATATGAGTGTTTAACTTGGATGCATGACATTCCTGGGGTGCAAAGTACCTGAACAGTCCCTAGAATGACTCATTTCTCCTGCTTAGGGCATAGCTGGGCCCGATTGCCCTCCACCACCCGCTTTCGGCTGCCCACAGGAGACACTGTGAGGTCGTTCCCTTTACAAATGAAGTGTAATCTGTATTCTTTTTCTTCATTCACCTGATCACAGTTTCTGAACATTTGTGTTCACAGTTGCTCCTCTCTGTGTGAGTTCTCACTAAGAAGGGTGCACGGGTTCATCAGGAGGTCTGTTTATAACTGCAGTACCACAGCCACTCTCAAGGCTTTATCTTAATCATAAAAGGTAGAATCATAGAAATCCAATGAAAAAAAATAAAGGTAAAAATGCACTAGTATTTGGAAGATGGATATAACTTGAGTGTACTATTAAAATTATCCACCATCACCTCTCAAATTGAGCTACTCAGTTGATTCACTAGGGAAGATACAAAAAAAGAGAGAAAACCATGTTTTGGTGGGTACAGGTGCTCCTGCATGTCAATTGTCGCATCAGCTTACTGGCTCTAGTTAAACAAAACATGCAGTAGAAGTTAATGTACAGTTATGGTACAGGAAAAAGTAGCCCCCAGGACATAAGATAAAGTAGACTTTATTTTACTTAGAAGCCAGATTATCAGAAAGCTAAACTCGTGTACTGTATCCATGAAAGGGCAGGTGAATATGAAAGAATTTAATGTTATTTTAAAAGACTTTCAGAATAATTATAAGATTAATGTGGTATAATGTATTTTTAACTCATTTCAAGAGGTTCTAATTTTCTCTATAAAGGTGAATTTAAAATGGTTCAATTTAATAATTTCTTTAGGGTGAAATCTTAGTGAGTTTTAACATTCCTTTCTTTGGTAATTTTTTGTTGCATGTTGATAGATATATGGTTAATCGGAAATGTACATTAACTGTAGCACCCCATTTCTCAGTTGTCCTGGATATGTGGGCTGCTAAAAGGTGCTGCATGGTGAGTGCTTTATTACAGTAAACAACATATTGCCACTAATCCCTCCTGACATACTAAAAAATTTCCTTTTCACTCAGAACATTTATTCTATGTTCTTGACAATATATCTTTTACAGTAATTAAAATTTTGAAAATTTTACCATAGTTTTTGATCATCCCTGTGTGGACTGTGAGCATGCGTGTGGTTGGTGGTAGAGCAGATGTGGCAGAGCCAGTCAGACATGGTACTCCCCTGGTCAGATGCCTGATTTCTCTGACTCTTACTGTCTTCATCTTTATGATGCTCTGTGTTTTGTTCATGTGACAGTTGTGAGATCTAAATGACATAAAATAGGTGAAAACATGCTACCAACATCACAGTGCTACACGTGCCGAGGTAATGACACATTAGGTTAATTCCCCATGTTTTCTTCTGTAGCAGACTGAGCCCTGGCTGTGCCCTTGCTCAGTGGGTGACGGTGGGTGTCAGGGAACAGGGGTGCGCATCCTGGTGGAACTGTCAGCTGGCTGTGTGAGCCTGGAGCCTGTGTTCCCCATGAGTCTCGGGCTCCTGGGCATTAGAAAGGGAATAGGGCCAGGTGATCCCCCAGGGTGTTTTCCGCACTAACAGTCCATGCAGAGATACACAATATGTGGTCTTTATTTTAGAAACTTCCAAAAAATACAGCCATTTGTTTTCTACTACAAAATCTGATGGTGGAGTTAGGACAGGACCATCTCCATGGCGATGTTGAGAACTGCGGGGGCTCAGGGCAGTGAGACTGAAACGCTGGGAAGCTGGTCTGCAGCCCTGGAAGCTGCTGCCACCTGCTGGTTGATGCCCATAAGAACAGCTAAAACTAAGACGATGAGAAAAGCAGTCTCCTGTGATAATGACTTGAGTTACCCTCAATCACTGAAAGGCATCTGCCATAGGAAGTGTGTTTATTGGTCTTGGTATCTACTTCTGCCTTGAAAGGAGATGTCTGTTGGCCCAGATGCTAATCGGTGTTTTCTTCTGGGATGTGTTTACTCTTCCAGCTCTCTGAGTCCTCCTCATCATGTTCCTCTATCCATTCCATGGACACAAATTCCTCAGGGATGTCGACCTTACTCAACCCCCTCTCTTCCCCGCCGTCCTGCAACAACAACCCCAAAATGCACAAGCGCTCTGTCTCTGTGACGTCTATTACCTCCACAGTGCTGCCCCCCACTTACAACCAACAGAGCGAAGACACCTGTATCATCCGCATCAGCATAGAAGACAACAATGGCAACATGTACAAGAGCATCCTGGTAAGGAGCCCCGGGCGCCGCGGAGAGTTCCGTGTAGGCTGGTCCTCCACGCCCATCAGCCACTCCGACTGATAGATCGTAGCCATCTGAGGAAGGTGTATTTTGTGCTATTATCTGTTTGTTTCTTCTTGGTAGTACTTTAAAGGTAATGATATACAGTGTATTAATTATTACTATTCTCATATGGTTAGGAAATTTTGTTTATGTACAGATACTAAAATCACCACAGGTACAGATAAATGGTATATTTATATAAAGATATATCTGCCAACAGTGCATATAGGATGTAATTGTTATATCTTTTTTTTTTAATCGGTACCGGGGATCAAACTCACAACCCCTTGCTCGCAAGGCAGGTGCTTATGCCACTAAGCTAAATCCCCAGCCCCAATTGTTATATCTTAAAAAGTACTAGCACTTATTTATCCAGATCAGCGCCAGCCTTTTTAGATTGTTTGATATGGGTGAATGTATAAATGTGCCCCCACAAAGGCTGCCACTGCCCCACACCTTCTTACAAGTTTTCCTGTGTGTGGATTTATAATTGAATTAACATGCATTCTCAGGAGTGTAGTCCCTGGTGGGAGATTTTTGTCCTTTATTCATTTGGATCAAACTTGGCTACTGAAGTGGATGATTGAGCTGGAAATATAGATCCATGAGGTACTAGGTTTATAAATAAATGAAGCTGTTTTTGGGCTTATAATAAAAACTGTGTTCTTCCGTATTTTCAGAAGTATTTTTAGTAAGGAGTCTTTAAAGTACATAATGGAGTCTCTTACAGTGAACCTTAGGTGTGTAAGGTTGAGAATAGTTAGTGTAAAATCAGACTCCTTAATTTATAGGACTTACATGTTGAAAACAAGACTCTTCTTTATAAGAACAATCCTCCAGCTAATCCTGCATCTCTCTTTGTTTTTATCATTTGCCTCTTTGAGGGGACAGGGAGAGCAAACTGAGGTCTTACTGTGACATAGTAGTGTGAGCACTGTCTTAACATTTCAGAGAAAGGCTTTTCTAAAGCATTCAGTCAACAAAATAATTACTGAACATTTGTTGCCTACTAGGCAATTGGTCAGGCTTTAAAGATGGGGAGATGAATAAGACGTTTCTGCTTTTGAGGAACTTATGATTTAAAATTGCAGATCATAAAGCATTATTCACAGTGCACTAAATGCTCTAATAGTGGTCAGACCAGCCTCAAAATGGTCTTATGGCCCACACAAAGGAGTTCGTGTTAATCCTATAGGCAATAGGGTCTTGTCAAAGGTTTAAGTAACAATCACATCTATTCCTTAAAAAGCAAGTGACTTTGACACTGAGAAGTGTTGCTGGAGTGCAGGGCTGGATTTAGACAGGAAACCAGTTAGGAAGCTGCTGTCATCTTCCATGTAGGGGAGGAAAAGTGCTTGAACAAGGTCGTGTGGCTGGTGACCATACAGAAAACTTCTTTGAGGTATTGTTGTCAAATCTGTTAGTTGTTGAGCTTCTGGTTATTGTTGTGGGGCATGGAGCAAAGGATGCTGCCCAAGCAGGATGGTGTATTATGGCTCTTTCAAGTGAGATGCAAACTACCAGAAGAGATTTGGGGTGATTTAAGTCAGAGACGCTGCTAGGACATCTAGACAGTAGTGTCTAATAGAAGGTTAGAAACATGGGTGGGTACAGAGCTGCTGCTGGAGACACACCGGGACCCATTCAGCCCCGCGTGGCTGCGGCCATGGGGAGTGAGTGTAGGATGAAGCACAGCTTAACTGGTCAAGGGTGAGGGCTGCCTGGGGGAGCACCAGACAGGAAGGGAGCAGTGGGGAAGTCAGGGTCATCAGGGTTCGTGTTGCCCTGTTAGCACGATCTGTTTACATGGCTTCTCTTCCATATGCCAGCCAGAGAAGTAAGTTCTGCCTGTACAGCTCCATGGTATTTCTGGATTAGAGCATAGGTTTGTTTTGTGCCCCAAGCATGTGGGACATGCCATCAGGCTGTGTTCTGCTCTGCCTGGGGAGACCTGTGAGGAAACCCCTTCTGCCCAGAAGAGTCTTGGATTCCTGACTGTGTTGCGTGAGTATTGGGAGCGTAGTAACAGCCGATTCCCAGATTCTGCCTTCCTGAGCTTGAGGCCGCCCTGGGGGAAGCAGGCCTTCGCTCTCCTTCCTGCAGCCCTTGACGTTGCACTCGGTGGTGCCACTCGCCTCCTAAAGGTCCTCCCTTGGCCTCATCCTGAGAGACAGCATGCTGCTTTAGGGGTCTTACACAGGGTTAGGCCTTCTAAAGAGAAACTCGGCTCCACAGGAAGTCCTTTCATGAAAGTTATTTCACCTACCAGCGAGAGAAATAATTTAATCCAGGCTTAACCTAGAGTAGCAGGTCCCAAACTTTTTGGTCATAGGAAAAGTGAGAAAAGATATTGAATATCCTTGAAAAAGTATCAAATATCCAAAGAGGTTTAGGCTACATGGCTTCTACACATTTACATTTACCATATTAAATACTAAAACTGGAAAATGTAAAAAAAAAAATTATAATTAAATTTATAAAATTACAATAACATAACAGCACATTGCATATTAATGTAAGCAATATTTTTAGTGAAAAAATATCTATGTTTCTGAAAACTGTTGAGTGAGGTGAGTAGCTTTGGTTTTGCAAGTTCTCTGGGATGTTTACTGAGATGCTGTATTTTGGTTGCAGTATACAATGAAAATTTAGCTTCATGCAGGTGTGGAGTTGGAAAAGGGAGGAATATTTAAATGCATTTTCAGATAATTACAGGTATTGTGGGTCAAGATTAATAAAACTCATAGTTTTGACTGCTTTCTCAAAGCATTCTTATGAGTACAAGTTATTGATGAATGTAGTCATATCAATATAGCCCTGCAGTAGTTTCTGCTAAAGAGACAGCAGATCATCCACGATTGCTTTTGTAATCACAATGCAGGTGTCAATACAAGTGGAGAGACAAGCATCTCAAACAAGCATTATGAAAAGAATTTTGGGTCCCCTCAAAGATTTCAGGGATTGCAGAGGCCCTGCATTTCCCATTGAGAACTGTTGGTCTAGAGAACTTGCTTTGTAGAAACTGCTCACGTCTCTTATTTTATATTCTTCTCAACTTCTCAGTGACTATAGACAATGGCCTCCAACCACCATACCACCCGTCACTCTTTCTAAATGATATTTCTCGCCAGAATGCCAATCACAGTCAGAATCCTGAGATCCCTTAAGATTGCAATATTCATGGACATGGGGGTGCATGATGTCAGTGTCTAACTGTCATTTATCACCATGCCACTCAGTACAGTAACCACTAGCCACACGTTGCAACCAAGCATTCGAAATGGGAATACTTTGTACCCCAGTACCCCAGCCTGGGGATGCATGACTGAGCTGTTCAGACTAACTGTACCCATTCATTCCCCACATAACTTTTATAGTACAGAGTAATAAATACCACGTAAAGCCCTTGGGCACTGTCCTCATTTTACAGCCTGGCTTTTCCTCAGTGTTCTAACAACTTAGTGGAATACTCACCCCTAAGTAGTGTCCTGTTTTCTTTAGTTTTATGCTGCTAGTTCCAGTTAAACCACTTTGGGGAGAATGTCTTTTAGACTATCAAGAGCATATTTTTCTCCTCTAGGATTGTGTGCACCCATTTTTTCCCTTGTAAATAGATATGGCCGATGTTCTGGTAATAGAAAATGAACAGGGTCTTTATTGCACACAAGGACCCTATTGTAATCCATGCTGTTTATTGAATCACAGACACCAGCTGCTGTCAGATCAGAGGGAGCCATCCAAATCACGCCATCCTTGATTCCCAGTGACAGTTTCTGGGTAGAAATTAGCCTCTGTGTGTGTGTAGGGGCGTGGTCTTTCCTCGATCCTCTTACCTCCTGATGAGGACAATTTGATTTTTAAGAATAATCTGTTTTCCTTTACTTCTTTTGCATTTGAAAAAATCACTCACAGTGTGTACACAGGCCAGCCCTGAGCCCTTACCAACGTCTTGCTGGTGGTTGGAGATGAAGACAAAGTCAGACTTGGGAATGAGGGCACCTTTACTTAGAAGCCAAATCTTATTAAAATGTAACATATATACAATTGTGTACACAAATATTACACATTCAGTTATTTTAATTTTAATAACAATGCATATCTGTATAACTGCCACCCCAATCCAGATAAGAAACATTTCTGTTCTCTCAAATTCCTAATCCCTTTAACCTAGAAATTAGTTTTCTAATGCCACAGATTTTTTTGTTTGTTTGTTTTTGAAAGAATAAGCTCTACCAGTATATAATCCTCTGCTTGGTTTCTTTTGCTTGACAGGAAGTTTTTGAGATTTGTCTACATTGTCACACACGCCCCTTGGTTCACCCATGCTCAGAAGTATTCTGTAATGAATGCGTTATAATTCCTTTCTCAGTGCTCTTGTTGGAGATTCAGCTTCATTTTCATTATTGGCTTTTGTGAATAAATACACTGTGAATACTTGTGTACACATCCTTTGTGGAGTTACATGTGCACTTTTTTAGTAAATACATAGAAATGGGATTAGTGGACCATAGGGTCGCTTATACTACTTGAAAGGACAAAAGCGGGGAGCTGTAGCCTTTCCTTCCCGCTGGTTGTAAGCAGTGTCACAGCCCTAGCTCTACGCGTGAGAATCATCTTGGCCCAGGACTGGTGATGCTTTACATTTTTCATGTGTATTTCTTGTTGGAACCTCAACCAGTGTGTGGGACAATGTAAGTGTTCTTCCATTTGGACAGGGTACCATGACTCCAAGACATCAGGTGACTTCCATCATCTTTTGGCTAAAAGGCTGGTGCCAGGAACAGAATTCAGGAGTCTGACTCTTGGTCTTGTTCTTATACCTCTTGTTCATCTTCCTAGAGAGGCATGCACAACACAAACTATCAGGGAAGAGAAGGTCAGGAGGACTCACTCAGGAAACACAAAGCAAAATCATTCACAGATGCATTCACTGTCTTTGCAGTTAACGAGCCAGGATAAAACCCCTGCCGTGATCCAGCGAGCAATGCTGAAGCACAACCTGGAATCGGACCCCGCCGAGGAGTATGAGTTGGTGCAAGTCATCTCGGAGGACAAAGGTGGGCACGTGTTCCTTCTTGTGACTGGTGCCAGCAGCATGTTCAGAGCTCTTCCTAGACACTCAAGGCAAAAAAGGGATATAAACTTTTTTTTTTTTTTTTTTTTTGTCTTTTTCATTTTTATCGGTACCGGGATCAAACTCACGACTGCCTGCTTGCAAGGCAGGCGCTTATGCCGCTGAGCTAAATCCCCAGCCCCGATATAATCTTTTGTTGGAGCCTACAGGTGGCTTTTCACCATGCAAGGGTGATCACCTCACTGTAGTCAGTGTCCAGCTGCTTTCTCCCACTCACCAACTCTTGTTCTCCTACAGTTCTGCTCGGAGGTCTTCTGCCTGTTCCTTGTATACTTCTCATCAAGCAGTTTTCTAGGAAGAGATTTCTCCATGTGGGAGAGGCAGGATGTAGGTGGGAATCTGCTGGGTCTCCACAGATGGCTATACACTTCTTTTCTTGGACAATGTGTTTCTCAGTTATGCATGAAGTTAAAGGTTAGCAGTCTGTGTAAGAGTTTCTCATTATTTCAGTGAATCATTTATAAGAGCCTTTATGATAGTACATATTTGTTTATGATGTTTTATTTATGGTACATATTTTTGATGATCAAGTAACATAAGCTTCTTCATTTTTTTTTTTTTTTCTTTTTGAGATAGGGTCTCACTATGTGGTTCAAACTGGACTTGGGCTCACTTTGTAGCCCAGGGTGGTCCTGAACTTGGAACAGTCTGCCTGCCTCAGCCTCCTGAGTGCTGGGATTACAGGAGTGCACCACCACAACCGGCTTCAAGCTTCTATTTTTAAGTTTCTTTACTTCACTCTTATTGAGGCAAAGAGTTGATGGTCTGTGAAATGTACCAGTAATCTCAATAACCCATTATTTAAAGAAATTCCTTTTATGAAGCCTCTGTGGACAAATAATCATCCTTGCAGGTATCTATTTGCTAATTTGAATGGGGTCTGTTTTTTGAGAGGAGGAGACAGGGCAGTAAATAATTTCTTTGTTGTACCATTGAGTAACTCACAATAAGTTCCCTGTCCAAGTGGAGAAGGAACAGCACCTATTGTTGACTTGAGGCCAGCGTTGTGTTCCATGGGCCCAGCATGGCCCCTTGTGTGTTAATGGAGAGTACTACTCACCATGAAGGGGTGCCCTTCTCCCCGGGAATGATAAGAAGTAGGCAGTGTAGTAGACGGGTAAGAACAGGATTCATACTGCATCTGCCCAGCAGATCACCAGGCCTCTCCGAATCAGGCTTAGAGAGCAGTGGCTACAATTACAAAAGTGCCTTTTCCTGGAAAATAAAAGATACAACCTCTGAGAAAACCCTTTTTTACTTACCCCTGGAGGTTTTCTTGTTCATTTAGCTGAGCTTTAGGTTGTATGCAAAACTTTCTCAATCATAACTTTTTAATGAAGTTACAGTTAAAACTTGGGCTTATAAAAGTAGACCCAGAAAGTAGTCCCTTGCGATTTGCCAGGTGTCCTGTAAGGTGGCACAGTGGAGCCAGTGGGTCTGAAGGTGCACAGGTCCCAAGGTGCAGCTGTGTGGTCTTGGGCAAGCTGCCTGCCCTCACCAGACTACCAACCTGTCTTAGTTAAATGGAGACCGTAACCCTCTGCTTTCTCATACATTACCAGGAGACTCTGAAGGCAGCAGGAAATAATATACCTGGGAGTGATTTGAGGAAGTGCTCAGTGATACAGGACATGGAGGAAACCCCGGGAATGTGTGGGCAGAAGCACAGGGACACTGTGAGGAGGCTGCTGTTTACGGAGTGTCTGTGGCGGAAGTGTACCAGGGCTGTGTAGACCCTGATCGAGTGGATCCTGCCATAAGGTCTCATGCTTACTTAAACCCCACTTAACCTGGTTCCAAGGCAGGTGCCTCAGCTGCTCACCTCCACAACCCCCTTCTACAAACTAAACTTGCCCAGTTACCTTGTTCTTTTTTTTTTTTTTTCTTTTATAGATCCATTATTACCTGAGTGCTAGGTACTACATGGCTTCTTTTAGAAATATAAACAAATCAAAATCACTTTAGACTGGCAATTCTGTATCACACTGAGAGAATTTTGTGTTCAGAAACTGCAGGTATCTACTTGGGAGTCTCTGGAGTTGTTGCCAGATGTTCGCTGTCTTACAAGGATACTGTTTAACATTAAGATGAGCTGGACATGGTGGTGCATGCCTAAAATCCCAGCACTCAGGAGACTGAGGCAGAAGGATCACTGCAAGTTCCGGCCAGCCAGGGCTACATAGTGACTTCAAGGCTGTGTGAAACAGTAAAAAAATTAAAATGCAAACACTGAACAAATCGGCAACTTGGCTGCAATACATAACTGGTTTGATTTGGGATTAACTTCACGAAGATTCTCAGTATTTCAAGCATTCTGGAGCATTCTAGAAAATGCTGTAGATGTTTTGTTTTTTCTCTATGTCACTGGGTTTCCTTGGTCTTTGGGAAATCTCTGCACCCAGACAGGAAACTGACTGCAGAGGGAGGGCGGGCTGCATTCTAGTCCGGGTCTGCTGCTCGCTGGCGCTGGTCCTGGGAGCCTCCTGTGGCTTCTCCCGGGTCTTTGTTTCTCCCTGCACTTTTTTCTGGCTTTCACATTCTGTACTTGAACAGATGGGTTGGGTTCATGATGGGAAGGATTTCTAAGTCCTTATTTGCGTTTAGCTTTTGGGAGGTAACTGAGATGTCGTTGGGGCCAGTGAAGGGCAGAGGAGACATTGCCTGGTTGGGTCACATCCCAGGAGTGAAAGGCTCTTACATCGGGGTGAGAACTGTAGCTACCTTTGTTGGAGCTCGCTGCTGTACTCAGACTGACAGCCTTCTCTTTGCTTTGCTTTTGCAGAACTTGTGATCCCAGACTCAGCAAATGTCTTTTATGCCATGAACAGCCAAGTAAACTTTGATTTCATTTTACGCAAAAAGAACTCAGTGGAAGAACCAGTGAAGCTTCGTAGCCGGACCAGCTTGACATTGCCCAGGACGGCTAAACGGGCTTGCTGGAGTAACAGGCACAGCAAGATCACCCTTTGAACAGGGGCACCAGGGACCCCCTGGCTCGTCCAAAGTAGAATCAGGCTGAGTACAGGCCTGGCCGTTGCTACTACCATCCAGTGTTAGCGGGTCGTTGGTGAAGTCAACAGATATTTATTGAGTACCTGTGGTGCACCAAGCACTATGTGGAAATGACTTCGACATGAAGAAGACAAATGATTTACTGATGCTCTTTGACTTTTTTGGGACTGAGATACAAAATTATCCACATTTTATATATATGCACACATATTTAGTATATATATACATATACACATATGTATACATTATGTATGTATGTGTATGTGTATATATATATATATATATATATATATATATATATATATATGACATATGAGAGACTTTATGGGATGTTTGGGACTATGGAGAAACAAATTTGCACAATGGCCTGGGAAGCTGAGGTCACTTTTTACAGGGAAATAGAAGGAACCAAGAACCTAGCCTTACACTTTCCAAACAAGTAGAGTCAATCCCAGGAGTACAGAGTGTCCTTTGTGTCAGTATTACAAGAAATCCAAGCTTTATTTTTCTAAAGGGAGAGGATTACTTTCTCAATCAAGTGCCACCACATAAAACAACTGCAGAGGTTGGAACTGCCACAAGCTGAATGAAAGACCACTTTGGGAAGGGTTTGGATGAGTCGGTGGCCTCCGACCTCTGCCTGCATCAGTCAATTTCTGCTCTCGGGTAGAGCCGGGAAAAGCTCCAGAGGCCCATGCAACATCTCTGGAATCAACGCAAGCCCGTTTGATTTCTGGCAACCCTGTCGTTTCTGTTTTATCTCCTAAAGAACATATCACCATAATCACTGTTGCACAAAAGCCATGCTCTGTGGTAACTTATCAGCCAGAAAAGAAAACACAAAAGAACGATAATGATGATTCATTTGGACTCTTATCTGTCTTGAATGCCACTACTTCATTGCCTTTTCTGATTTGCCTTTTGCATGTAAATCTGTACGTCTGGAGTCTTTCGCCATCTGGATCCTAGTACCTCTATATTATGTGCAATTTGTTCCTCAGGTGTAGAAATTTCTACTGCGATTGACTACATTTGATCAGTTTGAGCCTGTGAAAGATTTCTGAATAGTGATTACCCCGTTACTTGCCCTGCAGAAGACATTCCCTGCTGATAACAATACCTGCTTTACTTACTTTAACAGTGTTCCTGTGCCTGGTAGTGGGGAGAGAAACAGGAGGGCATACTTTATCTCAATCCTTTCTCAAAGAGGTACATTCTTTCAGAGGGGGTCAGTAGCACTCTTTTTTAGATGACCACGTGTGCTTTCCACAGATCAGTGACATTTCTGTCTCTAGTAACACATCGTACTCTCCTTCCACTTCCGAGCTACGCTGGGGTTCGAACTAAAAAGCCATATGCGGGAAGCTGATGTGTATAAGAAGCACTTTCAAATTGTAATTCCTTTTTAAGAAAAGAAATCCCCAAATAGCAGTTTTTATTCCAAAAATAAAGAATGAACCCAGAAAAAAGTGAAGATGGTAACATGGAGCTTTTTACCCTTGATCTTGTAATACGGCTCCCAAAGGTTGTGTGGCAATTGTGTTACATACATAGCCATATGAATTCTGCCAGAAACACCAGGAAGTGTATAGCAGTTTGTGGTGATGGACCAAAGAATGAGCCAGGAAGGCCTCAGGTTTCCTTGGTCTTTTTAGGAGATCAGACTGTGCATTGTGTAGAATTTCAACTAGTCGAAAAGCACTTTCTTCTGTTTGTGAGACTTTTGATTTATGCTTCTGTGCATGGAGAAGAGATGTCCAGGGTCTCAGCCATCATGAAGATTGAAGGAATGTAGCCCCAGGCTGACTTTCTTGATGGGAAGGTCACAAAATGTAAAACTATCAGTCTCATTAAGGGTGTGTCTACCAAGGCATACCTGTTGTGCTCATGCGCTCGCCCTGTGTATTTATACTGTACATGTAGAGCCTAGATTTATATACTGCAATGTAAAAATATATATACCTTTTTTTAAAAAAGACAATGGAAATTCCAAGTAGATAAAATATGGCCTCATTTATTTAATGCCACTTGTCTTAGATTTGCTCCGTGGTGGACAGCTGCTTGCATGCTGTGTGTCTGCATCCCCATCGTCTGTTTACCCTTCGGTTAAACTAATAAACTGGTATGGGACGTGGCCGGCATGTGCTGCCGGACCCAAAGGGACTGTATCTGGAGTGTTCATCAGGCGGAATCTGGGTTCCAGACAGGTCAGTAAGCCTTTCAGGAGCCCAACTGGGATCAGGTGGAGGGAACAGGGGAGAGCCAGCAGCTGAGTTGGAGAGGATGGTTCCCACCAGCAAGTGTCTCGAGCATTTAGGGGGAAGAACTTAGGAAGTCTAGCCAGACGTGGTGCCTTGCCAGGGTGCTATTCTTAGTAGAAGTCACGCGGTGGGAATACCTCTTAGGAAATCTGTCTTAGAGTGAGGATCTGAGGTCGTGCTCTACGTACTTTCTGAGCACTGTTTCTGTTCGGCATTAGCTGCCCCCTGAATCATCTTTTTTTTTTTTTTTTGTCTTTTTCATTTTTATTGGGACCAGGGTTCGAACTGAAGACCGCCTGCTTGCAAGGCAGGTGCTTATGCCGCTGAGCTGAATTCCCAGCCCCCCCGAATCATCTTGAAATCTTCCATGGTTCTTTAGAAGCCATAGAGGAGAAAAATGTCTTTCCAAAAGGCATTCAGGCTGAATCAGACTTTACTCAACATGCTATATTGTCAATTTTCAGGTTTCCAAAAGTTGCCCAGAATTATTTTTTGATGGATTACTAAATGAACTCAAATTGTAGTATTTTGTATTATACTTGGCGAATATTTGTGGAAATTTAAAGGGGAAGAACTAGCCCTTTTAATGGAAATTAATGGGGTCTGGGGTAGGAAAGGAATTTCAGTCTCTGCCAATAGGTCACTTTTTTCAAGACCATCGAGAACACCGTTTCCCTTGTTTTGTCTCTGTTCAGAAATCGGACTTGGTGACTAGTGCCTGGAATAACAACATTTAGATTTTCTTCTTTGGAGCATTTTCACATTCTTCATGTAGCACAAGACCATCAGGAAGCAAATAATGTTGTTGATGTGTCCTGGCTTCAGTGATACTGCACGGTTGCTGATGACGAAGCTCTTCTACGGATGCCCACAGTTCTTATGTTGTGTTGCCGTCACTGCTTCCCCTAGAATCTCTCTTCAAGTAAATAACTCTGGAAGGGCGTGTTGGGTTAGGCTAGACTAGATTGGAGTAACAAAACAAGTAATTTAAACCAGGTTTTATTTTTTTCATTCAAGTGCCAATATACTATAATGTCAGGCAAATTTCTTTACTGGCTTTCCTCTACCGTGGCTCAGGGATCCAGCCAGCTTTTCATCTTGCGACTCTACCACCTCAGTTTTTTTCTAACGAGTCACAGAGATGTTAGAAAGATCGGGAAGTCACAACTGTTCTGCCCACTTTATATGGAAGAGGCGTGTTATAGTCTCCATTCACCAGCCCGTGCCCCATAATGTGAGTTCAAGGACAATGGGAAATCCAGAGCATGTGGGCGCCTGGGGTGGGCGTGGGAGGAGTGAGCAGAAGGAGGAGGGGAAACAAAGAAAAGAGGAGGAAGGTAGAAAAAGGAACAAAAATCCATGGGAAAATGAGCATCCCAAATGAGACTTGGGGTGGCCCAGACATCTATTTTTTCTTTTCTTTCATTCTTTGAACTCGTGACCTCACACTTGCCAGGCAAGCGCTTATGTCACTAAGCTAAACCCCTAGCTCCCCAGACATCTATTTCTGATACTTTTATACAGTGTCTAGTAGCCAGTCCCTCTCCCCACCATGTTAAATCTGAGGATTTGCAGTATGATCAGTTGAACAATCAATACATGAGATTATATGGGTGGGCACAAGGGTTGGAGCTATAAGCACCTGTATATATTAAGCTGTGTAGGTGGGGATGGGGTGGGGGGAGGAGGAAAAAAGAGACAGATTAGCTGTTAGAGAACAAGAAATAAAACAGGTTGTCTGCCAGAAGCTTTGAAGCGGCTTCAGTTTTGGCAGGGATGGGATCTTCCTGCGTTGGACCCAAACTCACAGGCCACTGACTACTTTAAGCAAGTTGTCCGACTTCGCTGTTTCCTTATCTGAAAAGTAGGGAGTGCTAGCAGTTGCTACCTCTTGAGGTTCTCGTAGCATTAGATGACAGCACCCATAGACAGAGCATGTTGTTTGGCCTGGGGAAGTCACGTCCTCAAGCCCCGACCTCCCTGCCTGGGTGAGCAGATGTGAGTTGTGGACTGAGAGGTTGAACTGCAGTACCCTGGGAAAGTCTCAGCCTGCTGAGAGTTTGGGGAAAGACTGACTCATGGAGCTGGACAGTGTCCAGGGCTCCTGCAGCTTGTTCCACTGCAGTGGTCCAAAGCAGTTTCTAGAGACAGGCGTGTGGGCCCACGCAGTCTCTCTGGCTGGCTTTGCAGTGTAGGTCAGTTTTTACTCAAGGACAGCAAATGTGAAGCTGCCCGGAGCTACAGCGTCCCACAGAGCCAGAGGGATGCAGTGAATTGACAGGCCTGACCTTCCTGAATGCTGCCTGACCGGAATCTGCAGTGATGCTGGGTCCTCCCTCCTCTGCCTCTGCATCTTTCTTGCAGGAAGGGGCTCTCTGCTCCCAAGTCCCTGTCCAGGACAGCTCAGCTGCACAGCTGTGTGTGCTAATCTCTGGGCACTGGAGCACCGGACACGCACTGTTTCTTTGCAGGCTGCGTATGAACCACCTCAGCCTTTCTCTGCTGTTGCGAGGTTAAAGCCTTCTAACATTAAGGAACAGGCAGGCCGTCTCCACTTCCAGCGTAAGCCTGCGTCCCACCACTCTCTCTCTCGGTTCCAGGTCCTTCTTTTGGCCTGTGTGCACCTGCCTTATGGTTTCCAGCCACCAGCCTGGATCTCTCTTCCTTCCTGTTCCCTTGACTTCCCTCCTTGACTCAGTTCCGGCCCGCAGACCTTTAATCTGTGTGTGCTGCTCTGAAAGCTGCTGCTGTCCTTACCTCTCAAATTCCAAAGACTGTGAGCTCTGTCTCCTTACACACAGCTCTGCACAAACCTTCCTCCTTGCACAGCTTCAGCAACCACCATTCCCCTCAAGTCTTTACAGTTCATGCTGGTATTTTTAGAAAGCAGCTAAAACTATTCAAATCACACTGTCAACTCTTGGAAAACTCAATTCCCGTTTGAGAGTCAGCTTCAAACTTATCATGTTGTTTGGAGAGAGGATTCGTACGTGGTCACTGACTGTTTTCTAAGCTTTTCTGCAGAACACAGAGAGAGGGTGCTCACTTTACCCTGAAAATGAAGTTCCCCTAAGGTTAAAAGTCTAGGAAAGGCCGAAGCAGCCCTGTGGACCCACAGGGGCGTGGAAGCAGCACTCTGGAGGCCCCAGGTTGCTCTCTGGCATGGCAATTTTATTAAAATGTCCATTGCAGAGGAAGCCAAGCTGAGGAAATGAAAGGGAGGGGCATAAAAATAAACACAAGACATGAGAAGTGGAGAGAAACCAATCCTCAGAGGTGATTCTTTATTCTTCCCAGCCCTTTCCGCGGGAGGATGACTTTGGGCTGGGAGCAGCACAGCTGGTGCGGTAAGAATAAACCGAGCAAAGGTCATCTCAGATATTAACACCTCTGGGAGAAAGCATAGCAAAGCAAAACTAAACAAAACCACAAGGCCACTTTAGTTAACCTCCAGGGCAGACAGGGAGCTCTTCTCTTGCCCAGTGAATGAAGCCACCTTAGGATTCAATTCCATGTCTAATAATTCTGTCAATAAATTCTTCTTGCAGACTCACCTAAATTCCTTTTGTCATGAGAAGAGATACTTTAGTATTAGGGATTGAACCCAGGGCCTTGACACTGAGCTATATCCCAATCTATTTTTTTGAAACAAGGTTGTGCAAAGCCACTGAGTTGTCCAAGTGGGGCTCAAACTTAGGATCCTCCTGCCTCAGCTTCCCATAGTGCTGGCATAGCAGGCTCATGTCAACACACTCAGCTCCACGTAATCTTTTGCAACATAACGTACTAAAGATTACCATCATTTACTTCTCTTTTCTGAGAAGGCAAACAGAAAAGGTCAGGCAGAGGTGTTCTTCTCTCAGCGGCCCTGCAGTGCCATTGCAGCTCCCAGCTCCCAGTGGAAGGACTCTTTCCATCCATAGTCCTCCCAGTTCTCCCTCCACATGAATCAGAGATCTCTGTTCTGCAGAGTGTAGCAAACGTCAGCACGAAGCATTACCTGGGTGTACTGATGATTTCCAAGACCGCTTCCTCCTAGCTGTCTTGTATGTCACTCATTTCTTCTCAAATGATCATCCTCATTTTAACTTCACTTTGTCATTAAACTCTCAACAAATTAATTTGTTGTGAGTCACAGAGATAATTTCTGATCATTTCTTTCCCCTTCCATGTAGCTGAAGAAAATGTCCCAAAAGCACACTGTAGAAAGCCTCCTAAAAACAATTGTCTCTGTTTTAGAGTCGTCAGTTGGAGGAAATTGTTCCAATCATAAATGAAAAACTCTTAAGATCCCTAAGTTTGCATCTGAATGAGAACCTTTGTTGATGATACCAGATGACAGAGAACTTTTGTGTAATCTTTTAAGACAGTAACCAAACCTAGAATTCCCCAGAAACAATGGCCAGTGTATTTTACGATTAACTCATAAAAAGAACTTACATTGCCATCATCATCTAGTCTCTCTTATTTCTCAGCACTAGTCCCAACAGGTCTGTAGATCTTTGCTCCTACTGAGTCCCCGTCACTTCCACTTTGCACAACTGTCCTTTCTTTAAGCCCAAAAGGCTTCCCTAGCTACCATGCTCAGCCCTCCTGCCCTCTCTGGCTTCCCACACCCCCAGTGTTGTACAAAACCAACGACCAGTGTTTGAATAACCAAGGACTAATCATTGAACTAAGTTTTTTTTTTTTTTTAATTTTTCACAAAGAGCTCCAAAAGGCAAACACTTTATCAATTTTACACCCTGAAACAGCACAGCAAAATGGACAAAGCAGGGTACGGGACGTCAGCTCCTGAACTCTAGGGTTTCTGCAGGAGACTCAAGGAACCCAAAGCGAGGCCCATGCAGCAGGTCCTCTGCAAACTTCAGGCATTCAAGCCACACACAAGGGCATCAGCACTGCCGAAGTCTCCTTGGATCCTGAGAGGAATCCAGAGGGTTTTACTTCTGAGACAGAGGGAGCAGGTGCCAGGACTAGGGGGGGACAAAGGCTCTGTACCGATGGTCTTGTGTGGAACTACACAGGTCAGATGTCTTAGTTGAAAAGCAGAAGGGAGGCAACACAAATAAAAAGGTCAAAGAACCTTTGGGTTGCTGAAGAGATGATTTTGTAAAAGAAATACTAGCTCTGCAGTTTACAAAGTTCACAAGAAAAGATGATTGCGTGGGATGCAGACCTGAGTGGGAAAAAGCAAAGTTTGGACTGACAGAGCCAGAGCTTTATTCACAGTAGAACAATCCTAGTCTAAAATTCTGGAATTTAAATCCAATATAATTAAGGAATGAAAATTCTTAAACTCATCAGACCAGCTGATGGGGGGAAAAGGGGAAAAAGTTCTCTGCTAAACAAAACAACGCAAAAATCAACTCAATCTTCCTCTACTTCTGACACCCCAGCCACTTGACACTCCACTGAAAAAATAATTAAAACCAAGCACACTTGCACACACTCAAATATGCAGACGAAATACCAAGTACCCCAGGAAGCCTTAGGAACCACCTGAGGATTTTTCACTAGCTTCCCTGGTGTTCTTCCTGTGTGTCTAGAAAATTCAATCAAGTTCTGACAATTTAGTTCAAGCAGTAAAAACTGGAGTCAGGCAACCCCTGCTTTCCTGGCTTATTAGTCAGTGGAGAAGAATATCAACAACAAATCAGGAAGAAAGGTGATGGTTGAGGCGAACCATTGTGCTATCTGAGGACGCCAGATGGTGGATCTGGATGTGATCTGAAATTTACATAAAACCAATTATGAATAAAGCAGAAAGGAATTTCAAGGGACATCTTTTGAGAAATGGTGTCTGCTTAGGATTTTGGCTCCATGAGTTTGCTTCCCTGATTGTTGGCCTAAATCTGTGGTCTAGTCCATTGTTTCTGGCCAAAGTTTCTCTCTCCTTAAGTGCAACATACTTTGTTTTCCAAAGGTTAGAATCCCCAGACAGGCCTCCTTGCAAGAGCCATGCAGAGAAATTCAGGAGATTCAGATGGTGAAACAAATGTGTTGACACCGGCCCCTCCCTGGGGTGCACAGAAAGCTTGCAACATCTGTTTTTCTGCCTCATCCTACCAACAATGCTTCCCCCACATTTTGTAAAATAAATAATTTGAAATATAATGAACAATGGGGGAAGGACAGTTCCTGGCCTGAAATGTGGTCTGTCTATTAACAGTAACTCATAAAACTCACACCTGCAGTTTGTTCCCAGGCTAAGGGATGGCCAGAGGGTGTGGGGTGCTATGGTAGCATGTGAACCCCAGGACAGGGCAGTACTGCCCTCCTGCCCTTGCCCTGTATATATTATATTTATCTATCTTTATAAATACAGCATCCCGGCTCAAGAGGCCACAGTGAAAAAGGGCAAATGGTTGAGTTCTTTTTCCCCTCAAATATCTACAAAAGCCCCTCACTCTCTGGAAAACTGGGCACATCTTTATGAGAGTCCAGTTGCCACGATGGTCAAGGGCCATGCCTCAGCCAGACCCAATTACCATATCTCCATCAGGGACTGAGCTAACAATTAAAAAAAATCCACTTTATGATAAGGCTCATGACAGAATTCCTTTAAATAAAAAGCCCAATTAATGTAATTTTAAATGGTTTGATTCTCTAACTCAAAAAAAAAAAAAAAACCCTTGTTACATGTACAAGTTTTCAAGATCATACAAAGTGAACCAACTAGACCAATAAATGTAGCCTTGTTGGCTTGGAGTTTAAAGTCACATCTGTCACATAAAACAGACAATCCAGACCAATAAATGTGGCCCAGTTAACTTGGCTATTTTGACTGCCCATTCATGGACAGGAGAGCTTGGCAAGTCTGTCTCTTGGACAAGATTCTGAGCCATGTTGCCACCCTAACGTGGGCAGCATTGTCGGGCGGCCAGTGAGCTGAAGAATTGGGGATCTGGTCTTCCTAGTTCCTATAAAGCCTATCTTTTAGTCACGGTAGAAAATTTGAGTTTAATTTCTCTTTCCTCCTCCCCTGCCAAAGACATACTAATTTGATCAATCAGATCAGACCACTTCAGATGACTGTGACCACTAAAAAAATCTGGAACAAACAGATAAACAGCCCTTTAGAAAACCCAAACAGGGAGGCACCAGTGTGGGCCCAGTCTCAGGGAGCCTTTAGAGCTCGTCCTTTGAGGGCACAGTGTCCAGGGACGATGGTGATGGCAGTGCCTCTGTGTTCTTGGCATGGCTGTGGATGTGACCTTGCTTCCGTGACTTCCAGGCATGTGTCCTGTCCCAGTCAGTTGCCACTGTCTCATTGTCCCAGATGGTTGAGGTCTCTGTATCACTCAGGTAGCCTGGCTGGCCTGTGTAGTGCGTGGGGTAGATGAGCAAGGGTTCCGCAGAGAAGGCTTTCAAGTCCCTGGATTCATAATACTCTTTGTACTCAGCTCTGAAAACAAGAGGTACACGAGTGCATGAGGAGCAGGCGAAAAGAACTGAGGGCCCTGCTTGTCATCTCTGAAATTGCCATGGATTCATTTCCTTATTTATCAAGTTGTGTCCTTTGTGATCAATTGTAGGCTACAAACATCATAAATGATTGTTTAAAGCTTTCAGAAGATCTATAAGAACAAGTACAAAAGTTGGGCTATTTCTGCTGTATTTGGATAGAATACTTCAATGATTCAATTGAGCTTAGGCTAGAAGACAAAATTAAATGCTGTTACACCATAATAATAAGTAAACATGAACATTTTACAAAAAGTGCCTTGTTTCTGAATTAATAAATGAAGACATCTGCGATCTGGACAGCAGCAGTAGGCTGAGTGACGTGGCGAAGGCTTGGAGAGATGCTTGTGGGACTGTGCGTTCCAGTCCCTGGCTCAGTGTTCTGGCTACCTGTAAGTGCACAGTATGAGATAACTTGGCTTCCCTCCCAGGGGTCCTGTGCTGGTTACATGCAGTGGTATTTGTACAGTTCCTTGTTCTGTGAGTGCAATAAATATTAACTAAAAAGATATTAATTTCCCTTTAGTCTTGGGGACAACGGTTTGTTTGACCTACAGGTCTCTGCTTGGGTAATGAGGTAAAGTCAACCTGTGATATGCTGTATATAAGAAAGCAAGAAGCTCTATTTTTACAAAGGACTGGAATCAAAATGCAGCACAGGAAATCTCAAAGGCTAATATGAAGGCCATCTAATATACATTGACCTTTAATAGAAAAAGGAACCTGGTTTCCCACTCTATTCCTCAGTCTAGGAATCACTGGTGGAGGAGCTATTATGTATTTTGACTGGGCTCTAAGGATATACAAATATGAGACAGTTCTTGCCTCAGAGGATTCTGAGTGTATTGGGAAGACTGCCACACACATCCATCAATCACCACATCTATTGATAAGCATGAAGCCAGTGTAAGCTCCTATTAGGTTCTGAGCATCACAGTGCTTACTTCCACAGATACTCTGCCCAGGTGCCACCTCTAAACCTCTGAATTGCTCATACACCTCTGTGACTGCAGGTATCACAATATATCATGATGATTTGTTCATAAGTCAGCATTCCCAGTAGATCCTGAGCTCTGCAAGCATGATTACCACTGCCTTGCCAACAGTATGCAGGAGTCGAGCTGAATGAACTGAAAATTCTGCAGTGCTTAGGAGAATGACCTTCACCGGATGGTGTGTGAAGTTATGCAAGTAAGAAGAGTGAAGATAGGAAGAAATCTGAGCAGATTATGTCCCATACACCGAGTATTACAGAAAACCATCTGACAAGACTCTCACCCTCTCTGCTTTTGTTTTCTCCATCTGTTACAAGGGAATAATCACTTGAAGAAGCCTCTGTTGGTTATAATTATAAAAAAATCACTTAGGAAAGTGGCACAATTTTGGAAAATATCCAGTACTACCAAGAAAGCATTAACTCATAGACACACTGCGCTCAAGTGACAGGTGGGCATTTGAAGGAGACTCACACAGGATGCTTGTTGTACATGATTGGCAGAAACTCATCCACGGGCAGCATCTTCCCAAAAGGGTTAGCTCCAACTAGTTTCTGTGCTCCTTCCAGAGAGATGACGTAGCCCAGGGTCCAATAGGAATAGTCAGCTTCGACCAGATTTACTACGTTGGGTACTGCTTTCTCTGGCTCTTTTACTTGCATCCTCTTCCTGCCAATGTAACTACAAAGAAATAGGTAGAAGAGACAAATTCCAACTTGAATATTAGTCATTACTGAGAATATATGCGCTTTGGTTTTTCCAGACATCTTTGAAAGTGTAGACCCTTCGTGTCTTCTGCTAAAATTATCACACCACAAAGCACTTGAGCTCATTCACCATGACTGTCATCTACCACTTAACACGCCATCTGTTCCTTCCTAGGTGACTGTCTTTCAGCCAGAAATTTAGGATGTAAAGAGATTTAAAGAACCGTGTCTTTTGTAAAGATGGCATGGGATTTCCAGCTGTGTTTACAGAGGTTGGAAAGCTACAACAACCACAACAAAGAAGACAGATATGGGAATCTTGAGCTTGCTCTCTTCTCATCCCCAGAGTTTTAATCTTGGATGTTTTCTACGTAGCTCTCCAAATGGCGGAGATAGAACACAGGACAGAAAAAGCTGAGTGAAAGAAACAGTATGCAGTAGAGGACCTAGAAACTGAGGAGCAGCCTGGAATTGTTCCTTCTGGGTACTGCGAATGACACCTCCTGGGAGGCTTTCTTCCTTGGTGTTCATCTAGCTTCCCCCAGCTTCCTCCAAGGAGGGCAGCGAGGCCTGCCTCATCCTTCATGAACAACTTCTAGCACACAGGATGTGCCTCCAGCCAGTTCTGCCTTGCCGCAGTCTGCTCCCAGCTCTGTGATGCAGGTCTGGAACCTGTTCAGTTGGGCCTCGACTGGAGTAAGCTGAGGAGTTTCCTGACTGCTGGTAAAGCAGTACTTTCTGTTTTTTTGCTACGAGATCTTCTTGAACAAGAGATTCTTCCTGGTGGGTGCATACCAGGATTTGTGGAAGATGTCTAAGTGCCATCTTCATTGCTTGCGGGGACATGAAACGATGTCCTCTCAGCCAGTATCTCCTGACTACAAAGTCTGCATTTCTCTAGAGTGTTGCTTGGTAGATGAGAGATTTCAACTACACTCTAGAAATGTGGCCGGCAGGACTGAGTTTATACTCTTACTAATTTAAATTAACTTAAATTTAAAAGCTGAAGGTATATAAAATCTTTTTTCCCCCTGGCAAACAAGTTTATAATTTGGTAAAAGTACTGTTTAACAGATGAAAATTTATGTTCTGGATTGATGTGTTCCGAGCATAAACACACACAGGCATTTAAAACTTGGAGCAACAACAAAAAAATGAACCATCTCACTAATGACTTTAAATTACTAATTAAATGCTAAAATAACAAATACTTGGGTTAAATAAAATATTATTAAAACTTATTTTACTTAATGTTTTTGTTTTTATCTTTTTGAATTAATTTTTGGAAAGTTAAAAACAACATATGTGGCTCACATTATATTCCTACTGAAGATCACTCTCAAGATGATTTCAATTCTATTATCTCCATTTACTGTTTCCTTTTTCCAAGAAAATCTAATGTAGCCATCATGGATAGGGGCTGAGGATTTAGCTCAGGCAGGCATAAGTGCCTGCCTGGCAAGTGCGAGGTCATGAGTTCAATCCCTACCCAAAAAAAGAAATCATGGACTGGTTATTAGTTTTTCATGTTTTGGGCTTAAGTAACCAAGGTTTCTTCTTTTAGAAGGTGAAAGGTAAAAGTGGAAACTGCTATCCAGTAAGTCCCTGACTTATGAATGAGCCCCGTCCCAGGAGAAAGCTCCTCGGCCACATTTGTTCGTAAGCGAAATGGTGGAACAGTCGTAAACATAAACTATTTTTGCTTTTACAGTGAGCACACAGCAGCATAACTGTGACACAGTCCCACAGATACGTGAGTTACTTCCGTTACTTTTCACATCTATGAATGTTCATTTGTAATGTGATGTCTGTTTGTATCTGTGAAAGTTCACAGATCAAGTGTTTGTAAGTTAGGAATTTGCTGTATTTTTTTGAGACCCTATAATACACTTTAATGGAATATTTGGACTTGATCAATCTGGACATTTAAAGCATTTCACCCCTTATATCCTTCTCAGGACAAACATCAGTCCTTCCTGGGTCTGCGGGTACTTTGTCCTGAGCAATGCTGCGGTCACACTACATGTGGTGGGGATGTGGCCCACTCTAAGCATTAGGTTTGTGAGGCTGAGTCTTCCTCAACTGGAGTATGATTATGAGGCGTTAGTGAAAATCGCTTTTACATCACTTGTCACGTGGGCATAAAATAGCTTGCAGGTGCCAGGATGGTGAGGCCTCTACAGAGCCATAGAACTGGAAAGGCTAACGTGCAGCCATGGAAGGAGGACACGGGCACAACAGCGGTCTCAGAGGACTGAATTCCAAACGGGGTCACGTGACTGATACCTGACCAGAAGCAGGTCTCGACTTATTATATAGTGCTGATTTGGGGGCCTCTATTTCTCAATTAGTTGAGCCTTTGCTAGGTTTCTTTTGAAAGCAGCCCATTTTCTGAGAGAGCAAGTGCTCTATCCTAGGCTGCAGTTAAGTTTCCCTCTGAGGATGGGAGGAACAGGGACGGTTCTGCTACTGCAGCTGCTCCAAAGGGGCTGGCTCCGACTTAATAAAATTTAACTTTGACAAACAGCTGGGGAGCACACAAAATGCTTGGCAAATTTCTACCTCATTGGAAGGAAGTAAAAAGTGTTGTTTTGAAAGAGAGAAAAAAGAAAAGAGAAGGGAAAGAAAAAAAAGAGAAAAGAAAAGAAAAGAAAACCCAAACCCAAACCCAAGACATTCCTTCCCCTTCCCTGCACTCGGGGTGTCAGGGTTCTTTCTGTTCCACAAGCTCGTGCCTCAGCCAAGGGGCTCTCCTGCTGACCCTCCTAAATTCCATCTCACCAAGGGCTGTAGAGGTCCCTGCTCTCCCACACTGAGCTTCAAGAAGCCATAGCATTTTTGTCCTTGAATGACTACCTCATTCTCCTCCTTCACACCCAGCTGTGTTCCCCTCTGCTTCACAAGTGAGACTGTCACTGTGCATCCAAGTGGTGCTCAGAGCTGTGATTCTGCTCTATCAGAAGGTCCCTGAACTGCAGGCCAATTCCAGCCCCAAAGAATCTTCTATAGTTTCTTACCCTGAAGAGGACATGAATGGAAAAAAAAAAAAAAAAAAAAAAAAAAAACAGTGGCTAGCACACTTTATGTCTGGAAACGTTTATGGAGTGAAAACCAGGTAACAAAAGCCTAAGCTATGTCTTCTACCAGCTGGGGAGGTGGAGGCTTTTCTGGCCCTTGGAAAGAACTGAGTGCCTTTCATGCTCTCTAACAGCTTTGTCTTGTTACTCACATCAATTCCCAGTCCAGCTGAGCCCGATCAATGTCATCCATCAGCTTCATCAGCTTCTTCTTGAACTGATGTTCAAAACGTACATCATCCTCAATAACAAGAGTCTTCTCGAGTTCTCTGTCAATTACCTGCAAAGATCATCAGTGGGAAGACACCCTATGAAAATTTTACTAGGTAGATAAGTATTTGAAAGTCAAGAGTACAGTAACATAATTTGTAAAGGCTCATTGCTGGATTTCAAGCAAAGGCTCATCAACTGGAATGGATAAACTGTGACCTATCATAGTCATGAAAATGTAAAATCTACAACTAAATGCAATGCTATAGGTGAATCTTCTAACTACAATGTTGGGAGGTTGCACATACATGTGTGTTTCCATTCACAAAAAAAAAAAAAAAAAAAAGAAAAGAAAAAAAAAGAAAGTACTAACAGTCAAACTCTCCATAACATTGGAAGACACAGTGGTGATCATCCCTGGACACTAGTGACCAGGAGGAAGTATAAGAAGCAACATATCAGAGATGCTGGTAACCTAATTCTTGATCTGGGTGATGATTAACATGGCTATGTTGGTTGGTTTGAAAAATTTCAATGAATTGTATCTTGTGATCTAAATACTTTTATTTATCTATCAAGTTTCATTTAAAGTTTAAGGAAAAAAAGGCATAAACTGAATCATTAAATGAAAGAAGGCATTCATGGGCTCTTTAGTGGAAAGGGCTTTATCATTCTGTGTGTGAACTGACCCTTACTCAGGAACCCTACCCTCCAATTCCACTTCCATCAGTATCTTGATCCATAATGCATGAGGCCCAGGTCTGGCTCTGCTTTTTCTTATCTGGACAAGTTACTTAAAATTTTCTTCTGGGGTTAAAAGGATCCATTCCCCTAATCTACCTCACAAGACTTCTGTGTGATTCTTAAACGAATGTCTTATGTAAATGACAACACAACAGATACATAAAAGGCGTTCCTGCTAATAATGAGAATGAACTAATTAGAGCATGGCTCCTCGGATATGGGTGTCTTCTCCTGTCACCACTAAGCTGCCCTTCTTGTCCCCGTGTTATTGGACTTGGGCCCAAAGGAGACACAATTCAGGAGTAACTCTCTAGCATATTTCCAGAACAGCTGTGGGCTTACTTTCTGTCTGGATCTTCAAGCCTGCTCCTTCTTTCTCCTCATTAGAGAAGTGCTCTAATGCATTATTTACCTCTTTCCAGACAGAGTAGTGACTAAGAAAGCAGCCGATTTCACCTCTGGTTAAAGGTCTGGAGGAGTAGGGATCTCGATAACCTGGCAGCATTTCAATGTTCAAGGCCTTCAGCTGGCTTGTGTTGAGTGCTCTGCGTGACAGAGAACATGTCTGAAAATTATCAAAGTCAAGGGGTCAAGGTCACCAGCTCCCTCCCTCACAGAAGTCAGAGAGAGAAGAGAGAAAATTCTGTATATTTCCCCGGGGCCTCTACCAAGGGAAAGACTTCCCAGTTTCCTATTATTTTTTATGAGATCCTCAGAGTTAATGTATCATAGCAGCATCATGAACTTTCTAAAAACAAGATAGTGTCTTTATTTTTGTGCAGCCCTCATAGTGCTTAGTGTAGTTCTCAGCACCATAAGTTTCCTGAAAACTTTGAAAGATAACTTGCTTAGTGAAGGAAAAGTGGTTCATTGGCACATTCAGTACTAGAGGGAAAAAGGGCAGGAAGGAATGAGGAGAGGGAGAGCATGTGCATGTGTGGTTTCTCCTTTGTATTTAAAATTAAAACAAGACTAAAAATAAAAATAACGGAAAAGCATTTCCAGAGAGGTAAAGACTTATGAATATCCTACTCTTCCACAAAAGCAATGAGAACACAAACTAAATGGTCACAATTAGCATTTCAGGGTTCCAAAAATTAATTCAACGCTTGCAATAATCAAAGGATTTTTAAAAAAAAGAAAATAGCTGGATATCTGTGAGCACAGTGAAGTTTGTGGAGTTTACATCCGTTCTAACCACTTTTTCCTCAGCCCTACAGAGGCCTTAAATATGGCAGTTGTAACACCCAGCTACCTGTCACTGGAAATGACGGGATGCGTGAAGACTCCTTTAAAGACCTATGTCAGATGACATCTTAATAGGTAAAACTGATTTAATATCATCTTGTTTTGAAGTCTCATCTGTCTCCAATGGTCTAAATAGGTTGTATTTTATTATGTACGATAGTATAAGCAAAAACCTTTTAAAGACAAGGAGATTATACAGAAACCATTGTTCATTTTCTGTTAGTCAATTCTAAATACTCTGTAATGCTGTCAATCTCTTAAATGGTTTTACATTGTTTTGATATACTTAATGCTACAGTATACAAAGTTGTACTCAAGGATTTCAAGGAAAGAGACAATATGGTAACTACTTTTAGGTCAGGATTATCTGGTGGTGAAACACTATTCTGCTTAAATGGTTATGTTTTGATCTGCACTGTTTCGCTGTTATGCCCTCTTTTATCTCAATCTCCACTCCATTATTTACTTTTTTATTTTATCCTTTTAATTAAGGGAAAAATAAATAAAAATTAGCAGGATATATTATAGTAACCCACTTTGACTTTCATTATCTCAATTTAAAGCCCTGTATTACTCTCACCATCTTATTTTTGACTGATGTTCCCCTATTCTGTTTTGCTGGATAGTATCAGGTTTGAAAGTTTAAGCAACAGCTGTGAAGATAATGAGATTCATTATAACGCCCATTCTCGTTGACTTTTATCTACTTTTGAAGACCTACAATGTCTCCAATGCTTTGGCTTTGTCGGTTTTATTCTTTACTGCTTTGTTCAATCGTATTATAACTAATGATATAGGCAATTCTATTAGAGATAGCGGGAGGCATTATGGTAACCATTGTTGATCACCTTGTATTATGTTTTTACATTATCAATTATGTCCACCCTTTTGACTTGACTGATTCTGTTCTGTTATGTCACATTTGGCTCTACTCTCTTCCAAAAAAGTAATAAGAACCGTGGGAGCAATGAAACCCAAAATGTGTAACAGTCATTGTACAAAAGAGAGGAAAAGAAAGGGCTCTAAACTATATAACTGCATGTATATTTAAGTGTATAAGATAGGAAATGATATCACAGAGTTTTATTGGATCATTGAACAGATCTGTTTGCAGTATAATTGTTGGAATGTGCACTTTACAAGCTTTAATTTTGTGACTTGAACAATTATTTCTAAGATGACAATATGTAATCCATTAACTAGTGATTTCCTACTGTTTATTTTTTTTCTGTAAATCTGTATAACTTGTACCCTTTCTCTGCTTTTTTTTTTTTCTTTTCTCCTTAAATAAAATTAAAAAAAAAAAAAGACCTATGTCAGGAGACAGTCCCTATTTGACCTCTCTGGCAGTCCCTAAAAAGTTCCATTCTTAGAACTTGTTTTCATTTGACCCAACTCAAGGCTGATTCTTCGCATGTGGGTTATTTGTCAAATACTATCAGTAGCAACTGTTTAACATTACAGCTATTTGGGCAGTGGTGCTAGTTACAGTTAGTGAGAGACTGATCAAATAAAAGAAAAAACTGAGAAAAAGCATGTCTTGTTTATAGAGCATTTTGAAAAGCTCCAACACATTCCTGAGAATCTAGATGGCCCAGGTACATTCAGGGCTGTGCACTTTTCCCCACAATAGACCTGAGAAGACCCCAGTTTTACACCTGATCTTGAGGACCTGGGAAAAGACAGTGGGGAGGGAAACGACCTGGTAGAAGATCTGGGGGAAGAAGAAGCGAAATGGATTAAGCACTGCTTTTAAAGGTGGAGACTGGCATAATGAAATATCGAAGAGTTCCTGTCTGCAAGAGATAGAATCTTAGAGTTAAAAACACAAATAGATTGGAAGAAAAGGCATGGAATGTAATCAGTACCCACAAGAATGTGGGAAGAGCTACATTAATATCAGACAAAATAAATCTCTAGAGAAAATTTATATTAGAAAGCAAGGTGATAAAATACATCAGAAATATAGAGTGACCGTAACAGTAGACCATCCCTCCAACACAGAACAAACATTAGAGGAATTGAAGGGTAAAATAGACCAATCCAATAGTAATAGTGGGATACTTTAATATTTTATTTCCAACAATGGATAAAACAACTAGGCAAGAGGAGACTCGAATAACTATAAAGTAACTAGACCTAACAGAAATCTGTAGAACATTCCATTCGATAGCCAAATAAATGCACATTTTTTCAAGTTCTTAGAACATTCTTTAAGAAATAGCACCTATTAAATCATAAAGAAGCCTTAGTATATTTAAAAGGAAAGAAATGATAATGTTTACCAACCACAATGGAATGAAACTGAAAAATTAATGAGGAAAAATTTGAAATTAAAAAACTGGTGAAATTAACACATTCTAAATGACTAATGGATTAGAGAAGAAATCATAAGAGAAATTAGAAAGTATTTTGAAATTAATGAAAATGCAGTACACCAAAACTTATGAGATTCACCTAATGTAGTACTGAGAGGTATAGTTACAGCGGTAAATGTCTATGTTAAAAAGATTATCTCAAATAAGTAATCTGACCAACTAATTTAAGAAACTAGAAAAAGAAAATCAAACTAAACTAAAAACATGTAGGAAGAAGGAACTATAAATACTATAGTGGAAACAAAAACACTAAAGAATAGAAAAAAATAGCATAAAAACAAAAATGTTTAATAAAAGCAATAAAATTGACTATATTTTACTACTGATGAATGAAAAGAGAAAGTAGACTTAGATCATTACAATTAGGCATGAAACCTGATAGATCTTACAGAACTAAAAAAGATTATACTGTGAACAATTATTTGCAAAAATTAGGTAACCTAGATGAAATGGGCAAATTGATCAAAAGACACAAAACTACTGAAATTAGCTCAAGAAAAAATAGAAATTCTGAATGCACCTACAACTTACAACTTGTGGAGAGGCTGGATTAAGAATCAAAGTTTCGCACAAAGTGAAAGTCTGAGCACATGGCTCCAGGGGACAATTTGTCAAATATCTATTAACAATTAATGTTAATTCTTAAAATACTCTTCTAAAAAGTGAACTGAAGAAACTGATTTGATGAAGCCAATATTATTCTGATACAAAATCAAAGACGTTACAAGAAAATTACAAAACAATATTCCTTATTAACACAGATGCAGAAATCTTCAAGGCAATACTAGAGAGCCGAGTACAGCAGCGTGCGTAAGGGATTATGAAGCATAGCCAGGTGGAATGCATCCAGGATCGCACCGTTTTGCTCAACATGTGAAATCTGTCAAAGTAGTACACCACATCATAGACAAAAGCCACACGACATCTCAAGAGACACAGAAAAACATTTGACAAAATTCAGCATTCTTTGATAACAGCATACATAAAATAGTAATAAAAGGGAATTACCTCAACTCAGTAAAGGCCATCTATGAAAAACCATGGCTAAAATCATATATACATGGTGAAAGTCTAGTGCTTTCTTCCTAAGATCAGGAATGAGATATAAATATCTGCTCTCATCAATTCTATTTAACATTATACTTGAGGATCCAGACAGTGTACTAAGGCAAGAAAAAGAAATAAATGATATCTGAATTGGAAAAGAGGAAGCAACATATTTCTAATTATAAATGACATGGTCTTAGATAAAAAATATTTTAAAATGAACACACATTATTAGAACTAATACATTAGTTAATCAAGGTTACAAGATATCCAATCAATATACAAAGATAAATTATTTCCTATGCATTTAGTAATGGATGTTCTGAAAACAAAATTAAGAAAACAATTTTATCATCATAGCATCAAAAAAGCAATAAACAACAGATTTGTTAAATAAAATATCAGATTTGTAAAGTAAAAGTGAGAAAACATAATTTTATTTATAAAAAAATCTAAATAAATAAGATAATGTCATAAGTATGAATTAGAAGACTTGAACTGCTACCATAAATTATACAAACAATTAGCTGAACATTAAGTCAAAGACCTCAATGTAAGAAAGTAAATCTTCATGACTTTGAGCTTCATACTCCAAAGCACAAGCAACAAGAATGACAAATATAAATTAGATGCCATCAATATAAAAAACTTTTTTGTTGTTGTTTTAATGGAAATCACTCTAAAAATGTACTTTTCTGTTTATTTTCAAGTCTGAAGACAGCTTCACAGACATTTCTGCTACACCACAGAAACAGTGATGTAGAAATAGTGTGGTATTAAGTACCACACTAGTGCAAGAATGACCAGGGGACCGGGGACAATCATGTCCAGGGTGAGTGTTCACTGTAACAGCAACCAAAGATGGCCAGATGGGGCTGGTTCTCAGATCTGAGCCACACACAGAATGACACTACCTTCGATGCTATCTTGGACTTTTATATAATGTGTCTATTGTCTAGTGACCAAGAGTCCCGGGCAAGACTACCTCTGTCAGAGCAAGGACCCTCCCTCTCTTGCCAACACATCTGCAGGAGGACAGGCAGCCCCACTCACTTCCCATCCACTGCCTCCACAATCTTGACCTCGATCTCTTGCTCGTAGAGTGTGCGCAGCATCCGGTCCCGCCTGTCTTTTCTGCGTTTAAGGTTAATCATGAAAATCTAGTGCAGGAAGCAAAAGAGAAAAAAACCGTAGATGACTTAAGTTTTACTTTAGGCCTTTTGAAAGGTCTAGCAAATGTCAGGTTCAGAGATTTAGGTAGGATAAGGAATGCAAAAATTGTGGGAAATTGTGGTGAAGGTTTATCTGTATTTCATATTGGGTTTATGGAGGACAAATAATACTAATCCAAACTGAACTTCTTTCTAAACCATTTGCAGTGACTTAACCCTTTCTGTGTTCCTCTGATACGCATTGATAAACGCATTCTCTTGAGAAAATAAAGTTCAAAAAAGTCAGTCTTCAAGGGGCCAAAAGCTAATTAATACTAAACACACATGGCACTGAGGAGTAAGAAGCTGTTTGCCAAGTGGTTAAATTTATCATCAGATCTGAATGTTAAGTCCTATCATTTATTGTTTGCCTACAGCCAGTTTCTATGACTAGGTTTCCTTACCTGTAAAACTAGGATAACAATTGTCCGACTTCATGAGTATTACATATTAATACCATTATAGCTTACATCCATTAGGTAAACTTCAAGGCCTTCAAAGATGACAAACATTTAGAGCCTTGATTTATTGCTGTTATCAGCAAAGATTCCAATGTGAATTAGTACTTCAATTCTAGCAGCTTACCTTCCAGAATTCCCCAGCTCCCTTAGAGAAAAAGGAAAGAAGTACAGACAAGAAGTCCTATGCTTGAAGGTGGCTCTTTGACAAAGAAGTTGGGAAAAATGGAAAGACATTTTAACATAGAGTGGTTCTGTGAGACATGCTATTATACTAAAAAATACACTTACAGGTCTGTGAAATAAAGAAGAATGTGCATCAGATTTTTCTTCATGAGAGCTGGGTTCACCCATCACTCTTTACCTTTGCCTATAAATTCCTGATGGTTGTGCTAAATCATACACACGAGGTCACTACCAGGAGTTACAGACGGTGAGGTTATCCTTGCTATTTGCAGAATTAAGGAATGACAATATCTAAAGCCTTATGAATGCTATTACAAATTAGTATTTAATAAGGTCCTCTTGCTATGAGCAATAATTGACTAATTTTAATGGTAAACTCATCCTCCAAGATTGGGAGGTGTTCACTGCCAGCAAGAACTCATAATAACACATGGCATGTTGAAGGAGAAACCTAAAGGAAGAAGTCAAGGAGGCTGACTTCATCCTGACTAACATATGGATGACTGTGGGGAATGTCAGACTTCTGGATCCAATTCTCTTGTCTTTATAATGAGAGTTGAACAAAGTCATCTCTCAAATGTACAACAGATGAAAGCTGTATATTTTATGCTATGAGCAAACTAAGAAATAAACTATGTTTTATAACCAGCCTGGAGATCAGAGTATACTGTACTAAGTTTAGGTTCAGGAGTCATTCTGAATGTAATCACAAATAATTTGGATGCTTTATTAGGGTCAAAAGGTACATAATTAAAATTTTAACCTCCATTGCAATATATTCTCACTTCTACTCCTTTATAAATTTCTAGGAAAAAAAAAACTGATGAGAAATGTCCTCTTAGAAAATGATCTATCTGTTCTAGGGCAAAGCAGATTAAATGCATAATGATTTTATTACTTTCTTTATTAGGCAGATAATTATTTTTAAAAAACAATTTCTGTGGTGACTGTATTTGCCTTATTACTTGGGCTTTATAATTTAATGGGTTGTGCTCCCTTATGTTCCATTTTCTCTCTATTTAGAACATTCTGTCATGGTCATCCTCCACCCTTCAACTTTACAGACACAGAAAAAAGAGCAGCTCCTTATGTGTAAGCACGGAGCCACCTGGGGTCACTCCAGGAGAACTGAAACAGAACAAAATAAAAAATACGCGCAATGCATCAAAATAGTCCTCTCAAACCAGAGACCTCCAGCCTGGGAGGCGTTTGGTAAACAATACAGTGCCAGTCCTTGCCAGGACAAGGGCAATAAAAATGGTAGTCGTGAAGAAAAGCACAGACAGCTTGCTCATACTTAGTGGATGGTAAACACAGAAAGGAGTTCAGAGCCAAGTGCAGCCCAGACACGGCTGACGAGGTCACAGTGCCAGGAAGGCTGGGGGCCTCGGAAAATCTCTTGCCACCACCCATGTTTGTTCCCCATAATTGATTACTCCAGCCTCAGGAAAGCAGAGTCCCTGAGGGTGTCACTTCCTAGAGTAGGTTTTTTCCAGTCCTCTAGGCATGACGCAGTCCCTGTACCATGTCTGCCAAAAGTATTCCAGCGAGAGAGAAGATCCTGGTTTGTCCTGTTTTATTTACTTTGGTCTGATCCTCTCAGTAATGTGATTTTAGGAGAAAAAAATGAGTATGTGTAGAATGAGTCTTTTTGCCTAGAGAGCTAAGAGGTGAGCGTTACGGGGAAGGAAAACGACAGGACTATGCAGGCGCCGTGTGCTGAATGAGCTGAGCTTTTCTCTAACCAGGGGCATTTTTCAAAACTCTGTATGATCAAGTCTCTACTATGTAGAGACAGCCGTGTCTGGGCTGCACTTGGCTCTGAACTCCTTTCTCTACTATGTTTTCATTCAACTCTTTTATTCTGCCCTCTGTGTAAACAGCATAACTGTGAACTCTTTCACATTTAATAGTTATGATATATTCACTCCCATTCATGAGCCCCAGCTCTAAATCCATTTTATAGAGGAAATTCCAATTCACTATTCAGCAGCTTTTTACAATGAGCACACTCCTGGAACCCGTGTGTGCTGCAGGGTGACCAGGAAGCCGTGGCAGTGAATACGAAGCACGATGTTTGGTCTGTAACATGTCTAGAAGCTGCAGAATCCTAACTCAGTTTAGAGATTCCTTAGGCATTGTACTAGTTTCTAGATCACCAAGTTTCTCCTGAATGCTGAGCAGTAACTGCATGATGGACCTGTAACGTGGACAGGCAGCTCTTTGTATTTTTGCTTCCCTTCCTTTCTTTTGTTTTCTTTCTTTCTTTCCCACCTCTTCCCTCCTCCTCTCTCTTCTTCATCCTCCCTCTCTTCCTCCTTTTGGGACTGAGCGCAGGGCCCTGCACATGCTAGGCAAACACTGCACCGAGCTACCCACACCTCCAGCTCTGCTTCATTCCTTATGCAGTTAACACAGCACATAAATATGGCCTTTAGGAAACCTGTTATATTCCTGACTGTGGAAAGGCAGAATTTTCGAACAAGTTTCTCCTTTTTCTTTATCCTCTCAACTCTGCCCTCCAACCTTTTTCCATGAGAGAGTAGCAGAAAGAAAACAGAGCAGGGAGAATTCCAAACAGTTTCCACTCCGCCGTGGCTGAGCTAACTTAATGTCTTCCAGTACCTGAAACATATATCTGCTTTACCTTACCCTTGAGCCTCAATAAAAATGCCAGTAAAATATGGCAAATTTGCTTTTATTGCTAAATAATAACTTCTTTCTGACTCAGTGATCAACTCCTTTTTACTCTGATCCTGTTTTTAAGGTAAAAACACTAAAGCTCAAAAACCGAATAGTTTTCCCAAGACTTTGGTGCTTTTGTAATAGTCAAACCCATTTTGCTGGCTTACAGGCACACTCAGGCTTGTGCTCCAATATAAACATACAGGCATCTACACACACACACACACACACACACACACACACACACACACACACACACACGCACTTTCCTACCTCATCAAATCCCATCTTGTCTGGATACTTAGGGGCCACTGACACAAACTGGGAGGGTTCCATTGGAGGACGGTCAACTAGAAAACACAAGAAACACACATAGTGCTTGTTAGTAAAGGGTCAGAAAACAGCATTCCATCTGCATGCCTGCCCTTGAAGGCTGAGGCCTCCTCTGGATATCCAGACCAGGAGGCTATTGCTCAGCTGTCCGCCAGAGAACATGATGATCAGAAAATTGATTTCAAAAGCATTTGTTTACATACAAACTGGAATATTTGTCCCATTCCCCTTAAGACTTATTTTAAGCATATTGAGAGGAAGTTTAGAGTGATAGCCAAGAGGGAGAGCTCTGAAGTCAGATGACAGAAGTCTAATCTTTGGCCTAGAAGGCCTAGGAGTTATGATGACTGTCTGAGCCTGTTTCTTCACGTGTAAAAATGGCATAGTAAATATTTCTTACTGTTATAAAATTAAAATGAGACCTGCATGTAGCACACTCATTACATTAATGTAATAAGTACTGTTAACTGTTGTGGCCTATGGGGAAATAGCTCAGAAATAGGCTAGAGTAAATTGATTTTCATTAAAAGAATAATGCAAAGAAAATTTTAAATGAGAGATGGTGACAATGTTGTTTACAGAACTGTTGATGATGACGCTTATTACTGTCACCAGTATGCATTTTCCTCTGCTGCAGGCACGTAAGAGGAATACATTTTCTTTTATTTTAAATTGATACCGGGGATCGAACTCACTTGCAAGGCAGGCGGTTATGCCTGCTGAGCTAAATCCCCAGCCCCTAAAATAGCTAGTGAGGTCCCACTGAGATTTTAAACTCAGATTGCTGGATTCAAAGTCCAGAGTGCTAACCATTGCACAATGGGACCCGCTGGAATACATTTTCTTGCCCTTAAAGTTAGTCATGGTCATATGATTTTTTGGTGGGGGCTAATCTCCAAACCCCTTCTCCTACCCTGCCTCAGTCCCATCATGGTGATCACAGTAGTACGTGTAGATATGGAGAAGCCACAAAGCTGAAGCAGTCTGGGATGCTGCACCAACACATGGAGAGCAGCTACCCCGGAAAGCCAGCTGGGCTGCAGATCTTGAATAGCAGTAAATAAACCACTGTGCCTTTAAGCAATGAGGTTTCACCACTGTTTGATATCCCAGCATAACTTCCCATCCTGGCAGAGATAACGCGTGCTGTCTGCATGGCGGGACCTGTTTAACTCACCCTTCACTGAGACACTAAAGAGAAGCTGTGATCAGATGCGCTTATGATCAAATAATGTGAAACTCTAGAAGGCAGTGAATGAGACAGGTTTCCTAAGCCAAACCCAGAAGTCGACCTCATTATTTCAAGCCTAACCTTCACAGTCACATTTATTCTTGTACACAGCATGTGTATTCTTTCCAGTAACAGCCTAGACTATTTTGCTTTTTTCTGCTCTACTCTTTCTTATTAGTTTCTCTTAAAATCAGTGTGAGGGGCTACCATGTACCATGTCAGGTTTCTAAGAAAAAGAAAATTTATAACTTCTTTCTGTTTGAGGTGCTGTCTTGCTCTTGTTCCTTGATTTTAGACATGGAAAAGAGACACATTTCAAGTTAACGTTTCTAGGCTGCTGGTCTCCATTTGGTATTCACATGGCTGGAGTGGCTTTAATATTTCAGACAAAGAGACTGCATGTTGTCATTTTGCAGTCATCTCATTTATAGGAAAGCGTTCTCAAAAAGCCACAGCCTCAGGGGCACTGTTGAACAGCAGTTCACCTAGGTTTTGCCACTGGGGGCAGCAGTAGGCTAACAATAGGATATGATGTCATGGATCAGACCTAAAAAACTTACTATGTAAAGTCCATGTGTCTTTGCTCACGTCAGACTTGAAGGTTAGGAGATCCTAACTTTTGTTGTGGCCATTTCTGACTCCATCATTCATAATTTACCCCGTCTGTTCCTGCAAATGGATCTTCTCTGTACCCTCTTTGGGACAGTGGGCTTCACTGGCCTTTGGATGGTTTCTAAATTTAGGACTAATAACTAAAGCTATTGTTGTACAGTTCTTATAACTCATTGCACTCTGAGCTACACTTGCATGTATAGGAATCACACTTACTTAATCTTCACATGTGAGTGCAGTGTAATAGATATGTGTCCCTATCATTTAGTCACAGAAACAAAGTTTAACCAACCTGATCACAATTTGAGCTTTTGACCTTCAGTATACCTGTTCTAAGGCCACAGTTTGAGCTTTTGACCTCCACTATAGCCGTTCTCCAAAGCTAGTCCTTAGTATCCATTGGGCAACTGGGCAGCTGGGTGAGGTCTAAAGTAGTTCATTTGGACCAGTCATGTCCAAAACAGTACTTTAAAACACTTCTTTCTAGTTCCTCCAGACCTTCTCCCCTCGCTGCCTAGCTAGCTCATAGCCTCCTTAGCGCAAGTCCTAACCTACCAGGCCTGGCTGTTTTAGTATTTTTCAAACATGCCCTTGAACCTGCTATTGTCATGTATACAGTTATTAAAATAACCTTCTACAAGTACTAATCTGTTCTTGGCCACATCAGTAATTTCAGTGTTTTATAATTTAGGTGTTTTCACAGCCTTCATGTAAGTTTATTTTTACGTTCTGTTGTTATGACTGTTTGTGTAGATAAATAGACTGAGACCAATCCAGGGGGGACTTACCCACGGTCATTAAAATGAGTGCTTCGCAGTGGTGGAAATCAGTTTTTGACCTTTATGACTTCAGATCCAATAATCTTAGTAATCTTTACATGATGCTGTCTCAGAATGTTGACAGATACTGAGAACAGGAACCTGAAATTTGCATTACTTCATGGTGTGATTTATGAGACCAATCTCCTTATGCCTCATAATTTATTCATATCCATCATCTCTGCAAGATTCAACCTCTTGTCAATCTTCTCCCAAAGGAAGCACTTTCCTGAATTCTCAGTACAGCTCCTTGGGCACTGAATTTTTAATAAGTTATTGTTATTATAACTCAAACTTTTTTACTCTAGCTCTGAAACTCCAGTCTACAATTCATAAACTTCCTGATCATTATCCTTGTAAATATTCTCAAATCCCGCCCATTGATCTTGCCTGATAAGACCCTAATTCTTTTTAAACATGACTGTCCACTGACTTGTCCCCAAAAGACTACTACAGGAGAAACTCCACATAATTGTACTGACCAAATAACTTCAAAGTCACAACCAAAAAAGCCAAACTGGTAACTGACATAGGCAAGTGATGTGATATTTCCACATAAATCTCAGTCTCTGAGAGAGCTATATTATGTCTGATTCTCCTGAAATCTCCATTCGCTCTCTTCTGTTCATGGCTGGACTACATTCTTACCATGAAAACTGTCAGCATCAAATAAGATCGATCATAACACCTGGATTGCATGTGTGCTTACACATTCCACTTTCCCATCAGCCATCCAGGATGAAGCCTCCCTGCTACACCCTAGCATGATATCTCCTGTCTTGGTCTGGGCTACAGTTCCTCTTGTTCACTCAAAGACATCAATGTTACAATTTTCTTCTACATCATCAAGTTCACCTTAAATCTTAGACCCTTCTCATTAGCATACAAACATGCTGTAATATTATTGAAGAATAAATAATACAAATAAACCAAACTAAATTAAAACAAATCCCTCTCTTATTCTCACACCCCCTAGTGGCCCACTGCCACCAAGGTTCTACTTTTTCATCCCTGCAGCATCTTTTGTTTGCCCCATCCCAGTGGACTTGGGTCTCTACCATTGCACAGAAGTGACTCTTATCAAGGTCAACACAAGGTCTATCCTGACAGAAAAAATGATCAACTCCATTCTCATTTTATTTGGTTCAGCAACATTTGGCTTTTTCTTGAAACACTTCTCAATTTTTCTTCCAGCTTTTTGGCTGTTTGTCTCCCCCCAGAGATTCTCTCCCTCTCCCTTTCCCTCTTTATCCCTCTCACAATACCCTTCTCCCCTCCTTTGTCCTTCCTCCCACAGTTCACACTGTTCCTTGGCTTTAAATATCCTTTCTGTAAGGCCTAGGGGCTCTACCACCAAAACATAGATCTGTTTCTCATCGTCTCATTATCACAGTTGAAATGTCAACCACCAACATCTCTCGCCATGAGAGATGTACATTAGCATCCACACCACAACTGACGTGATCTTTCTAAGGGTATGAGTCACATGAGGTCAGTCCCTGTGGATTTCCATTACTCTTAGAATAAAATCCAAATTCTTTACCATGACCAGAACATTCTATGCAATCTGGATATTTTTTCCCCCATGACTTCCTTTCACTCTCCAACTCCTTGCTCCTACGCTATTGGCCTGTTGCCCTGGGACAGCTTCAAGGTATTTCCTACTAATATCCTTTACCTGTGCTCTCTTTCCTGCCTGGAGCACTCTTCTCCCAAACATTCATGAGGCTGCGTCCTTGGCTGATGTGGCTGTATATCTAGGTAAGATATTAAATCCTTGGTGGCAAAGATTCCGCCAACTTGTTCACCGCTACCTATTCAGCATCTTGAGCAATTATGGGATTTAGTGTGTGCTGAATAAATACTTGTAGCCTGATCTTTTCTTATAAACCTCCATTGGGATGAGCACTGTGCTTTAGCTGGGCATTCAAGGATCACAACTAAACTATTTCACCCTCTCAAACTTTATTGTTCCTGTTGTTTTAAACCAGTTCTCTTCCAGATTGGGAATGCTTTGTCTGCTTAGTCTCTTTCCTCTGCCCAGAGTATCTTCACTTTATCTCTCCTCTTATTTAAACTCTATGGTTCTACCCATGTTTAGCTTAAGAACCATCAAGACTTGAAGCTCTCCTGGCCATAGCACACAGGCCATAGCAACTTTTCTCTATTCCAAATTCCCGTTCGCTTTGTATCAGCTCCTTCCACAAAGAACTGTGCTGCATTGTCAGTTTCTCTTCGTATCAGTCCTGTCTCTTCAGTTAAACTAAAAATTAAGAACTGATTATAAAAAGTTTTGACTCTCTAGTCTCTTCAGATTAATATCTAGTTTAGAAGAGGACACTTGACAGATGATTTCCTCATTACTAACATTTTATTCATCCTTCACGGTCTTTAGCCTGTATTTCTGCGTTATAACATCAAAGTTTGGTTTTTCAGTTGTTCTATTACTTCAACTATGTTCTATGTTGTAAAATTTAGAAGTGAAGTTTAACAAAATTACAACTCAAGAAGGTAAATACAAGAATTACATACAATTCCATAAATTAAATGCTTAGCCTGTGTAGAGACATCAATAATGAAAGCTATAATTTATAGGTTCTTCTCATGTAAAGGAGTTGTACATATTTGTAATTTATAGTCATTAAAATCTTTATTGATTATGTTTGCATTTGTGTGTACTGAGATCTTTCTATATGCCCAGTCATGTGGGAAGAAACAAAAGAACACAAAGTCTGGGCTGGCCCTTCACTAAGTGACATCTACTTGTGAGTCAAAGCTGCCAGATACAGGGATGATCAGGAGCAGCACTTTTACTAAGTGCTAAATCAAGTCTCAATAATAACAACATTTCACTGCTTTATACTGTACAGTATAGTGTTTTATTTGTTATGCTCAAAATCTGCAAAGTCAATGTTATTATCCTTACAATGTGGATAAAGGAACCGAAGATTTGAAAAATTGATTCTCCCTTGGCTTTAAGTAGATTATTTTGGCTTTGGGTTTAGCGTCCCTGAAAATACAGTATTCATTCATTCATACATACACTGACTTGCCTGATCATGCATTTGGCAAATATTTGGCACCAACCATATATACTATACATTGTGCCAAGTGCTTGGGATACAAGGTAATGAATTACTACCCTTATCCTCTATTGGGTGATAGCGAACTCATTACAGCTTTCAGTAACAAACAGCTGGCTGTGGCACATGTGCTGTAAGCTCACTAGCACTGCTCTAGGGCCTAAAGAGAGGGACAGAGACAGAAATAGTAAAAATTAAAAAAAATTCACAAATATATTTCTAAGGGCTGGTTTAGGAATATCATACAAACCAATCTTTATCATTCATTCACTTATTCATCATTCATCCATCCAATCATTACAGAAACATACACTGGAGAGGTGATGGCAACATGCTGGGTCCTGAGACTAACATGATAAAAAAGGAATTTGTACTCTGGGGTAGGGAAGTGGAAAGTAGATGTTCATGCAACTCAATGGGTCTAAAAGATAAACTCATGGATATTTTAAACCTCTCTTTTATCCAGATGCCTTATTCCATTTAAAATTCCTAAAATCATCAGACACTCATGCCCTGTCACCTACAGCATTTTCCTTGTTCACCTACAGCCAGATCCTTTCCCATCTATGTCCCAGATTTCTTTGTCCTCCCTCTCTATTCCCACAGCCATTGCTTCAACTCATACCTTCACAAATTTTGTCTGGTTTGCACTTAATTTCCAAAATGATCTCTCGCCTGCCTCCCGAGACCAAAATTCACTGTCCATTCATGCTGCATTTATCACTTCTATTGGCCTAGACTGACCTTCTTAAATCCAAATTTCACTTTCACATTTCTGGGCTCAAAACTTTTTAAAAGCTCCTCTCCATCAGGAAAAATCTGAACAACCAATCATCAGAGGCCCTGGCTGGGTTCCCGCTCAGTCTCCAAGCTTACGTCCTGCTGTACCTTCCAACCACCTCAGCTGCTCCAGTGCATATATTCCATGCTTGAGCGATGAAACACAGAAAATATTCCCTACAGTGGGGAGTCATTTCCAGAATTCTGCCCTGAGCTAATACAGTACTTTCTCCTTTGGCCATCACTGTATATTGTGTAATAAGTTTAGCTACTGATTATTAAACATCCCAATTCCAACATCATGCTGTGTTCAAAGACAATGATAATACAGTGCTTAAGGACATGAGATCTGGAAATAGAAACATTGGTTTAAATCACAGTCTGTCACTTGTTTAGTAAAATGATTTAGGGAAATTTACTTAAGATCTCTATACTTCAATTTGTTCATCTTTATTATGGGGATAATAAACCCCCTTCCTTAGGTTGCTGTGAAATTTAACGAGACAAAAAGTGCTTAGTGTAGTATCTGTTACATCATAAGCTATTAATTCTTAATTATTATATATATGACATACAATATATGTGATAAATATCTTCAGCCTCTAACCCTGGAAGTTTTCATTATCTCATTTCATAACTAAGGATGTTACTTATGCAAAGTCATATGATATGAAAGCCGACTAGCTAGGATTTAAATTGATACCACTGAACACTACTATAACACTTACTGCATTGTGTGAAAAGCATTTGTGTATTCAGTTCTCCACTGGGACAGGAAGTTCCCTGAAGAAAAAGAATCTCATGGTATTTCTGTTTTGCAGAGGAAAAGTTGTAAAATGAATGCATAGATGAACAACTACATTTCAACTAAGACAGCCTCATGGCCATGAGTCTTCAGGCTGGACGAAGAGCGTCATGGGTGGCTTGAGCTACTGCCCTGTCCTGGGCTACTCACTCATTGCTTCTATCTGCACGTGGATGAGGTTCTCGATGTCCTCCTGCAGTGTCTGGTGGGGCCTCAGGGGGATGGGCAGGTAGCCATAGTGCTGTCTGTTGCACAGGTACATCTGGATGCCTGAGGATCCGAGAGAGGAGCAAAGTCAACCAATAAGAAAACATACTTCTCAGGGACAGCGGAAGGAAGGGAGACCAAGTAGACCTCAGAAATGCTCTTTTATTAAAAAAAAAAAGTGAAATTCAGCACTGGAGGCTCATAAAAAATCTGGACTATTCTTCAGCCCAGAGGAAATTGATTTTTCTCTCTGAAAAAAAAAAAGCCTGAAATGAACTCTAAGGCATGAAAGGATCAGGAGAGAGGCAATGAATTCCCATTCAAGAGAGCAGAATGGAACACTGTAATCCACCTACAGGAAATAACAAGAAAATGAGCAATGAAATCCATATTTGATATGAAAGCAAACCAGAAAATCCTGTGAGGCTGGCAGATTATTAAAGCTAAATCTAGGCATATGCAGAACAGAAAGTAATTACAAAGGATATTTAAAATTCTCTATGATTCGGCTTGGTATTATTTCTTTCTTTAAGAAACATGGATTTGGAGTCAACTAACAGACCTCAAACTTCCAAAAAAGTATCAAGGGACACAAGAAAGCCTGCGCTTTAAGTCCTGTTAAGAACCTGCCATGTAACTCTCCTAACAGTATGTCACATCCATTTGCATTCATCACTGTTCTGTGGTTCCAGGTGGGGAAATCTTAAGACTTACAAGCCAGATGGCTAGGAATATGGGGATCAGGATGGTCTCCTATAGATATGGCAATGGAAAGTCCTAATTAAAGGATTTGTGAGTTAAAAGGATGAGACTGTCAAGCTCTGGCCTGTGGCCTAAGCTTGTGATTTGTTAATTGCCATAATCATCAGTATTTTCCTGAGACAGAATTAACTGCATGGTGACTTTTCTATTTTGTGCAGATGAAATTTTCACCAATCAAGCTTTCCACCAGACAAGTCAGACGGAGCTGTCTCATAGAGTTAATAAAGATGAACAGGAAAAGAAAAGGGCTTTTATCTTCCACCTTTACTGCATCTGGCTTCAGTCTGGGCTGGTCCACCAGGACTGTCAGTTCTCTTGCTTTCTCCAAATGAGCTTATTAGTTCTGCCATTTGGCAACATTTATGCTTATGGTGAACTTCAATCCCCAATGCACCTTCTTGCAAAATCATGATAAATTCAAGAAGTGGAAGAAAAAGATTTAATCTTTAGGATGCTTCTCTATACTAATTAGGTAAACATTTTTATCATTTCTGAATTTTCAAAAGTTTCATAAAAAAGATATGATACCCAGCCACACTATCCATCAAGTACAAGGACACAGGAAAGGAATTTTTAGATCAGAAAGGTCACAAAGTATTTACTTTCCATCACACTATCTCAGAAAATTACTGGATGATGTGGAAGGAGGATGAAGAGGGAGAGAAGGAAGAAGAGGAAAAAGAGGAAGATGAAGAGGAGGATAAGAAGGAAGAAGAAAATTATAATGCATGAGACAAAGTTAAGACACAAACAGGAGTCAATGCATGAGAGAAGAGAAACGAGGCCCAGGTTGATGGCTTTGACATTCTTAGATTAGAGTATATCAGAGGGATACCTTCAAAACATGTAATAGAGTACAGCTAATGAATGTCAGCATTTTGAGAGAAGTTTGATAAAATTAGTGATTAGTTTGTTATTGTATTAATAACAACAAAACTACCCCCAAAAGGTATACAATTATTTAGATAAAGAAAACCAGTTGGATCCTATGTGTGGCTGAGCTTGGAGTTAGGTTCATGTGGTTACAAAACAGAAGCACTATCCTAAATTATACTTAGCAGTGAAGGTGAGGAGAAGAATTTGCTTGCATGGGGGAGGGTTTAAAGGGGGGGGGAGAGAGACAGACAGACAGACAGAGAGCGCTAACTCCTTATTTCCTGAAATGGAAAATCAACAGAAAAATGCCTAGAGTAATCCAAAAAAGAACGAGATAGCAACACAAGCATATTATTTAGAAACAGGCATATACCTACTGTGCTAACACAATCATCTATGGAGGTTAAAGTGGTTAGCTTGTGATAGAAAGAAATGCTTTGGGGGTGATGTTCTGGAAATGTTTCATCTTTAAATAAACCTTAGGTAACTATTTGAACTCTTCAACTGTTGAGTCAGTTGCTAAACATAAAAAGTTAAAAAGGAAATATATAATTAATTAGATAAAGTTTATGAAGGAATCTGGTATACTCAGTGAAAGCCACCTCTGTGAAAAAATAATTTTTCCTTTGAAAAAGAGAATCAAACAATATAATTGAAAGACTGGGCTTTTAGACATCAAACATTCTACTGTACTCATTTGGCAGCTTCACACCACAGATCAATATAATGACTTTTACCTGTGATTAAAAAAAGTAACAAAAGGCTGCGACTTGTCCAAGGCCTCACAGTAAGTCATTAAAGTCTGTCTCTGATGGCCAGTGCCAAGGGCTTTTACCCTTTCAGGATTCCAAAAAGGAGATTATTTTGATCATCACCAGTGATGCCCTGGATGTAGCACTGTTTGCCCATTACTGTATCACTTTCAATTCCTCTTTGACTCATCGCAGACATTTGAAAGACGCCTGGCCAAGGAGCAGTCCTGTGACCATGACATAGAGCCCAGATCGCTGGCTGCAAGGGAGGTAACTTCTTGCTGTAGGCTTCATTATTGCCACGGAGATTTGCTTATGACCTTGTGCTCTCCTGGTGAGATGGGCTGCCAAGCCCCGCACGCCAGAACACCTGAATTGTCTTTCCACTCCTCACTTGTCTGTTGTATCAGCTATAATCTTTTTCAGTTTTATTTTTATTAGTATTGTACACATACACAATGATTAGATTCCTTGTATGGAGGTGGTAGATGTACATAACACATCCCAATACTTTTTTGTCTCTTTCTCTTTCCCTCCTCCTCTCTATTTCTTGGTTCCCTTCCTTTTTGAAAGAAGACCTATCACTTTATTTTCTATTATCTGTCTTTCATTCTGCTCTTAGTTTATATTTGGGATTTCTCATATAACAAAAACCATGTCATATGTCTGATTCATTTTACAAACTTGGTCTCAAGGTATATTCATTTTCCTACAAATGACTCAAGTTTACCTTTCTTTATGGCAAAGTAGTACTCCATTGTCTATAAGTGCCACATTTTTTAAACCCATTCATTTACTGATAGATATATAGGCCACTTCCAAGATTTAGCTCTATTGAATTATACTTCTACAAACACAAGTATGCATGAATCCGTGTAATATGATGTCTTTAATTCTTTCAGGAAGATACCTAGAAGAAGAACACCTGAGACAAATGGAATTTCTACTTTTAGGTTTTTGAAGAATCACCATACTGATTGCTATGCGACTAGTTTACATTCCCCACAACAGTGTACACAAAAGGGTTCCTTTTTCCATGTAGCTTCTCCAGCATTTGTTATTATTTAATTTCTGATAACAGATATTCTTTCTTGAGTGAGATGGAATCTCAGTTTTGTTTTAATTTGCCTAACGGTCAGAAATGTTGAACTTTTTTGTGTGTGTTTATTAGCCATTTGTACTTCTTCTGAGAAGGTCTATCCATTTCAGCTGCCCATTTTTTTGATGGAGTGTTTTATTTTTTGAGGGAAAGTATCTAACTTTTGAGTTCTTTATATTATTAGTTCTCTGTCCAAGGAACAAATAGTAAAACTTTTTCCCACTCTGTAGCTCACTCTGTTGGTTGTTTTGTTTGCCGTATAGAAGTTTTATATTTTGATATGTTCTCATTTGTTGATTCTTGAAGTTACTTCTTGAGCAATTAGGGTTCTGATCAGAAAGTTCTTGCCTATGCTTACGTCTTCAAGAGTTTTAACTATTTTTTCTTCCAGCAGGTGAAGTGTTTCTGTTTAGGCATTTAGATCTTTGATCCATTTTTATTTTAGTTCAGTACATGATGAGACATATAGGTGTAGATCTTCTACATATGGATAGTCAGTTTTCCCAGCACAATTTACTTTCCACCAGTGTATATATTTGGTTCTTTTGTCAAAGATCAGATAGCTGAATGTGTATGAGGTTGTTTCTGCATCCTCCATTCTGTTCCAATGATCCCTTTTCCTTTTCTTTTGTAATGGCTATAGTCTGAGTGGAAGACCTTGGACCAAAGTCTAGGGTTAGATAATCCCAGGCAGGTCCTTGGCTTCCTTTTGCATGTTTATACAGTGAGGCTGCAATAGGTAATACACAGCGAGAGAGCTTCAGGAAAATGAGAACCAAAGAATACTGGTCACCTGTCATCCTTTTATAAAGGCAAGGGGTAGTGCTTCGCTTGCACCCAGGAAAAGAAGAACCTCAAGACACTCTGTGGGTGGCTCATTCATATTGCTCTTGAAAATACTTCAAGATTAGTGAAATACTACCTCAGAACCACACGACTGTCAGGAAATACCTTTAATTTCCCCAAATTGACAGTGATTATTTCTTGCCTAGACTTCCAATCATTCAATCTATGACACTGATGTGGCCTGCAGAACTTACTGCTGTCATCATGTAGCTTTTTTTTGTTTTTTCCACAATTCTCAGTTCTCCAAGCAGCTCAGAGGCTAACACAGTCCTAGGCCGACAGACAAAGTTGGCTGGGTTGGTCTTCTCTTCTCTTTTCCCACCTGTTCTCTCCTCAGATGAATTACCAAGTAGCTTTGGGACTACATACTTGCTTTCACTGTCCTGGAAAGGCCTTTACAAGGTCAGAGCAATACAGCATAAAGTCTTAGTAAACAGGCCAAGCAAAAATCAGAACTGACACATTCCTATTCAGTCTGTGACACTTTTCCAGCCCAATATCCGGGTATTGGTTTCCTAAAATATATCATCTTAATTTAGTGCACAGGTCACAATAATCCCTTGTGCAGCCCACAAAAGAGGGCTGGGTTAGGCAGTGGCCGTTATTGTAGTTGTTAATAGATCACTCACTTGGATGTCCTTGCTTCAAACTCGGAAGCAAAAGGACTGGCACAACTTCAAGGAATAAGGAAAGCCTGATTCTATTTCTCATCCTGGAGAAGTCAGAGCAAATCATGAAACAGGCCAAAAGAAGCATTTTCCATTAATGTCCACACAAGCACCTTTGCAAGAATTCCAGTCCACATGAGGATTGATTTGTCCCTGAAAAACGTAGGACCAAAAAATGCCCACATTTGGCCAATTGGTTTTTTGTTCTGGCAACCAAAGGCAAAAAAAAAAAAAAAAAAAAAAAAAAAAATCAGCCTTACACATTCCTACCAAATGCTTGCATTTCTAACAAATCTACAACTGACGAATGGAAACCTAGGGTCAGGTGTGTGAGTTGCTGATTGAATTTGCATTAACATTCCCACTGCTTGGAATCTTCACAGCAATCTGTTTTGCCCTAATTTATAGGGGCACCGTGAATTTATTTCACCATAATTTTGGTTTCTAATTCCATTTTCACTAGTGGTTAAGTGGTACATTTCTGGTACCACTGATGATGTCCCCTAACTTTTGTCAAGATGGTTTAAATTATTCTAATAAAGCTGTGCTTTAGTAATGGCATGTACCTTTCTGTTGAACTGTTTTTGTGAATTTGTAAGTACCCTGATTTTATGTGAAGGTGGAAAAAAACAAACAACAACAACAAAAAAATGCTTTTTCTTTCTATTGTTTGTTTTTCTCAAAAAATATGCAATTCCACTGAAAATGATCCAGTGATTCACAAAAACTAAATGTAGCTTTGACTCTTTTCATGAGGATGAAGCCAAGGACTTTGCTAGAGTTGTTTTGAGCCTCTATCCCAATTTTATAATGAATAAAGGAACTCCTATAGTTAACAGTAGCAATGCATTCAGCACCATAGAGAACCAATCATCCTATGACCCCCCATGTCATCCCTACTGCCTTCCCTTCCACTTGGTCCACCAAAAGAAAGTGGATTCTGAGGGTAAGGGAATCTTGGCTCATGGTCATCAGTGCTCACAAGGACAGCAACGCCGAAGGTTCTGGTAGAGTTACTGCAAACAATTCCTGGCCCCTGACACTACCTGAAAATGAAGTAGTATTTTTCTGGGTGAGAATTCATTGATTGGGGTTCTGAGGATTGAATGTAGGGAGTTTTCACTGAGCTACAACCTCAGACTTGTTCTTATTTTGTATTTTGAGACAAGGTCTTGCTAGCCATATTGTACTAAAACTTGCAGTCCTCTTGCCTCAGCCTCCCAGAATGCTGGGATTACAAGCAGGTGCCACTGCACTATCCTGAGATTTTTTTTTTTAATAAGAAGTTCCAAACAAAGAAGCTAATCCTTTTCAGGGTTTCTGTGGAGGCAATGCGATTGAACACACACGGTACCTGCTTGCCTGCTGGAGAAGGCAAAGACGATGATGTCATCAAAAGTCCAGGTGTAGTCCTGGTGTGGGGGGTAGAAAGTCAGCTTGTCAGAGGCCTCCTTCCTGAGGTCAATTAGGAAGGTGGAGTGGACCATGGGGACTGGAAAGCAGCCCATCCTCTTCCACTCTCTAATCTGAAGGTAGTCTGGGGTCCGTTTATAGAAGCCCTGTAAAAGAGCAAATAGATGGGCTGTGTCCTCTGATCTGCGGGCTTCATCCTCCGCAGTCATTAGCGAGGTGGATTCCTCCCAGTCAGCATCATTTAGGAGAAATCTCCAAAGTCACCCTCACTCCTTTTATCTTGGCCTAAGAGTTTCCAAATGAGTTTGAGAAATGCAACCTCTATACAAAATAATACCTACAGGATCTTTGTATCAGAAATAACTCTGATTTCAGTGTTTCTCTTGGTTTAATAATTTTGTAAAGGTGTATTCCATGTTGCATTATGATGATATATGAAATCTGAGTATTAAGAGGTGGTAGAGTAGGGCTGTGAAGAGCTCAGTTCTAGAGGAAGACTGGCGGAGGTCATGTCCCACCTCCACATCTGACTGTCTACTTTGTGGCCAGATGACAGTGCTTTGCTGTGCCTACTGCATCATCTCTCAAACAGGGATGATATGGATACCTGCTTCACAGGGTTTTCTGTAAAAAGCAGAATTGTAAAGTACTTCGAATAATCCCTACCATCAAGAAAGCATCAACAAATACTGGCTAGTATTAAAATGACTACATCTCATTATGTAAAATATCTTTAATTAAACATACATTACTCAGGCAAATGAGAGCCTTTGCAGTGTGCTTGTTTGATACTCTGGTGGACCTGCAACTGCTCCATACTTTGCGGGGATTCACATTTTGAAATTGCTGCCTGTACAAAAATAAAGGACAACCAATCTTCTTTTGCGATCTCTAATACACTGGTTTTGAACAACTTAAGCATCACACAGTTTGTTTACCTTCCAAACCCAACTGTTTATTCAACAAATACCCACCAACTGTCACTATAAGCCAGGCACTGTGGGAAATTGTGGAGATTTAATATTTAAGACAGTCCTGGGCTTAGCTTTCAGGGAGTACAGAATCTAGTGGAAGAGATTACACTCCTGGGCCACTGCTTATAACTTGACTATGAACGAAGCTCAATTATTTCCAGAAAAGATGAAGACGCATCTCAAGAAATCATAGCTAAAAGTATGTGGAAGCTTTAGAAGGTATTTTAAAAAATGATGAAAGGCTCAGTGAATAGCTGTTAAGTTTGACAAGGGCACGATACTCAATGGACCCATCAGGTCTTTTGTAATCTTTAATCACACACATTCCTATACTGGTGCGTCCCTCGAGCTGGCAACTCCATATTGGCACTCAGCCTCTTGTGCCTCTGTGACTGCCCTTCTGTGGGTATAACAGTGTCCTGACTGGGCTGACACTAACACTAATCATATTACAAGTAGAGGGAGGCAAACAAAGATCTAGTTGACACTAGTCAATTTTGTGGTCTTCTAGCTGCTGATCTCAGTCCGCTCTGAAGCTCTTGTTTCCTCCTAAGACTTCAGCTGAAGAGCTTTCTTCCACAGGATAAAGGGAACTCTGAGTCTTCAAAGGGCTGGCTGTCTGAGGACTCCTGCAAGTGGAAAGCTCTAGACTTAGGGACAATGTTCTTGGAGTGAGAAACTTGAAAAACTCATGACAATGATGAATCGCTGATTTTCCCAGGAGTGAGGATCGTGAGGAAGGAAGCAGAGAAAGAAGGAAAGAACAGCTGAGTGACTGACTCCTACAGAAAGGCAGAATTGATGGCTGTGTCTCTTTTTTCCACATAAATTGAACTTTATTGATGATAATTTCTGTTCATTGGGCAGACAACACCAAGGCCATTTTGTTTCGAATGTGTTCAAAGGCTCTGAAAATGAAGGCCTGCCTTGAGGTTATGAAGTCATTGACCATTTCTGTTCCTGCCCTTGTAGAAGCCAAAAATAGATGGAGAAAAATCATAATACTCTAAATTGCATAAAATTGAGTTTTACTGTGCAAAATAAGTGAGTACATTTCTTCTACTTGCTTTAATAATTAAGACAAATAAGGAAATAATAGAAACTTGGATGCTGCGGTCACCAGGCTAACCTCCCTGTTGCTGGTGCCAAAGCATAACTCAATAAAACAACCCTCAAGTTATTCTGCCATGTGGTCAATTCCAGATTATTAACTGAGAACTCAAATCAAGCTACTGCTATGTTTTCTTCCAAGAAACAGAATGGATTATAAGTATAAACTTTTTGCCTCCCTGAAAGACATACAGATAATAAAAATCATTCAAAATCTCTTGGAAGTAAGGGAAATAATTGCAATGAAAGACGAAATGCCTCATCTAGTAGTGTGTTAGAGCCACTGAGTGTTAAATTGTCAGAAACTTTACAAACCGGTTGACAGAGTACCTGAAACCTGTAATAAAAATCACGTTAATCTTTACTATTCTGGTAATATCTCTGAAGCAGCTTTCATATTTTTAATAACTAAATAAACATCAAGTGGCTATATTGCAGTTTAGATGACTTTCCTTAGCTCAAGCAGCATTTAAATTTCCATGGGTGGAGGGCAATGTTTGGCAAATGTCACCAATTAGAGTTTTCTCCACCAGAAAGCCATGAATTAAACATTTATCACCACGCTAATAGCTTCATTCCTCAAAGAAACTAAACCAATCACAAAAGAGAGACAAAATCATGCCTCTGGACATGAAAATACATTTAACAAATTAATTTTCTCCCTTAGTAGATCTCTATCTATCTATCTATCTATCTATCTATCTATCTTCAGCTTAAACTCAATTCTCTAGTTCACTAATGAAAGAAAAAAATGTAAATAGCCATAGCATTCCATGTGACAAAGCTTTAGCCTTGAAGATTTTTACATGGCAATAAATGAAATTAAAATTCTATTTTTAGCTTGAACTTTGGAAAAAGGAGCTACCATGCCAGTTTTTAGAATCTCTAGAAATAAGTGTAGCAACATAAGGTCAACAAAATACTTATAGTTTTTGACTCAGTAATTTCACTTTGAAGAAACTATCCCAAGGAAATAACCTTACATGTAAAAAAAAATTGTATTAATCATGTTGATCATTAGTTAAATGATCAATAGTTAAAAGTTGTATGTAACCTAAATGTTGTTCAAATTAAGGGAAAGATTCAGTAAATTACAGTGTACTTATAATGATAAGTGTTAAAAACGTGCAAATTTCTCCATACGACACATATGAGTGTTGTAGTGGTGCTACTTTTTTCCATTTCTAAGTCTTTCGACAGTGTTCTTCCGGTAACTTTGTAATGAAAAAAATTAATTTTTCTTTTAAAATTCCTGAATTGGGGGAGGGAAGATACAAACTGCAGCATGCTTTATAGGTTAATGTTGAGCTTCTAAGCCAATCTCTTTTGACTGTGTATTGGTAATTAATACCAAGGACCCTACCGGACCCTGGCACTAGACCTGGTTTACTTCCTTTTCTGAAAATGTTTGCTTCAGTAACCTGCATATTTCAAGGGAGGAAACACAAAAAAGGCAAAGGGAGATGCTACTGCCTCGTTAAATCTCATTCATGAACTGAAACACTTGCCTGAGGTGTGATTCCACACCAGAAGTTGGAGTACAGGCCCCGAGACTCCAGCATGGGTGCCACAATGGTTTTGTTCTCTGCAATCAGTAGGCTGAGAGTCTGTGTATTAGTCAGGAAGTTGTCAACATCTATGAACTAAGCAAAGAAAAGAAAATGTCAGGCACAAAGGCACTTTTCAGTAATAGCTTTAAGAATTACCCCACACATCTAAAGGATCACAAGAGGTGGGATGAGTATCTGTATCCTCCTTGGTGAAGCTCACTGCAGTTGAGTGGCTTTCATTCCATCAAAATATATTTAGTCTAATTTTTACAAGTCTACATCTGCATAAGCCACTGAGCAGTGGTTTGGTGTTGCAATGGTAGGCATACGTTCAATCAGGACCCCACCTTGGTAGTGGCATAAGTACAAAACGTTAGCAGTTCCAAAATCCTTAATGATTCATTCAAAAATACTTGTTGAGCATCCACTGTCCCCACAGATGGGAAGAACTATTTAGATTTTCTGGGCCAGAATGGCCCAGAATGGTTCCATTGATGGTGTTACAATATTACAAGCACAATTTTTGATTAAAGTATATTATGTCAACTCAAATTAACCAAATGGTGTGAATTTCTTAGCAGAAGTCTGCACTAGCTCTGATTCATTCTTAGCAGGAGTTGATCTTAACATTGATCCATCTATAGAAGACAGTGTAACAACAAATTCTACCATAAGAAATAAGTGATCACTGAGTTGTGTGGCTAACAGTGATAGATTTTATATCATGTATCTTTCATCACAGTTAAAAAATAATCAGAAGCATTCATTCCTATAAAAGTCAAACTGCTTACCAAAAATTTTGCAGTTTGGCATTTATGTACTTCTGTAACATTTAAATAGCTACATATAATATTAAATATTGTTGATACAATTTCTATGAAACATTTGTGTTGAAAATGTGTACCATAAATCGTTAGGGTAATTTTTGGAGTGTCTGAGGGCTTGGGGAGGGACATAAGTCAAAGGTCTTCATTTCTTTTAGGAATCACAGCCTAGTGAAAGCAGATGTCCATAAATGTGATGAAAATGATATTGACTTTGCCTTATTGGTGGTGTTTCTAGTGCTGCAGAACTTTTGGCCGGAGAACTTGTAGGAAAAACAAGAGCCTGTTAGGGAAGAGGGAGCTGCTTCCTCCTAAGCTTTCATCCTTTTCACCTGAGACAGGCTCATCCAGGATGAGGATGTATTGATTTCCAGTCATCATCCATTCCAGCATTTTTCTGGGCCGAGTTCCAAGGAAAACAGTGGAACCTCTCTATGGAAATAGTTTTCCACAAGAGCCTAACAGATCTGGAACCAACCAGGAAGCCAAATAAGAGATTTCACTCCCTGAGTCCCCAGAGCAAAGGGGACAGCACTTCAGGGTACATTGCTATCATCATTTTCTCATATTCTTAACATTCTTGCAAAAAGTTAAGACAGTTAACATTACCTACAGCATTCCCTAGGAAATAAAGACTCAGGGTCTCTTACACATGTTCTAAATAATAGAGCACATGGTTTGAGAATTTCTCTCTTCAGGCCTCCTTGAAAGTGCACATCATGGATGAGTCAAGAGAGGACGTCCAGGGGGTCACTATACTAAATTTCCAGAATTTTTCTCGTGAGTCTTTCCTTGGAGAGCTGGTGTCTAAACAAAGGTTGTGTGGATTGTTCCCATGATCCTGATTTTTGGACAATGTATTTGGACACGTTCTAGATAACAGTTTCCAAGAAATCAAGCATCAGTTTTTACCAGGATGTAGTCTGACCATTTCTCCCTCGCAGTTCGAAGGGCTGCCTGTCGTAGTTTCATGACATGGGCAAACCGGGAGCTTGGCCAGTGCTTTGGCCCAATCTCATCAGGATAAGACCTGAAAGGAGAATGACACTAACAGTTCATAACCATCGAGTGCCTACAGGTACCAGGTGTGTCCTAAATGTTCATACATACTAGGTTACTTAACCCTCCGTCAGGGTTAGGGACGAGTACAGTTACTGCCATCATCATTCCCATATCACAGATAAGGAAAGTGGAGCAACGGACAGTTAAGAAACTTGGTGCTCACTGCACACGAGAGTCTGTGTAAGAAGCATTTCCGTGGGTTCTAACAAGAGTCTCATGACTCACTTACTCCCCATTTCACAGCCCAGCATATCGGTGTGGAGGAGGAAAGCCAAACTTGCCCAATGCTACAGTTAATAAGGGCACAATCAGAATTCAGATTCAGGCAGCTGAGCCCCAAAGCTCATGTTATTTGATTCTTTTTAAAATATATCCACCATCAAATAAATTTGAAAGCACTGTAGTATAAAGAATACAAGTTTATCAGGAAAACCAAAGGTTTAGTTTAGTTAGCAAAGCCTCAGTAAACGATTCCATAGAGCTTAACACACTGGTTTATCCCCAGTAAAGTCAGGTGAGGGGACAGGGAGAGACACACACAGTAGTTATCCTAAGGGTTTCTTTCAGTACCCACAAATCAGCCAGGCAGGCCAAGACTATTTTATTTTTGTATTGAAATCAAACCTAGGGCTTCAAGGGCAGGTAAGCGGATCACTGTACCCTCCAGAATCCTTCTGAAAACTCTCAACTGGCATGGACATTGGTGGTGCCTTAGTGACCCCCAAACTTGCCACCATTTCAAGTTTCAGTAGCTGTGCTTGCTGTATATTTGCTTTAATTATGCAAAATCACAACAATTGGATTGCTTATTTCATACCTCATCCTTTTTGATACAATACACTTAACTAGATTTGTTAATTAGCTATAAAATTTATGTACTTAAGAAAATTATAGATTATTTGGCTGGGACTAGATCATGTATGTACTTTTTATCCCCCCCCCAACTATATTCTCAGTAGACACTAAATTAATGTTTTTAGATGAACAAATGAGTGGATAAGGTCAAGAAAATGTATATTTAAAATTTATTTTAAATGTTCCCAAGGATATTATAGTTCTACCTTGAGGAATTATAGAAGTAGCCTAAGTGAGTTACCTGATTTCTCCTCTGTGTAAATTATTTACTGAAAACCAAATTTTCCTAACAGTAACAAAGGTCATCCTAGGGCACATTTGTTCTTTTAGTTTGTCTCTGTATTTTGTATACCCCAACATATGGCTATACTAAACATTTAACAATAAAGTTTGAACATTATAAAACATTTTAAATTTTCAAGTTTCCTGTAATGGAATTTGGCCTCTTATTTTTTAAAAACTGCACAGAAAGACTTTGTGTATCTTCCTTACATTCTGATAATGTTCTCTGCAGTGAGATCTTAACTGAGTGTATTATATGCCAAAGTTAGTGTGAAAAAACATTAGCAAAGGCATTAGTTTTTGGCAATATATTGAGAAAAACAGAAATTTCAGATTTTCACTGGAACAGTAATTGGGGAAGACATTCCAGAGAATTCCTGAGCTATATGTAGTTTTATTAACCTTATTTGTTTAGTTACAGTCTCATTTGTTATGTTTATTTTGATATATTTGCTGTACATAATAATTACATTATTGTGGAGGTTGGTGCATGTACTTAACACATCGTAATTCTTTTCATTTTGTCTTCCTTTCCTTCTGTCCTCCCTTCTCCTCAAGACTCTTTTCCCATTTGCAGAGGATTTATCTCTTATTTCATATTATCTATCTTTTATTTTGCTCATTAAATCATTGTACTTTGGGTCTCTCCTATAAAAGAAACCATGCAGTATCTGCAAGTATAGAAGATTTATGCTCAAAATATCAACCAGCAATATCAATGTATAAAAATATAACCTGGGAACAATAGTGCACACTTGTAATGCCGGCTACTGGCGGCCTATGGTGGAAGGACTGCGAGTTCAAGGTCATCCTGGGCAACTTAGCAGGACTCTTTTTCAAATAATAAAAAAGAGGCCTACAGACGTTGCTCCGTGATGAAGTGCTTGCCTAATATATGTGAGGCCCCGTGTTCACACCTCATTACGCGTACACATATAACACACACATACATATAAAACACTGTAGTAATTTATTTACCAACTAATGAAAACCTGAGTGTGGTCGGCAGCTGCAGGAGTAAAGAGGAAGAGGAAACTAAATGGCAGGTATTTGTAAATCCTTCGCGTACAGAGATGCAAGATCATGAAAAGTCACATATGCCTTCAAGATTGGAAATCCCAATGGCAGGAGAGCTTCCTAAAGAGGAGAGAAAAGCAATGTATTCACTAACTGCTTTCATTACTCACTCGGGTTCATCCATGGGCCTCCACTCCACGTAGTGATAGAGCCTCTGGACGTTTTTCAGCCATTCCCTGAGTATTTCAGTTGTATTATCCACATTGTGATCAGTAGCTGCCCTGCAGGAAAGAAAGCACAGTATAGTTTATTATGTCCTCTAAAGAAAGGTGGAAATCCTTGCTAAAAGTTCTGGGGGGAAATTGTACGTGTGAAATATTATTTTCCCAGGGTCGAAACTAGACGAGTTTTTGAACTGAGAGATACTGCTTAATATTAGTGTTGTGTCTTTCGGGCCTTAAACAGAATCCAAAAGTGGTTATATTAATAAGCAGACACATGAAAATATCATAGCATTAGCATAAAATGAGCTAACCTAGAAGAAATACTGTCTTGAAAACTTTGCTGCTTATTTTTAGTTACATAAAATGTAAAGCCTACCTTAAAGTTCACTACTAACACCCAAATGAAGCAAAAATTCAGTTTTTATTTTCAAGTCAGTGTTCTGGTCACAACAAAACATCTAGTCAGTGTTGTTTTAATCATACGTATAGAAGAGAAAAAAAATCACAATATTTTCTTATATAAAACTTGAAATCTAAGTTATTTTCATCTGTCTATTATGGATTAACTTTACCCTTATACCAAATAGGATGTCTTAAAAACTCTTCTAGTAACATATATAAAACTTGTTTCTGTGCTACCTCGAATACTTAACAAATAAATCCACTTATTCCATCCAATAAATCATCTTTAAATCATATCACAAATTAAAACCTAACTCCATGGTGTATATGAGAGTTGTGACTTATTTGCACACATTCAACATTTAAAAAAAAAAGAAGGAAGGAAAAGATTAAAAGAGGAAAGCAGAGAAGAAAGAGCCATGGGAAAGACAGAAGTCCCTGAGACTCAAAAAGGGAGTGGTACTCAAAAATGCTGAGATGGTCCTGGGGATTCTGCTCCTCCCGTGGGCGGGACCCACTGGGATTATCTGCAGCTGTGGCTCCTCGGAAGGATGGCTCTGAGGAGGGGAATGCAGAGAGATGACAACGTCAGCAAGCAGGAATTTGTTAAACCCCGTCCATAATGGTTTTCTTGTTCTTCTCACTTGGGCCGTTCTTCCAAAAGTAGTTAATATTTTTAAGAGGGAGAATGTTTAGGAATGTTTAAAAGAAAAAAAAATTATTAAGCAAAGCATAGTGAAGTTTAAAGAATCAAATTCTGCAAAACACCAAGTGACCTGCAACTATGCAGCTTATGCCACAGGTACAGAAAAGTGGAGGCCAGAGGTATGTAACTAATATTTGAAAATCTTCCGTTATAAAATAAGTGTATGGATTAAAGCTAGCCTTGTAAATTGAGAGATGACAGCAAGGGCCAATTTTAAACTACTTTGAAATCTCTTGTTGAAACTGGATTAGGGCCGGCTCCTCCCTTCACAAGGTCTGAAAGGGAGAGACCCATGGGCCACCTGTTACCCCTTACCTGAAGGAGAGAAGTGACTTGAAGCTGGTGGTGTTGGAGGACACCAGCTGAGCAGCTTAGCACCAACACAGGGTAGTAAGGAACCTTGGACAACTCAGTGAAGTGGGACAGTGTTCAGAGAGCAATGTGGAAGCACGTCATTGTGCCAAGATGTGTAGAGTGCCTGCCAGCATCTCGCCTCCGAGACACATGTCACATGTTGTGAATGCCCAGCACAACAGGTGTCCACAAGGATCAAGCCACGTTCTCATGAAAGAAGCACGAAGAGAGAAATTCCTGAACTTGAGCATTAGCTACAAGGCATATAGTCTTTACTCAAAATATTATGTGCAAGGGTAAATTGAAACAAAACCAAATCTACTACAATGTGAGCCAAAAGTTATTAGGATTCTACATTGTTGGGAGCCGCGTCTGTGATAGTTCGCCTTACTTGGCGGACGTGCGGCCTGTAGTAAAGAGTGAAGCCTGAGGTAGATTACCCCTCCCATCGAATATGTTAGTTTCCTGCTTACCGCGTAAACAACCCGCTCAACAATATAGTCTGCCTGGCAACTGATGATGTTAGCCAATCAGCTTGCCTTGCTTACTTTAACATGATTGGACACTGTACCCGTATATATACCGGTGCCACCCCTGGGCGGAAGTAGAAGCCAGGTAGAAGCCCGGAAGTAGAAGCCCAAAAGGAGCCGCGGAGAGCGGACCGATAGAGGCTTCGGGGCAGACTGAAGCACAAAAGGAGCCGCGGGGAGCGGACCAAAGGAGGCTTCAGCTGGGAGAACCCAGGGCAGGCTGTACGGAGAAGAAAAATAAAAAGAAAAGGTTGTCCACTACCAGACTATGTCGTGTGTCCTTCCTGCCGGCCGGGAGCGGACATCGACATTTGGAGGCCCGCCCGGGGACTGATCACCCCCGCGACGTGGAAGTGGACAACGCTCCAGTACAGAGCTGCGAGACAGGTGAGTTGGGGATAAGCCTGGGCTCTGGGTGGCGCGCACCTACAGGGCTTTTAGACTCCCCTCAGGCTCACGCGTAAGTGGCGGATTCCTTGGGCCTCACGCGGTGAGTAACATATTAAAAGATGGGAAACATGCTAGGTAGCGGCACTAAGAGCGAGGGTGGTTGTGGAGAAAGCTCTCAAGAGCTTACAAAAGTATGCAGGGTATCTGAGCAGGCCCAGTCAGGGAGCTCCCGAGAGGTGTCTGTCAAGGGGAACAAGGATGCTAAGGAGGAGGACGGGGCTCTAGCCTCGGAGTCGTCTGACTCCGAGGACGAGGGAAAGTTGAATGGCAGGGAGGCCAAAGAGACCAGCTGTCAGGAGCCTAAATCGCTCAATAAGGAGTCGCAGGGTTCTTTTCCAGCGTTGCCCCGCGAATTGCGCTCTGCTCAACCTGGTCTGCGGAGGAGTAGAGAGCTCCTGAGCGCTCCCCGGCGCGAGAGGGAGGCGAAGCCTTCCGCCCCACCTTGGGGGCCGTTTCCGGAGGCGATCCCTCGCCACGAGGCGGCCGCCTGGGAGCCCCCCCCCCTTTCGCCAGAACAGGAAGTGATGCACGGGCCCCCATTTTCCGCCCAATCACGGCCGCCGTCTTATGCTCCGCCGCCGGCGGGTCGGTATTTTTACAGGCGGCTTTGGCAGGGGGGACGCTTGTCTCATGAGGTACATCCACCTGGGATAGATAGTGGCCCCTACGAGATATTTCCTGTACAAGTAGCTATGGGCCAGGGACGCAATGTATGGGAGCCTTTTGAGATAAAGCAGATTAGAGAACTTAAAAATGCAGTTACAACCTTTGGGCCGACTGCGCCTTACACCATTGCCATGCTGGAGAATCTGTCTTCTGGGCCCCTCACCCCCGCGGACTGGATTCAGCTGGCAAAGGCGTGTCTGCCCTCGGGCAGTTACCTGGATTGGCGAGCCTGGTATGCAGAGTTCTCTGCCGAGCAGGCTGAGAAAAACGCCAATCGAGGAAACCGGGGGTGGAACAAGGAAATGCTTATGGGAGAAGGTCGGCACGCTGATGACCAGACCCAGTTCCCCGGCGCTGTCTATGAGCAAATCAATGCCATAGGACTCCGCGCCTGGAAGCAAGTAAGTGGTGCTGGAACAGCCTCCTTGTGTCTTTCAAAAATAATTCAGGGTACCACAGAGCCATTTGTTGACTTTGTGGCCCGAATGCAAGATGCTGCCGATAAGATATTTTCTGATCCGGGAGTGGCTCAACCGCTGGTAAGACAGCTGATTTTTGAGCAATGTACAAAGGAGTGCAAGGCAGCGATAGCTCCTCATAAGAACAAGGACCTCAATGCCTGGATTAGGATATGCAGAGAGATAGGGGGGCCGCTCTCCAACTCGGGAGTGGCTGCTCTCCTGGCCGCGGCTGTACAGCAGAGGGGACCTCGCGGGTTAGAAGGGGAATGTAAGGCTAAAGGGTGTTTTGCCTGCGGGGAGCCAGGACACATTAAACGTCACTGCCCAAACAATGCAGATGCTAGGCCTCGCCCTAGGAATGAAGAACCATATGTTTGTGGGCGATGCAAAAAGGGATCACACAAAGCTGAGGAGTGTAGGTCGGTCTTTGATGCTCAGGGCAACCGTATTTGTGGACAAGATGCTAGAGAGCCAAAAAACGGCCAGAGGGGGCCCCCTTCGAAGGCGGGCCCCCGCCCCAGAGACAGGACAGCTCAGGGTGGCAGCCTTCAACAAGGGCCACCCCTGGGTCAGCAGGTGTGGACCTCAGTGTCGCCTCAGGACTTATATTAGTGCCTGATATGGGTGTTCAAGTGGTTGAAACCACTTTTAAGGGACCGTTACCCGAAAATTCCGTGGGTCTGGTGATCGGGAGATCCTCCACGGCCCTTCGGGGTCTCACAGTAGTCCCGGGGGTCATAGACTCAGACTACACAGGACATATTAAAATTATGGTTCAATCTCTTGTGGGTACTATGGTAATTAATAAAGGAGACAAGATAGCGCAGCTCTTGCTGCTCCCCAGTCTCCACAAGAGATTTCCCTCAAAGCAGAAAATTAGAGAAAGTCAAGGTTTCGGTTCCTCAGGGGAAGTCTTTGAGGGACTCCATATGACACTTGATAAAAGGCCCATGCTCTCACTTAAGGTCAATGGCAAGAATATAACAGGGCTCCTAGACACAGGAGCTGACCGTTCCATTATCTCCAGAAAGGATTGGCCTTCCAACTGGCCCACCAACACTGCAGATAACACGCTGCAGGGCCTGGGGATGGTGTCAGCTCCTCAGGTTAGTGCTTCAACCCTGCTCTGGTGCGATGAGGAGGGTCATCAGGGCCATTTCCAACCGTTTGTGTTGCAGTTGCCAGTGTCTCTATGGGGAAGGGACATCCTCACTCAGATGGATGTCACGCTTACGTCAAACTGCTCCCCCCAGGCTAAGGATATACTCAGGAACCAGGGATATACCCCCGGCAAAGGCTTGGGCAATGCCCTGCAGGGTCGGACATCCCCAATACCAGTAGAGAACAAAAAAGGTAGGCAAGGATTGGGTTTTTCTTAGGGGCCGCTGAAGAAGCTCTCCTACCCACTTCGATCAAAATCACCTGGAGATCAAATGATCCGGTTTGGGTACCTCAGTGGCCCCTGCCTAAGGAGAAGCTATTAGCCTT